TTCTCTCTCTCTCTCTCTCTCTCTGTGTGTGTGTGTGTATGTGTGTGTGTGTGTGTGTGTGTGTGTGTGTGTGTGTGTGTGTGTGTACAAAAAGGCGGAAAGAAAAGCTCGTGGGCGTACAAAGCAAATTTTGGACCGACAACCTTTTCGTAATAACACTACCTCCTAGGTACCTTACACTAGGTGGGTAGTTGGTAATAGTAGCAATTCACTTCCAAGAAAAAAAAAGAAAAGAAAAGAAAGGGAAAGAAAGGCTCATCATCATCATCATTATCATCAATTTCTTTTTGTTTTCAAACAGAAAGTCTACCTCAATCTAGTAGGTAAGTACTACCAAAAAAAAGTCCTCAAGGAAGAGTAGCCGACAGAGGTAAATTCCTACTCGAGCTACCCACCCACACCTTCTTCGTCGAATTTCTCACAAACCAATCCTGCTCCACAGTATTCCAGCTGCTGATATCCCTCCTCGTGACATCCACCGTGAACGTCTTGCTCTCGCCCACTTCGAGCCAGATGCGGTCGAAGCCGCGGAGTTCACGAACGGGATCGTAAGGCCCGCCACGGCTGATGTAGAGTTGAGGGACTTCGTAGCCGGCGACTTTGCCTGTGTTGGTGATGGTCGCGGAGACCGTGTAGAGGATGTCGTACAGACGAGGGTTGCCGCCGGGAGCACCGCCGGCTTTGGGCATGCGTTGTGCGGAGCTGTCGGTGGCGTGCTCGGGCCAGGTGAAGTTCATGCCGTAGTCGGCATCGCCGGTGGCTTGGGCGAAGTCGGTCGAGTTGAGGAAGGGGTAGTGGAACCCGGTGAATTTGGTGAAGTTTGCGGGGAATAAGTAGTCTTCTGCGTTGGTAGAGAAGTTTCCAACCGTGGGAGCTGGCTTGCTCATGCCGGTGAAGGGCTCGTAGGCGGGAGCGTTCAGCTTGGTGACTTGAAGCGAGCTGTAGTTGAATGTCGAGTAGCTGAGACCATAACCGAATTCATACACTGGCGTGGTGTTGTGCTTGTCAAATCCGCGATAGTCGATGAATACACCTTCCTTGTAGTTGATCTGAGCCACGGGAGCATTGGGGGTATAGAGAATGTCCGCGCCATAGTCCTTGCGGTCTTTGCCCATGGTAAAGGGCAGTTTGGCGGACGGATTGACACGGCCATAGAGGACGTCTGCAATGGAATTGCCCGCTTCCTGGCCAGGTACACCAGCCCAGAGAATGGCAGTGATGTTCGGGTGATTCTGGTACTTCTCCAACATCACGGCACCAACCGAGTGCACGACCAGGATAGTGTTGGAGCAGTTTGCCGCAACACGCTCGATGGCTTCGTCCGCATTCTGCCAGAACGTCAAGTTGTTTCTGTCTCCGAGATTGCCGTCCGTCTCCAGATACCACTCTCCAGCTACCGCACTGGCAAAAACGATGGAGACGTTAGCGCGTCGGGCGAGTTTGCCAGCAGGTCCCAAGTCCCAGTTGTTCAAGCTCGATTCGTAAGCACCACCATTGGCTCGAACCTCATTCTGGATCGCGGTATCCGGGGTAATGAGGTACGGGAATTCGGCAGTCCTACGGATTGGTTAGTACACCTGTCATTGCCGCATTCTTCCCATACTCATCATATGTGTCTCATGGTGGGATGATGAGTTCACACGAGACTTACCCGCTTCCCCAAGCCATTCCCAGCGTACCGTTGGCGCATGCGCGGTCGGTGCAGCTGTTCGGCCCTGCGAGGTTTGGTCCAGCATCGTTGCCGAACACGGCCGTCAATGGCTCCTTGCCAGTCAGAGGCAAGACGCCCTTGTTCTTCAGCATTACGGTGCTTTCAGCACCCCATTGGCGGATGAGCTTCCCGTGATCACCTTGGACATTGACGTGCTGGTTGACCTGCACGATGCCACCCTCCTTGTTGTACCAGTGAGCCCATCCGAATGTATCGGTTGTCCAGGACTGGAAATTCTCTGGTTCGCGCTCAACCTGCCCGTCCACGTAGAAGAAGGCCGACATGATACGAAGAGCCATATCATCGATTCTCCAGGCTGGAACGGTGCCGTTGAGCACGGCAACGGTCAAGTTGGTACCGAAGAAAGAGTCGGCAACGTTAAAAGCAGTCCCGTCTCCAGGCATAGTCTAGAAGTGATAGGTTCATGGTAAGCAGATTTCTCTAGATTGCGGACTTGTTGCGAATAGGTCGAGTATAAACTTGTCGCCGCGGGAGGCTTGAGCTCAGGACGATATTGAGAATACATAGTTGAGGACTTACCATGTCTAGTCCGGCAAGTGCACTGGATACACCAGAGTGAGTGGCAAGCCAGTCACTCATCACGAATCCCTGGAAGCCCAGCTCGCCCTTGAGAAGGTAGTTGAGGACATACGAGTTCTGGCAAGCCTGAGAGTCGTTGACCTGGTTGTACTATAGTTGGAGATGTCAGTCAAGTCGATTGTGAAAGAGGCCTTGGCGTCGTACCGAGCACATGATAGACCCGACGCCGGCTTTCACTCCATCGGCAAAAGGCCAAAGATAGAGCTCGTGCAAAGTTTCGTCGTCCAAGTTAGACGATGAGGGTTCCGTGATATTGACAAAGCCGTAGCTCTTCGATTCAGGCACCAAACGGAAGTGCTCTAGACGTCAGAACGGGTCAAAGTTTAGCACGTCTCTCCCAATATGCGAACTGCTACAGAAGTAGTGATCTTACCCTGCTCATTCATGATGTAGTGCTTGCCAGTGGCCACGACTCCAGCACTTTGAATGCCCTTGATACTCTCGGCAAAAAGTTGACCCGTGAGAACGGGGTCAGGCGAGAAGCCCTCCCAGTTACGACCTCCTGCGGGCGTGCGACCCAGTGGACCAGCAACTGGCTATTCGTTGTGTCAGCGATGTGCTCCACTGTCATATGGATCTCGCACGATACTTACGCCAAGCAGGACATCGACTCCTTTGCCACGATGCTCTTCGGCCATTGCTTTACCACGATCGTAGGCGAGCTGGCGATCCCAAGAGGCACCTACATTGACACCAGCTGGGAAAACAGAGTTGTAGTCTAGAGCAAGATCAGAAATCAGTCATGGATAGTATATGATAGCATGTGTTGTTCCTCACCTGTCATGCGGACACCTGTAGGGCTGTCTTGCAGACAGAGGCCACGGAAGCCAAGTCTTGGGCTGCAAAGACGGTCAATAATGATCTTGACCACGACTCTTGCCGAAGTATACTGACACTTGTCCCGTGTTACCTACGCAAGCCTCCAGCTGCCATCCCGAACCAGTTGTCAAGTTGACCTTTTCGGCAAGAGTGAGCTGCTCCACGAAGGCGAATGCCTTTTGGTATGCCGCGCTCCAATTGCCATAGCTCGAGTCCATCCATGGGGAAGGGTATTTGGGAGGAGAGATCTGAAAGCTATCGCTTCCAGCTACGGCAGCAGGATTCTGGCTCTCAAACCCCGGGTATGTGGTATCGGGGTTCTGGATTACAGCTCATCGGTCAGCCAAGATCTTTGACCAAACAAGCTTGCCACAGAAAGGTTGACATGGAACTCACAGGTGCTCCATAGTTGTTCTTGCTAGAAGCCAACTGCGAGTAGTCATAAGCAGCTACCGAAGTAGCAGCAGCCAGAAGAGCCGCCTTGACAGAAGGCATGCTCGAGGTCGTATGAGGGATGATGGAGAGTGGAACGACTGGCCTTTTCCGCCACTGAGTGCCATCTTCAGCAACTCTCTTATATACTGCCAATGCCCTCCCTATCCACTGGCCTCGCGTTTTTTCGTTTTCCCCTCGGCTATGATCTGATCAATGCTTCAACATCGTCGGGACCGTGGACAATAGCACCGCGGGCGGCACCCTGAGGCGGAACTCCGCGCTGCAGTGGATCTCTTGTGTACTGCCTTGCCAATTGGAACCGAGTATAGGCAGTAGTCCGCCGTCTGTTCGGGCCAGGCGACCAAACATTTAGTAAGAATCCATGTTTATTGTGGTATTTGCTATTTCTCTGCCCACATGCAACCATGCAAGGTGTGGATCTAGTGTCTTCTCCACCCTTCGGCATCATCATATTGCAGAAAAATTGCACCGGCTCCAGACGCCGACAATGACCCACCTCCGCTGGGGAAATGATCTGGAGAAGATCACAACAGTGTGCTGCTAGGTGGTAGTTTCACTGCTTCTGCCTCCTTTGCTGCCTCTCTTTTTGGCACATATCACGCGTCTGGAGGGAGGGAGTGAGTGAGTACAAGGCGTGGCCAAAGGCTTCAATGGGAGCATTGAAGTCGGAGTCAGATATAACGTTCAGCAGCAGCGACAACAGGCCGTCGACGGGCAGCTCGTGTGGGCAAGACGTTCACTAAGCAGTGTCAAGACGAGGAGTCGCACCGACAAGCTCGCTTGGCAATACGGACCGTGAGCATTCTTGGCGGACATGTCCTCGGATCGAGAGTGCGACTTGCATTCAGGCTGAGTCTGGCTGACTGCTCCCAGGCCTGATTACCTGATCATCTAACTAGAATGGGATAAGCCGTAGGAGGTAGTGAAAATGTTCAGACGGAATCTCCTATTGCGGACACTTTCGGCTTCTTTTCCAGCACACGATCTTATATACCTAGGTACTTGTAGACTTCATATTACGCAACCGATCACCTTGGCGACAAGAAACCGCAAACCTTGAAGTGCTTGAATTCTGAAGTCCAATGAGATCACATCATCACACCGTTCATACGAGCTTGGCAAAAAAGTCATTACCCCATCCAGATGTGACTACGAACTCAGGGGGGGCACCGGCCGAGTGAATAACGCAGGTCCCGCCTCGAGGCTCGGAGGTATATAGTAATCCTGACGGTAGAAAGCGGAAGTGTGCCGCCGGACCGTCCTGGAAGTGTCGGTGACTCCTCCGATCACATAGGTACATAAGGTACATATGCAACTTCAGTGCGCAGGGCGCGAGAGGAGAAGAGAGGAGCTCAGACGTGCATAAAAATCCATCTGAGCCTAAAAGGAGTTGTAAACTTGTACATCTATCGGTCCGGCATCGCTGGTATGCCGCTAGGGGTACATACTAGAATGCTACGAGAATGCCGCTTCTACAGCCGCTCGGCCTGTGGTGCGACGGTCCGACTCTGAGTGTCACATGGACAGGCAAATCGCGTGGGAGCAATGGGATCAACGGAATGGATCGCATGGCGGAAGACACCAATTTGGTCTCGCCTAGCTAAGGTACAACCTCGCCTCCTGTCCATCCCTCATCCATAGGTAGTCGTACAGAAGATTACAGACTCGTCTGATCGCCATTCGCGACATATATCCCCCGGTACTTCTTGGTATCAGCTTCGCAGAAAACAAAAAACCCATCAAACTGTTCAAATGGTATCATTGCACCCAGAGGCCAGATCCAGAACTGTGCGCCTCCATCCCCATACCTTACACCCATACTAGAACACTATCGCCGACCAGCACTCGACTCCACTTCTCGTATGCTGCTCGCCCGAGATGGCGTCGACACGCTCGACCCTCTCCTGCTGCTGCTACTGTTGCTGCTGCTGCCCACATCCCGACTCCCAAACCCCACCAACATGGTGGCACTGTCCATGAGGTCGCTTAAGTTGATATAATCTTTGGGTTTCTCGATCGAAAAGTCCACTTGACTCGTCACACTCTGGTGGGATTCAAAGGAACATCGGGGCGAGTCTTCTCCTCCCAAGGCCCAGTCTGGCGTTTGATCGGGGCGCCACTGAGGCACATCATGACTACATCAATCGCCCAGTCAGCATCAATCAGGTTTGTCTCATTCATGCATCCGACATCTTGTTGTAGTCACCCCACTCAACAGGCGAGGTCGACGATATCAAAAGATGAATAGGTACCAGGTACACATGGGGATCGCGGACCTTTGTGATAGCACGCTGACGTTCTGCACTAGGCACGTTGCCGCTGCCTTGTCGTGGAGGTTAGACTGTATCGACTGCAGGGACGATTTGCGGCTCGCCGGAGCCTTGGCACAGTCAGCACAGTACCAAAGCTGTAGGTACCTTATGTACTGGTATACCAATACAAGGTAACCAAAGATGGAGATGGCGTGGAAAGTGTGTGTATGCTGTAAGCTCACCTGTGGCCTGGACAACGTGCGCGGTTCTATTATCTGCAGAGCGCCGGAGACTTGCGGTACATATGCAAGCGGTACTGCGGCTTTTCGTGCTTTCGATCTCGCGAGCTTCGCATGGCACACGCCCCAATACTCCAGTATCTGCGCCGTGAGCAGCGAAACACGGATGTTGACGGACGCGTCGTGGCCGGCCATGATGATTATTTGCTGAAGAGCCTGAGTGCGCAGCGACCTTTTTGTTGGTGCAGAAAGACACAAGCGACACGGAGGGTGTGGAGGCGAGAATCAATCCGGCTGTTCGCAGCTAGAGGCCACATGGAGGTCTCTCAACGATTGATATATGTCAGCATTGGGTACCGGATCGTCGATGGTAGGTGCACGATGAAGCTGAGACAAGGTGATACACGTCGCCCCAAGAAGAGGAAAGGAGAGGTTAATTAGTCGTCGTCGGACACCTGTCTCTCCAGTGCTGAGTCGGGCTTCCGTACGAGCAGCTGCACTAGCGAGCTCCCCGGACCAGGAACCATTGATGCTTCACGCACTCTATTTTGGTAGGGCTAAAACGGATACAGCTGCTGATTACAGCTTGACCCAAGTCCCACGTCAGATCACCAAGGACTACTACCTGGTACTCAGCAAGTATGACGGTGACCAGTCATTCATGTGTCATCTTGCGCAAGGCTGGAGTGGCAGTTTTCGCGGCTGTGTCGAGCGTTGGCAAACTGATATCGTTGCGCGTCTAATAATACCCATTTTACCATGTTCAAGTACCGTTTATCGGCAACATGTGGTGGTTACTGTGGTATGCGAAGAAATTTCTTCTTGTCAAACCACCCTTGTCCTCGGGAAGAGAGCCGGCAGCTCTGGACCATCACCATTGTACAGCATTGCTTGTTCGGCCTTGGTGGTTGAGAAGTTTCCTTACGGCCCGACCGAAGAGCTGTAGCCAGGAGCTGCTTGCGCGGGCTCTCCAGCCTTCTTCTTACCTTATTATTGACCTCAGCGGACGAGCGGAGTAGACGGATGTGCGGCCAGTAACGAATGCAGCTGTGCAAGAAGCTGTCTGGGAGGTGTGAGGATGTGTTTTGGAGCGTTCCATGTCACACTGGGAGCGAAAGTATAGGACCATCGAGACCGAAAAGCACGCTTGGGGCTCGTTCGCAGATGCCGGCCAGGCCTCCGTATCACGAAGTTATCCAATGTAATAATGTACTTGACAGTACCTTACCTACTAGTACTACTTTGCTGACGACAGCCAGTGCCTGCTAATAGCGCGTTTTGCGACTTTCATTATGATGACTGATCACATTTGAAAACCTCTGCTGATGGACGGCGGCATCAAGAAGGACCCGGATGTTGCCAAGTACTTTGCCGTGAAGCAACAAAGAGAGAGGGGGAGACTCCAAGAAACATAAACCTGGCGAGTCTGGGTTCGCCGAGGAGTGTGATGGATGACATGGGCAGAATGCGGGCGAATCGTACGTGGACACGATTAAACCCACGTTGGTAGGCATGAGTTGAAGCATATCGGTGATCAACATACAGGCAGGCGGAGGCGGAATACTATGTGTCGCTATTCAGAACCAGACCAGAGGTAACAAGAAAATTGATTTTTGGCCAGCATGGAACAGCTTGTTGGTTGGCTCGGGACGGTAGAGGTCCTATAGGAGTAAAGTAGAGAAGCGTGTTTGAGAATTGTTGGCAAATTGGTATTGTGAATAGTGGTCGTCCTATAGGGTTTGTGGTATGTGACGCGGTGCCCAACATGCCTGTCTCTCAACCTCATTCAGGACCAACAGCCACGACTCAGGAGAGCCAACTCCCTTCATCGCGCGATTATTATATTGTTGGGCGATGTCGACGTGATTGTGGTTGTCTGATGCCTCCTTTTTCTCCTTCTGATCCTCCTCCTCCTCCTCCTCTCTCCTCCCCCTCTCTCTCTCCTCTCCCCCATCCTCGGCAGAGAAGTACAGTATACAGTACATGTACCGAAGCCCAGGACGCATGCGCTAGCCACGTGAAAATGCAAGCACATTGACGTATCATCGCAGGGCTCTAGAATTAGTTCTATTCTAGACCAAGACTATTCTACTGGCGACGCACACGATCTCATTCTTACAGAGATTCGCGGCCTTTTCGCCCTCGCCTCATCATCATCATCATCATCATGCTCATTCTCACTCTCACTCTCACGCGCTCTCCCTTTCATCTTCTACCTGCCTCCTGCTCCTCGATCTCCTGATTCTCTTCCTCTTCCTCCTCTTCCTCCCACTATTTGCTTCAACTGTACCACTGTCTTCAATTCCGCGAGTATACATTGACGAACAACCTCCTCGCCACGTTATTCACTACAGCCTCCAACCCACGACTCGTATTACTACGCAGAACGCCTCCTTCCCTCTCCGCTCCTGGAAAAGAGTGTCAGAAACGCTTCCACTCGTTCCTTTCACACACCGACAACGTGCCACGTCGCGACATACTCGTCCCATCAGGTAGCAGCGTGCGCGCGCGGGAGGGAGAGAAAGAGAGAGAAGGCCACACACATGTCTGCCTCGTGGCTCTCGGGATGGAATCCTATTGTCTCCTTTCCCAGCTATCACGGGCCCTATGATGTGGGCACCGTTGATGTCGAGACACCCGCCAGCGACCTCCCTTCTCCCTGCGACAGCCCCGAAAACGCCGCTGCCACCATTTCCTTTCGCATCTTCTACCCCTGTCACAAACCCTCGTCGTCCGAGGTGACGCGACCCGTGCGATGGATTCCGAATCCGCAGCGGCCGACCATGCGCGCCTTTGCGAACTTCCTGGGCGTTAAGAACCCCAAAGTCGCGAGTCTGATATCGTGGGTGCCGCAGCAGTTGTACTGGATCAATTTGCCGGCCCACCGCAATGCAAAGCTGCTCGATCCGCCGACCAGTAGTGCACGCTGGCCTGTGGCTATCTTCAGCCACGGGCTGGCAGGTAGCAGAAATGCGTACAGCTATGTGTGTGGTGACATGGCCAGTAATGGCATGATCGTGATTGCGCTGGACCACAGAGACGGCAGCAGTCCGATTCAATACGTGCGCGAGACCAGCAGCAAAGCAGCGCACATTGTAGACCCCATCAAGATCAGCCACGAACCCAGTCCAGAGGTGTACGAGGCGCGGGACAAACAATTGCGAATCCGTCTGTGGGAGATCAGCATGGTGTACGAAGTGCTGATGAAAATTGACGCAGGCCAGAGACTGGAGAACCTCGACATCAATGCGAGCACGAAGCGCAAGGAGCGCGTAGAAGTGTTGGACATGTTCAATGAGATGTTGGACATTCATCAAGCGGGAAAAGTGACATGGGCGGGACACTCATATGGCGCATGTACGACTGTGCAACTTCTGAAGAGCATCTTCTACCACAAGGACCGGCCTGCCGACGCGGGAAGACCATTAATCACGCCGAATGCAGATGCAGCGATTACACACCAGATCATGCCGGAGAGCCCCATGGTCCTCATGGATATGTGGGGACTGCCATTCAAGTCGCCCGACCAGGCATATCTGTGGGACAAGCCTCTTCCCTCCTACGCCATCGGTGGTCCTGCGGGAGCAAATGTGGTTTCTATTCTTTCCGAAGCCTTCTTCAACTGGGAAGATAACCTCAATTTGAACAAACACATCATCGGCGCTCCATCCCTCTCGCGCCGCCCTTCGACAGTGCCGCGTCTCTCGCGTGCACCAGGCCAACTCCTCCCTGACTGGGCACGTCTGGCACGCGATCCGTCCTCCGGGAGAGACTCTGGCTACGCCTCTGGTAATTCCCCCATGAAGTCTCTGCCTCGACAGCGTAGCAAGGCTAGTGGCCTCTCTCAAGCAGAATCAGGGAACAAGGCGGTCACTTCAGATCCCACATCTGCATCCGTCTCAGCGAATTGCTCGCCCTCCACCAGAACGCCAGGTCCACACATATTTTTCGTCAAGCAAAGCCAACACTTCAACCAATCTGACTTCGGCCTACTCTTCCCCTGGATCGCAAAGCGCATCACCAAAGCCGAAGAACCGGAGCGAATCATGGAACTCAATTTCCGCGCCGTGCAGCAAACTCTACGTGAAAATGGCATTGCAGTCGCCGGGGAAGACGACAAGGAGATTCTCGACACGAATGTCGAGATTCGCAATTGGATTCACATTCCGATTGATGACGGCAATCTGTCACCCGTGGGCAGCCCGCAAGCCATCAGAGCCATGACGAGGAAGCTGAGCATCATTTCGACGGGCAGTGTTCCTTCTCCCAGAGATGGCATGACTATGGGAATGAAGATGAGCGATCAGATGAATCTCCCTGCATTGGATCTGCCAGAGGCTGCTGTGCAGCAGTAAAGCAAGTAGTAAGCCGGGATGATCTTTCTCTTGCCTGACAACAACAAAAAGGAGTCTGGGTGAATGAATTCAGCAACTGGAGATTTGTTGTTTTTTATTTGATTTGATTTGATTCCCGAGCATGGAGTTTTGGTTTTTTGTTCTCTCGCGTGATGGATAAGGTAGATACCCCTGGGAATTCGGCATGCATGCATTTCATTCTAGACGGGGGCGTGGGGAAATAAAAAATCAGGTAGATTAGGTAGGTAGCATGGGTAGTAACGTTAACACGGAGGTAGAAATGAAACAAAAAGGAGTTCATAGAGAGACTGACTTTTTTGGACTTTTTGCTTGGACTTTTTGAAATCTCGCCAACTTAGGTAGGTGTGGATGGGAACCACAATATACAGTGAGAAGTCTACCTCTAGTAGCACCTGCCTAGGTACATGTACATATATGTACCTCCTTGACCTAGACTTTTTTTTTCTTCGCCTAGACTTTTTTTATGATTTTTTTTTACACTAGGGGAGGGAAGCCTCTATAGTCTATACTACGAGTGGGAACATAAGAGAAAAAAAAAAAAAAAGAAAAAGAAAAGAAAAAGAAAAAAAAGAAAAAGAAAAAGAAAAAAAAAATGGACATGCCGATACCGCCAAGGTAGGAGATACCTGGTACCTGGTAGTTTAGTTTCTTGGTTCACATTCATCTTTAAATTTTAGTTGGCTTTTAGTTGGCTTGTCATTCGACTTGTAAATAAACGTTACGGAACTGTACATCGTGCGTGCTGCTACTGCTGCTGCTGCTGCTCGCAGCTCGCTACTGCTGCATCTGCAGCTGAAAGCATTTATTGGCCCACTGAGCGCCATCCATGCCCCCATACCCAATGCATACATACCTACCGGCCTGGTAGGTACCTACATACATACACACACACAAGACTCCCCATGCGCGCCTGCCGCAGTCATTAAAACCCGAAAAAGACCCCATATCCCGCTGAGGCCAGGTATTTTTACTTGGTGGCAGATTTGGGGTCACAAAACCGGGTCATTCATTTTGATTTGAGGCTTAGATGGCAAAGACAGCGGCACCAGCAGCAGCGACGAGGCCGAAGACGCTGATGGCGACGTTGGATGCAGCGCCGGTTTGCTGGGATGGGCCCTCGTAGGTGGCGGAAGGAACGTTGGTGGCAGCGCTGGTCTTCATGGTGGAGCTAGGCATGTGACCAGTTGGTGCGACCTGTGGATAAATGTCAATATACCGTTATTTGGCATCGCATCTTACGGAAAGTGTGTGGGGGGAAACTCACCATGGTGGTGTTGGCGGTCCAGTATCCAGTTGGCTTGGGAACGTATGCGGAGGTGACACCAGTTCCGTAAATGGGCTTGGTCATGTAGGTGGAAGTGGCCTTGGGAGCGTAAGGAGTTGGCATCTCCATGGTCTTCGACTCCGAGCTGGCAGAAGAGCTGACGGAAGAGCTGGAAGAAGAGGTGGAAGGAGCGCCGTAGGTTGGGGGGTTGGCTGGGGTGTTGGCTGGGACGTTGGCCTTCATGGGCTTTGGGTTGCTGATTCCGAATTGAGTGGTGTACTGGTATTGACCAGTGGCGTCGTCGATGAGCTGGATACCATAGCCCTTAGCGCCCTCGGTAGGCTCGAGGTCGGTGGATGGAGTCCACACGTAGCTGCCATCGTTCTCGGTCTTCTCGACGATGGCGTATTGGGGAACAGCGTTCTCGCTGGGGCCCTTGAGGAGGACGAGCGTGACAGTTCCCTGGGTGGTGGGGTTCCAGGTGATCTGTAGGTCCGGGTCAGCAAGTGGGACTCATGAGCGATCTACACCCATCGATATCGCGTACCGTGAAACCCTCGCCAACTGGCACAACACTGTTCAGACCAGGCTGCGAAATGGGGTTGCCCTGGGAATGGTCAGTCGCGGCTTCCTTTTCTCGTAATCTCTGCAATACGCACAACTGGGGCGTCACCAGTAGGCTTGGTGTAGGCGGCCACAAGAGGCGCAAAGGCAGCAAGGCCGGCGGTGAAGACTTTGGAGAACATCTTGACTGATTTGTGGTTTTCTTCTTGAGATTGCTAGAATAGGCGATTTTTCGTGGGGGGAGAAAAGAGCGCTGTCGAAGCTGTTCCTGCGGTAAAGAGCGTGGAGGTGGTGGTTAAACGAAAGGCTGAAGAACAGACGTCTTCGATTGAGTGCTGATGGATGCGTGCAGCGGTGGTAGAGAGAGAAGCAGAAGAACGAAACCTTAGCAGGGCTGGGGGGGAAGGGTATAACTACTTTTCTGGAGGCAGTATTGGTTATGGGGCTTGGCGGGTAGGATTCTAGTAGGGATCCCAAGACGGGTGGCACCCAGGGGGGAAGCAGTGCGTGGTGAGTGGTGGCGGCTTGGGAAGCCACGAATGGCATGGCGACCTTTCACTTCTGAGTCGACATGCCCAAATGAGACGTCTGATGCACGCTGCGCGGTGCGGAGGCCCCGGAGCCATCTCAGGCCCCTTTGGGCAAAACTTCAGCAACGTCTCGTACCTCCATCCGCACGTGTGGCGTCCCGACGGTAGGAAGTAGGAAGTAGGGTGTGATTTGCCCTACTCACGCCTGTCACTTGTGTGTCAGTGTCACCGTGTGTACCTAACTTCGAAAGTTCTAAAAGCATGTGATCGAGTCGAAAAGGCGCAATAGGACGGGCTGATCCCTGGACAGAAAAAGTGTCGGAGGATGGTCGCAATTTCGGGCATCGGCTCTACAAGTTGGCTGGCTGGCCTTGTCTAGAAACAAGCCCTTTAACAAGCGAACTGCTAGTTCTAGCTATTAACACGTCCTTAATTTCCATTAGACGCCATCACCGCTTGAATCACAAAGGGGAGGGTGGAAGAGAGGAGGCCGCAGAGCAGAGAGATAGACATGTGTGAAGGTGTGGTACAGAATCAAGCCGGAATGCTCGTGGAACATACTACTACAACTACCTCCCTCTACCTCTACTGCAAAACTACGCTTCTCCTTGACGTTACATGACTCGGCCCAGTAGTTCTACCACTCTAACGCACGCTTCTCCAACGCTCTCGCGGACGAATGTGGAGCCACCACGCGAGGATGCGCGAGCAGCTGTTTGTGTGTATTCTAGAACTTGCTTGGGCCTGAAAGTCCTGACTTGCAAGTTTCACGCCTTGCGAAACGCATGTTCCGGCCTCACTCCCTTGCGCGCCATCGCCATCTGTCGTCGTCCATCACCCTCCAGTACCGAAGAAAACGAGAGTGGGAGAGAGCAAGCGAGCGAGAGAGATAGAGGGAGAGACAGTCGGCAGCTTGATGATTTCCTCCAGATCCCGTTCGCTTGCATGTGATTTGGAGAAACTATTGGTTTCGTGTCTTTTCAGCAACTGGGATTATTCTGAAACTACGGCAGTGCATACATTGATGGCGGAGGAGATACGGGCCTTGCATGGGTAGTCCCTCGCTTGTTCTGCCTGGCGAGAGTCTGCGTTCAAAGACACGAAAACTTAGCGAAGATGTTACAGAAACCAAAATCACTCTCTTAAGGTAGGTAGAGAACTACCTACTTGCGCATCTACCTATAGGCTACAGGCTACAGCTACTATACACCGAACAAATGTGTGCTGGCCTGTTTCTATCGTGCATGGATAACGCCGAGCATTGTGCGACACGAAATTCCTCCTTCTAAAACAAAAGTCTTGCTACTCTCACGGTCTTTACAAGCAAGGCATCATCAGAACTGTCGGTGGAAGTCATCCCTGTGGTGCAAATTTGCAGTGCGTGCTGTCTGTATAGACAGACGTGCTTTGATTACTATTGCCCATCTCGCTGCTCTACTAGGGATGAGGCTGTATATAGCAGGAATCAGGTATTTTCGCACAGAACAAACGCTGATACACCAGGCCAGTCTCGACCAACTCTTTGACCTGTTGGAGCAGCTTCTTTTGAGGGGGAGGACCAGCGATGGGAATTATCTCTGAATCGGGCTATCCACTTGTCGTCGTCGTCGTCGTCGTCAACGTCGGGTTCTCGAAGTCTATGAATACCATTTCGTTTGTTTCCGGGCGTAATTAAAATATTGAACTTGTTGAGAATCCCGTGGTGAATGCCCTTTCGCATGGAATTCTCCCAGGGCATCCATACATCTACTGTGGTCTGCAACTTGTGCGCACATGTCTGCCTCTGATGGCCTGACAAATCCAGTGATTCTTCGTAGAAGTTATCCGAGAAGCTCCGGAGCAAATGGCAGGTTTTTACCCTGCAAATATTGATACATCGAACATCTTTCACTTCTTGCCGCAGGTAATTGAGTTGATAGGGAAACGTTGCGATCTTCATGTACACATCTTCTTCAGCAATGCGCGCGCGTGCAGTCCGATGCTTTTGGCCAACCAAGAAACTCCATGTCCAGCATATTATAACGGGGTACTTGCGCGCGAGCAGAGACTCGTTGAGAGCACAAGTGGTAAGTAAGGTACGGACCATTTCCGTGCACCAGGTAATATCCCGGCCGTCGTCCTCAGTACTGACGACGTCCATGGTGTGCCAGTCCGGATCAGTCCAGCCCGCGAGTTTCTTAAGATTCTTCATCAATATCAAGGACGACTCTGTGCTATGCTCATCCCGGCGGATGATGCTCGCGTCACAGATCGTGACGTACACTACCTTTTTTGAAAGTGCCAGTGTCGTCGGGCGATTCAATACTGTAGTAGAGACAGTCGACATCCGAAGCTTCCACATCCAGGACGACGTCTTTTATAACCTTGAAGGGAAGCATCCATCTCTCTGGTCTAGTAACGACGAGGAAGTTCTTGCACGTTGAGGAGTCTCTACCTGATCTGTTCTTCTGCAGCACGCGAAGATTCTCGTCAGGGGACGTTATATTCCATTCTTTGTCAAAGCAGGTCTACCTAATCTTGACAACGAGCGACTGACCATGGAACACCTCTCAATGGTACCACAGACCGATATCCGATGGAAAGGCGGACGATATTGAGACTATACTGCTTCACAAGCATGAAAACATCTTCACTATAGAAGCCGCTCCAGTGCTCTTCTTAATCGCCTCTAAGCTCAAAGTCACTTCTATACTGGGACATCTATCCGTTATAATGACAAGCGATTCAGCTACCGCATCCGCAGTGTTTGGTGCAAGCCTGCTTGATGCAGACAGGTACCGGGAAAAAAGGCTGGATCTCTAGCAAGAGGAGAAAGCCCCCTCTTGCTATTCTGTACGGAGTCGTACCACAACAGCGGATTATCCTGTATACAAGCTTGAGACGAGTGTGAGTCTGATGACCCCTCCCCATACACCACGGCGCGCGGTCGTAGAAGTCTCGCAGTGTCGGACGTCGAGTTGCCTAGCCTCGCTGCAACGAATACCTCATCTGGTGTGTTATCCCGACAATGGCTAAGACAGCCGGCGTGCGGAAAGAAAGTTTGTTGCAACCTGCCCGACATGTATCCTCTATGATAAGGTACTAAGGTGATACCTACTGCAGGCCGACGGTGTTCAGGCAGTTGGGGGCAGTGGATCGCGAAGTAGAAACCACCTGTACATCACCGAGTTGCTGCTACTGCTGCTGAATAGCAGTGGTTGTCAGCGCCCATCGTACGATTGTGTTACTAAATTCTCTATACGCTAGGTGGGTGCTCGGAAGAGCGCCACGGATACCTGGTGAAGCTTTAAAGCTCATAGCTACTGGTAGCAGACAAATGCTCCTGATCATCAAGCACAAACGGGATGATTTGCGCGGTAGACGTAGATCAGCGTATCAACACGGCCATTGCATGCCACTATGGCGAATGCCTCAACTGAACAAGCGGACTGCGGAGCGACTGTGTCAAAAGACTGCACTTACGGATGGCCGACAGAGCTGTCTGGGATGTGTATCAAAAACCTCTACTAATATGGGTCATGTCGTTGCATTCGGTGCTGCTGCACCATACCCGCTTTTCCGAATCTGTCGCGTGGCCAGCTGAAACTTGAGCATGTTCAAGCATGAGCTCACTTCTCAAGCGGCTCTATTGTTGGATCCCACGCACAAGGCTCGTATGCCCCCGTGTCCAGAGCTTCGAGATCCTCCTTGTCCAGCTCAAAGTCATACAAGCCAGTGTTCTCTTCAATTCTCGAGGGCGTAACGCTCTTTGGAAGAATAACAAAACCCTGCTGCAGGCCCCATCTCAGCAAAATCTGGGTTGGGGTCTTGTTGTGCTTCTTAGCGAGCGGCACGAGCGTGGGATCCTCGTTGCGAGTTGCTCTGACCAGGGGACAATAGGCCTCCAGAACGACATTGCGGGCTTTACACCACTTCACGATATCTGGGCGAGCAAGCCATGGATGCAGCTCGACTTGATTCACTGAAAGAATACCAGCTTCTTTGGGAGAAGATTGCTCCTTCTGCCAGGCTTCGAGCTCTTCAAGATGTTGTACACCGAAATTGGAGACGCCGATAGAGCGGACTTTGCCTTCATTCACTGCTTCGACGAGAGCCTGGGCGAGATTAGTACGAGAAAACTGCAAGAATAGGAACTGCTTGTGAAGGCGCGTACCTTCCAGGCGCCCAGTCTACCATCTCTGCCTCCATATGGAGCATGTAACAAGTACAGGTCAATGTAGGCAAGACCTGTCTTCTTCAGGCTTTCATCTACGCACTTTTTCGCGTCTTGGTAGTTGATCTCCTTTGGTGGGACCTTGGACGTGAAGAAGAGCTGCTCTCTTTCAATGCCAGCAGCGAGCATACCTTTGGCGGCTGGCTCCTCGTTTCTGTAGACAGTGGCGCTGTCAACGTGGCGATAGCCCGACTTGATCGCGTGAGTGGTCACGGCTGCGCAAACATCTGCTGGGCTGTCAAGAGTTAACAATTAGGACATATTCGGCATTGTTGCGGTTTTAATCTTCGGGCTCACGTTTGATAGACACCTGTGAGCTCGTCTTAGCGAGAGTCATGGATATGTGAACGTGGCGACGACCATGGCGAGTGCTAAGAGAATCGACAATGCCAGCGTTGCCAGCTTGCATCAACATAGACAAGAGACACATGTGAATGGACTTACCATATCCCAGCAAGGGCAACTCATATCCTGAGGCGAGCTTGACGCTCGAGTTGATGTTTAGCTTGTGCGTCATGGCTACTGGTCGTGTCGTGGAGAATTTGATTGATAGCGACGGAACGTGCTTGATCAGTGCGCTTGTTCTCTTGAGCATTCCAAGTCTGGTAAGATTGAAGTTGGTTGAAAGAAGTCGAATACCTGACTTTGATGATGCACGTGTATGTGGTCTTGGTGGGGTTGCCGTGCGAGTGGGACAACCCTGGAAGCCAGCGAACTTTATTATTAATCGGTGGGTCTATACAGATCTTTAGTCTACCTCACTTGACTTTACTCACTGTGCCCTGCGTTTCACTCAGGACGAATTGGTTCGTTCCATTTTACAAACAAGATGCGTCTAATCAAGCAGAACATCATACAAAAAGATGGCTCCGGAACAGCAACGCTTCTTCCCGAAGAGCCCGAAGATATGTGGCACTGTTACAACCTCATCCGGCCTTCAGACAAGCTTCGCGCGTCCGCCATACGAAAAGTCGTCACCGAAGGCGCCGCGGGCAGCACGCGAAATGAGCGCGTGCACATGACCTTGACCATCACCGTCACGAAACTCGACTTCGATCCACAGGCCGGGCAGCTGCATGTATCCGGGCAGGTGGCAGAAGAGAACAAGTGGGTCAAGCTGAATAGCTTCCACACTTTGGACCTCGAATTGCAGCGGAATTTCACACTGGAAAAGGCCGATGGCTGGGATAGCGTCGCTCTAGAAACGTTGAAAGAGGCTATAGATCAGGACAAGAGGGCAGTGTTGTGGGCCGTGGTCATGGCAGACGGGCTGGCGAACATCTGTCTCATCACCGAGCATCAGACCATACTGCGGCAAAAGATCGAAGTCAGCCTGCCAAAGAAACGTGCAGGCTCGAGTGATCATGAAAAGTCCCTACAGCGCTTCTTCCAAATCACATACGATTCTCTTCTGCGACAGATTGACCTCACGAATCCCATCCCGCTGCTTCTTGCCAGTCCCGGTTTTACGGCGAGCCTGTTCCATTCCTTCATCAAAACCCAAGCAAGCACAACCGCCAACAAGCAGCTGGCACAGCTCATCCCCAAAATCACGATAGCCCACTCGGCTTCGGGCCACCTTCACGCACTGGGCGAAGTTCTAGCCAGTCCTGCAGTCACCTCGAAGCTGAGCGATACCAAGTTTGCGCGCGAGACACAGCTCATGGACAAGTTCCTGGAAATGATGCGGAAAGATGACCAGAGAGCGTGGTATGGACCGAGAGAGTGTGCAACAGCAGTTGAAAGAGGTGCAGTGGGGAAGGGAGGGGGCGTCCTGCTGATTTCCAATTCCTTATTCCGAAGCCAGGACATTAAGACACGGAAGAAATGGGTTGGTGTTGTAGACGAAGTCAAAGCTCAAGGTGGCGAGGTGAGAGTGTTGAGTAGTATGCACGAAAGCGGAAAGAGATTGGAAGGACTGGGAAGCATCGCTGCGATTCTTACATTCCCGATTGAGGATCTCGACGACGGGCTGGACGACTTCGAAGGGGGCTACGATTTGGACGACGATGATGAAGTGAATGGCACTGGCGTGGAGGGCAAACATGATGTCCACGAGGATGTCGATTTTCTATGAGATATGACGTATGACGAGAGCATGAACGCAACGAAGTCCACGAGATTCAGAGGATCAGAAAGGCACTCAGCTTTGATAGGTACCTCCAGATGAAGAGTTGCCGAGAACAGATCTTCGGAGAGATTTCGCGATGTGAATCGATGTCGCGACGCGGTGAGTCTGCCTTGCTGGATGCGAGTTCCTCCTAGAGGCATAAAAGCAGCTACGATAAGATAGGTTATCTATGCCTCGTAAAATCCAGCCAGCTCTCTCTTGGCTAACAGTCGAGATTTCGGCTTAGACATGACGGCGTCCAGTCCCAGGGACGTCCACAGCACAGAAACAGCCACCACGTCAAGGTAATCTCGTACGATGTCAATGCGGCCTCCAAGTTGCCAATAATGGATGGACATGGTCTAGGTAGGCATGCATCGGCGATACTTGCTGCATGAGTACATGTAAGAGCTCACAAGCGCAGCGCTGATAGAAGCCTACTACACCCACACACAAGTGACAAGACACACGTGGTTGGTATGATTACCATTGACCAGCCACAGATCGAGATGATCGAGTCGATGCAGAGCTCTCGGGTCGAATTAACAATTTTGTATGACAAGACCTTATCACGTCCTTACCTTAAGATACAGGCACAGGTACAGGTACAGGTACAGGTAACCTTAGTGAACTTCGGCCGAGCCCAAAAGAAATTTCCCCTGGCCTCGGACGAGTTACCTACAATGCAGTACCTGACAGTACTGTACTACAGTATGTAGTGTAAGGTAAGCAAGCAAAGCAAGTCAGCAGCCCTCGTCTCCCCCTTCCCCAAACAAAAAACCATGCGAGTGATGGAAGCTTAAATCATCTCGTCAGCATTCATCATCATCATCATCAGAGTCTTTGAGGTCTGGTACCTGTAGGTACAGTAGTACCTCTCCCCCCCCCTCCCCTCCCTCTCTCCCGAAAAAAGATGTGTGATTGTGATAGTGATGTGATAGATGCTAGATTTGACAGATTGAAGAGACAGATAGTCTTTTTCTTTTTTGGTCTTTTGGGATTTGTTTTTTTCTTTTTTTGGGTACAAGTAATTATACCGGATAGCCGGGATAGGGCAGGGCAAGGCAGGGTAGGCAGAGACTTGAGAGAGGGGGGGATAGGGTAAGGTAGGGGGAGGGAAGTGAAGGTTAGGGGGAGGGGAGGGAAGGGAGGTATAATGAAAGATGAGGAGAAAAGAGAAAGAAAAAGGAAAGGGAAATTGGAAGAAAAAGGAAAAGTAAAAAGGCGGGTTGGGTTGGGTTAGAGTTGGCAACAACAAAAAATGGGTTTTTACAAGAATGGACTCTGTGTGTAGTATACGTTACACGTTCATTACTACATACTTGACAGAGGAACACCATTCAAAGCATCAGTCAGGTACAGGTAAGGTAGGTAGGTAGGTAAGTAGTATCTTACAGTGTACCCAAGAGTTTTCAATCTTTACCAAGCTGGTAGGTAAGCTTTCATTACAACCAAAAACAAACGTGGCTGGTCTCTTGTCTCCGTCTTTTTTGTCTTGCCTGATCTTACCCTACTCGGGGCTTGTAAATTCAATAAGAAGAGAGAAAGAGAGAAAGAGAAAGAGATAGATAGAGAGAGAAACATATTCGGCCGACGGCCAACGGCTAACCTATCTGTCTGTCCGTCTATCTTCCCGTCTTTTGCATCAATACCTAACAATTGCACTAGTACAATTTATTACACCTGTAACCTAATGTAGAGATACATGTACCTAGATAGTCCTATTTTGACCACTTACCTCATCACTAGTCTCCACTAGTAGCAAGTAGTCTCTTTTACCCCGGCTGGGGTTTGGCCTAAAGTCTCGGTTCTTCTCCCCGGTTTCCCGCTAGATTGAGAGACCGGAGGCGCGGAGGGAGAGAGAGAGAGAGAGAGAGAGACAGACCTAGAGAGTTAGAGAGGGAGTTTAGTAGATTAGATAGGTAGACCTGGTACCTTAGTTGTATCTAGGGTTTCGATTTTTCTCTTTTTTTTTGTTGAGAAGAGAGAGAGAGACGAGAGCGAGCGGGCGGGCTCTTGGTATTACCTGGTATCATTTCTCATTTCTCATCGCGATCGATTATAGTGAAACATAAAACATATTATTGTATACGCGCTTACGAGTTGCACTGTCACATCAGATCTTGAGATGGAATTATCAGGAGAGTATCCTCCCAAAAGAATGGTAGATCTCAGATCCGACTATAGGTATATTCGTATTTCTTCGAGTTGTCTTTTTCTTTTTTCTACAAGTGAAAAATCAACAGACGTATATCAAAAAAGTATATAGTAGGTAGAATGCATTCTAATCTTTTCTAATATATATAAATACATATAGTCTTTTCTATTCCGGCAAAAACTTGCCGTCTATCTTGGGTAGAGATTGGAAAGGGAGATAAGGAAGACGATTGGAATCTAGATGTACTTGGTTATACTGTACCTGTTCTAGACTGCGCAAATAGGCTAATCATGGGTAATACAGCTTCAGACTCCAGTCATGCCTTCGGACTTACTCTTCTCTCGACTATATACTTTGGCATTTACTCATGCGTGCGTCTGTGAAAACGAAGCATTACTATCCAGCTGTCGCACACAGTGGTGACACAGAAGGTGAGCATGCTCGCCAGCACTATAATTATCACACTAACTGTAGATTGGGGGACAACCGGGCGTGTGGAATCGTGTCATTTCATTTTTCTTCCCCGGTTCTACTCCGTTTCCCCGTCGTCCCATCTGATACCCTTGTAGCTTCGGAGATTTCCTGGATGTATATTTTCTCACCTGTGTGTGTGTGGGTGAGACAGACCGACTGAGGTATGTCAGGTACTGAGATACCTCCTCCTCCTCCTCCTCTTTTCCCGAGCTCTCATGAAACAGGCTCACGTGAGATACTACTGCGCAGTAGTACCTGTCGAGAGGCAGACGACACGTGGTAGGCAGTGTAGGCTGTGAAGAGGAGGACAGTCGGGAGGTACTGGACAGATCGATTGTGCAGGTTCAAGGGTCACACAGCCTGAGCCTGTAGGTACCTCGGTAGCATTGTGCTGTAGCCAAATGATTCCAGACGCCGGCAATATCCATGCTGTCACCCAGAGACTTTGTTGAACAGCCGAGCGGCCACGCCCACGATGCTCTTCCCATGCGAGGGCGTGGATATGAAACATAAGCATGCCTGGTTCGGCGCCTAGCAGCAGGGAAGAGGGAGCGCATTCCGAGAATTGAGTGCATACTATTACCATCGCCGGTCTCATTCACGGCTACTGCCATATCCCAGAGCAATGGCTTTCTTCGGTTGGGCCCATCCTGGAGCCATGACTGCGTGGGTGATGGAGGAGATGATGCACGATTGTCGTTGTTGTCAACTTGTCGTTGTTGTCGTTGTTATTGTTGTTGTTATTGTTGTTGTTATTGTCTCTCGCTGTTCAGAGAAGATGTACTGTTGGAGGGGCCTGATATTTCAGTGTGTGTGGTGAAGGTGTTGAGGTCGAGATGATTGTTCAGGTCAATGTCTCATCACCTGGTGCGTGGTTTCCACGAGGTCAGCAGGGAAGGCGCTTGGCGCCAAGGGAACGGGGGAAGGAAGGGGGGGGGTTTATCAAGTTTTATTATCATACTTGATCCTTCTCTGGCCGCCGGAACGCGCTAATTAGGTTCGAGTGGAGAGAGTGAGCGCTATTTAGGGACATTATTCGCGGCTGCGGGGCAGATCCTGACTCTTTCCATAATTCCATTGGCTTGGGAGATTCGAGAAGGATACATGCCCGTCATTCTGGTAGCTTCTTCTGCTGCTGCTGCTGCTTCTTATTATTATTATCATCATCATCACCATCATCATCCTCATCTTCAACGGGCGCGTAATTTCAGATGGCGCCTATTCCTGGTCATGAACCGCTCAGAATAGCATCAAAGAAACTCGATCCAATAAGTAATCTGCGCACCTGGCGACACCATCCATCCACGCCCACTCAATTCAATATGCTGCGCGTCCACAATCATCTCCTCGAACTAGCCGCGTCGGCGGAGATATAGCGAGACGCACATGCCTCGTCCCTGTTCGTCCGCTGCTAGAGGACTAGGACGAGGAGGATGAGGAGGATGAGGACGAGGAGGAGCAGGAGGAGCAGGAGGAGCTTAGTTCTTCGCGCTGGCACCCAATTTGGTGCGTGGAGGCAGTGTACAGCACTAATTGGTATGCAGAGGCAGTGTACCGCAGTAAAACAGCACTACCGCTACTGTGAGAGGACGCGACATCGATGTCGAATCGAGATCCGCTGCAGCTAGGATGCGCTTATTTGGGCTGCTTTTGTGCTTCCCTCAGTCCGTCATCAGTTGGTCTCTGTGCCTCCAACAGTCTGTCTGTCAGGCTGTCTCTGCGCCTTCACCAGCTCCACCAGCTCCACCGGCCCGTACCCTGGTGTCTGGGCGCACCACGTGAATGAGCAGACTCGCAGAGCAGAGCAGTGCCGAGCAGAGCTTCATGAATTGCCTTTTTTTCAATAGGTGGCCCCGCTTCACATCGGTCGACTGCAGGCCGAGAGAGAGCGGGAGAAAGCGAAAGAGAGCGGCAGAGAGGAAGAGAGAGAGAGAGAGAGAGTCTGGAGAGAGACACGTGCTGCTGGGACCAGTATCATCAGGCAGGCACCTATCAGCAGCACTCAGTGGAGACGGGCCGAGTGTGAACAATAGGTGCAGCAGCTGCACATCTTACGTTCTGACATGCCTGTGACAAGCGTGCGCGGGTGAAGAGTGAACAGGTGGGAGGGATGTGATTGTGGTGCAAGCAGGGCTGTGGCGGCCAAAGACAGCTAATTAGGGCACTTCGGCGGTCCAAAGAGGCTAATGCGATATCCTGGCGCGCAAACTCACGCACAGTAGACTCCTTGACTCAGTAGTGATGAGGAGGGCTATCAGATATCCTGCCCTCCTACTCCTAGAGTCCTAGCTGGACCTGCACCTGCACCTGGACCTGGTCTGGACTACTGGTCAAACTACGTACTGTAAGTGAAGGAGAGGAGCAAGTCTCAGGCCGTCAGCCTCCTGCGCCGCCCTGAGCTGCCTGAGTCCTGACTCCCTCACTCTCCCACTCTCTCGTCTCGTGACATCGTCTCCTCCCGCCCTGTCGCGTCCAGTCGGCCGGCCATCCATCATTCATTCACTTACTTCCACGGCAGCGCGAGTAGTTCGTTAGGTTGGTGCGAGCAGCGAACATCGAACAGCGAGCAGCGAGGGCACGCGGCTCCTGGGATCTGGCCTTTTGTCTGAAAATAAAGCAAAGCATGCCCTGCCTGGCGCGCTGCCACTCACTGCCCTCCCCCTGCCCTGCCCTGCCCTCCCTTGTCATGCCCTGCCCTGCCCGGTCGCTCTGCAGTGCCAGTGTGCACCTCAGCCCTGGCCCATAGTCCGTGCATGGCACTGAGTGCCTAACTAGTAACGAGCAACGACTGAGCGACTGAGCACTGAACAGGATGCTCCCAGCCAGGCTCAGGCGCAGGCGGGAGCCAGCACCTGCGCACATGCTGCTGGCTACTTACCGGACCGCCGTACATATCCAACAACATGTCCGCTTCTCAGAGCATGGTCTTGCTTCCCTTGGCCTTTCCGCCTCCCGACTTTGCCAGCAACACTATCATCATCATCATCGCCAACTGCCTTCTTGCCGGCTATCCCGCTCCATGACCTCTGTGGCCTCCAGCTCTCACGCACTGCACCGAACCACCACACAATGGCCTCAGGCCAGCTCTACCCGCCGTTGTCTGGCACCATCAACCCAATGCACATGGGACACGACGCCAAATACGATCCCGCTGTGGGCATCGAAGCTTCCGATTGCTATGCCCCATCATCGACTTCGGTATGTCCACCGCTGTATGCAGCTCGACTTCGTGGGAAAGCGGCGTTGTTGGGCAAGCTTCCCTGCTCGATGCAGAGACAAACTCACATGGTAGCAGTACGCATACAACGACTCATACGTGACTCCATATCCATCATCCACAGCCGAGAGCCAACCGTGGACTCAGTATGCACGCGCCTCTGCTCCGGACCTTCATGTGTCGACATCATACGGGAGCCTATCGGTGCAATCGCAACACTCGTCGTCCATGATGAAAGACCCAGGAAGGCCGAGAAGTAGTCCCAGCACCTTTGGTCCATCACCAGAATCCATTACATGGACGACGACCAGTGGACTAGGACTGCAATACACGACGGCCGGTGGTCAACCCTCACCACCGCCAGCAACCTCCACAACCACATTTCCCCCCAACGTATTCCAGACCTATCCCACAGATGACCACTACAGCACATCAAGCCCACCGCGACTGCGCCAGCCACAGCCACGAAAGGCATTTACATCCATCGCACCCAGTCCAGCAGCAGGTCCTGATTCAGGCAAGCGGAAACGAGACGATGACCTGGATCTCCAATCTGGTGGCAGCGGCGTTGGCGGTGGCGGGAAGCGCAGGAAGCGTGCCACCTCGGTAGCGTCTCAAGCAGATCTGAGCGAGGACGACCGCTTTCTGGTGCAGCTCAAAGAAGACGAAAACATTGCCTGGAAAGACATTGCCGCCCGTTTCATGAACGAAAAGGGCAAGAACTTCCAAGTCGCTGCTCTCCAAATGCGCTACAAGAGGCTCCGAGAAAAGTTCCGCATCTGGGAAGACCAGGATGTCCAAGCATTGAAACTCGCGCACGAGTATTGGGAAAAGTACAAGTGGGAGATTATTAGCGCCAAGGTATGTTGTGGTGGTGTAGACCATGTTCGCCAGTTGGATAGTAGTACCATACATGCTGACCTTTTTGTGTTTTTCCTTTTCTTCCTTCTATAACAGATGCTAGACTTTGGAGTTCAAGAAAGGTGGCCCGCACGCCACTGCGCTCGCAAGTGGACGGAACTTGAGCCCAGCAGTAGTACTCCTGCCCCGCAGCCTGCCACCACGACTACGGCCACGGCCACGGCCACCACGGCCACCAGCGCCGCCACCACTCTTGGATTGACCCCAGCATCTGTGTCATCGTTTTCGAGTCCTGTCGAAGGACAGCCTCACTATGCATTCATGTCCTCCATGTCGTGACTAGCCGACGCGGGACGCAGAGGAGGAAACCAAGTGCCATCTCCCCCCGCAACTGTCGAAGCTTCCCATGTATTGTCGTGTATGAGGCGCGCGGGCCTTTCTGAGCCAGACCAAAAGATTCCACACACAGGGCATATTACCAGTTTTTGAAACAAAGGGGAACTTCACTGGCCATACCATTCTGACGGGACGGGACGGGACGGGATCTTTTTCTTTTTCTTTCTTCTTTTCTTTTCTTTTCTTTTTATTTCTCCTTCATTTTTTCCAAGATACCCATTCCGCTCGCTCGTTTTGGAGCAACGTATATTCTCATTCACCAGAAGAACACACAAAAACAACAACATGAACAACAAAGAAACATTGCATACATTTGATCTGCTTCTATGATGTATACGACTTGGATGCGATACGACTTGGGGGACGAGGGGAGAGAAGGTTTGGGGTGTTTTGGAGAGGGAGGGAGAGAGGGAGAGAGGGAGAGAGGGAAATTGAGACACACACAGAGAGAGGGAGAGGGAGAGGGAGAGAAAGTCTTTTTTCCAAGATGGACACAATGTATACACAGCACCAGGTTAGAGCCAGAGGCGCGGCTTGCTCATCATCATCAACATGCTCCTCTGTGGGTGGGACAGAGGGGGTGGGTACCAATATGTGTATGGAAGACATTTGATTGTATCGTATGATTTGACCAATACAAAACGATACGAGTGAGAGAGTGAGAGAGTGAGAGAGTGTAAGAGAGAGAGAGAAGACCATATTACTCATCCATTCTCGCAAACACATCAACTCATCTCCAGCAGTATGTAGTTAGTGACCTCTTCATCAACCAACCACTGCATTCTTTCTCTCTCTTCAAGCCAATGCAATAGCCTCGACCTCGACGGGAACACCCTTGGGAAGTTCCTTGACAGCCACGCACGAGCGAGCAGGTTTGTACGGACCAAAGTATTTTTCATAGACGGTGTTCTACACAACCACATTATCATCATATGTCAGCAAAAACAGAGAAAAAAAAAAAAATAAAAAATAAAATCCAAACTCACCATCTCCCCAAAATTCGCCATATCAGTAATAAACACCGTCACCTTTGTAACTTTGGCCAATTCACTCCCTGCTGCTTCGAGAATATTCACCAGTCCCTCAATACATGCCGTCGTTTGCTCGGCGATACTGCCCGTTACGAGCGTACCGTCTGCTCGGGCGGGGATTTGTCCCGAGACGAAAATGAGTCCCGCTGCGTGGATGGCTTGGGACTGTTGTAGTAGATGATGATGATGATGGTTAGAAGGTGGGAATGGGAGGGGAATGGGAGGGAGAGAGGGGTGGATGACTCACGTAAGCTGCGACGGCTATATATTTTTTTGGGGGAATTTTGTGTTAGTCAATTTGGTTTTTTTTAATGTCAAATTTTTCTTTTATAGAGTGTGGAATGTATCCATTGGGATGAATGCCCTCTGCCCCCCTTCTACATGAAAAGAGGGGGTAAAAAAAGAAGAGAAAAAAAAAATAGGGAAATAGGACTTACGCTTCATAGCCTTGTCGGTGCTAATCTGCTTGATTCCAGTGGACGACATGTTGTTGCTATTCTTCTTCTTCTCGTTCTCGTTCTTGTTGGTGTTGATGCTGAAGAATCGTATTCTTGTTTGCGCAACAGAGCTGCTTCTCAATGGTAGGCGGACTGGAGGATTCGGCGAGACAGTCAGGATGTGAGCAGCAGCAGCAACAACAACAGCGCCTGATGATGATGGTGATGGTGATGAGGAAGAGAAGGTGGAAGAGGAAGAGAAATGTCGACTTGTTCGTGAGAAGAACATACCAGAATTGCGAAAGTTAGTTTGTTGTCGAAAAAGGTGAATAATTCGTCGATGGTGGGGTGAAGGTAGGTAGTAGGTAGGTGGGGCCACCACAGTCCACTTGAACTTGCACGTGCAGCGGGAACTAACGGACGAATGAGATGGAGAGCGGGCTTAGCCGTCATTATATGTAGATATAATATTCAAATAAAGAGAGAAAAAAAAAAGAAAAAAGAAAACAAATCTACGGCCAAGGCTTCCCATCCTTCCATACCGTATACCCCTTAAACTCCTCATTTCCATCCGGATCAAACTTCACATGATGCGGAGGATCCACCCAATCATTCGTATTCCAATCAAAATACTGCTCAAACACTCCATCATGATAAAATTTCCTCTCGCCATGAAAATGATGTCTCGACTTCCACAACCGCGCCCGTTCGATTTCCTTTTGCGCCTCGCGAGCTCTTTCGACGGACGATAGTGATGCATACCCTGTGGAGTGCTGCTGTTGGTGTTGTAGTTCTTCTTGTAATTGTTGTTCGTCTGCTTGTTGTTGTTGTAATTCGTCGTTGTGTCGAGAAGAACCAGGTAAGAGGCCAACACAATGTCCATCATCTTCGGGTAAACGACAGCGGCGCAAGCGACAGAATTCGAGAGTGCGATAGAGGCATTTTTCGATCCATTGGAAGAGGTTGTCGCGATAGAGATGCAGCCGTTTGCAGGTTTCTGGGGTGAGATTCTGGATGCGGCCGTTGACGAGGTGGTTGGTGTGGAAATCGGGACCGCAGAGAATTTCTGCTCGACCGTCGAGGAGACTTGTGCCGCCATCGGGAGCACTTCGATGATGTTGATAGGTGAGTTGTTCCATCAGGCTGTATTCGATGTGGTTTTGGAACATGGATACGGCGTCGGCGACGGAGCATTTCAGGCCTCTGGAAAGGAATATCTAGTTTGGAGGTTAGTCTCTCTGTATGTTTCTCTCTCCTTTTTCTTTTCAGAAGATGAAGCTGAAAACTCACAGCATCACAAAACGCCTCCACAATATGCGCCATCTCGGGATACAATATTGGACGAAACTGATAACAAAGTTCCGGATATCGATCATCCTGTTGAATGATGTCCATAAAAATATACACCACCATATGCGGATCCGTGATCATAATCTCCCCGTTAGGTACCACCACCACCGTCCCACCACCACCACCATCCTCAGTAGCAGCACCAGCAGCACCAGCATCAGCAGTAGCAGTAGTACCCCTACCCCGTCGATCCAAATCCGCCCAGGAGCGTTCATAATTTTCCCAAGCGAGAAAGCGCGAAGGCACCGGGGGAGCAAAAACACCCTGAAACTCGCCATATTTCAAATAATCCTGCTCCTCGCGCGTATAGCACGGAGTATCATCCATGAGACATTTGGCGACATCCGATCCGGGTCCCGTGACGCGACACGTCAACACGAGACATTCTTCGCAAATGTAATGGTTGCGATTGCAAGGATACGCATACGGCTCTTGCAGGATCGGTTGCTCGTGGGGACCGAATGGTCTCCAACAGATGGCGCAGAATCGTTCGAGTTCGTTGGGAATGTCGGAATAGTGTGTTTTGCGATATTCCCAAATGGTGGCATAGGGTGGCCATCTGCGCATTCGGAAGCGATAGCGTGCTTGGACGGCATTGTCGAAATTTTGTCTTTCTTGAACCCATATTTCAGGCGAGTTCGGATCGATGAATTGGAATTTTCGCGATTCGAGAAGGAGGATTCGGTGCCGGATTGCGCGTTGTGATTGCCCCCACACGAGTTCCATCAAATCCCCGACCCAGGCCCATTTCGTTGCTCGACTCGGGTCGCGGAGCCAGTTGAACAGGTCTTGGAGGGGGCCGTCGAACAGGGTGTTGGTATGGTTGTGGAGGACGGGCGAGTCGGTCGTTTCGACTGCGAGTTGGGTGGTGAATCGCATCCTTATGATGCCATCGCCACCTATCTTTCGGTAGGGTGTAAAGCAGAGCAACGAGGACCCTGGAGCGTGAATCAAAGCATCAAGTGCTGCTTCCGGGTCGGCCTGATTCCATGCGTCATAGAATTCTTCCGCCGTGGTGAATTCGGTCGCACGATAGTAGCTGGAAAAGTGATTATCTTCCATGGAACTGCGACAAGCATTCTTCACCACCTCTTCGTCTTCGACAAGGGGGTCAAGGGGGTTGTGCATGTGCGATAGAACCCTATCATCCGGATCCGCTAGCTCTTCGCCGTCCTGGAGACATTGGAGATCCGGATAGAGGACTCGGACCCGGTGCTGAAGTCCATACGGGGGCAGATGAGGTCCGCCGGGACGAGCCTTGTCCAGATTTCGCCACTGTTTGAGCGTGTCCTCAATGGCGGTCTGCAGAGTCGCAGACATAGTAGCCGGCCACTTGAGACGGACGGCCATTTTGGTGGTATATATCAGTCAGAGCTGTAGCGAACGATGAACACCTCTCGGAGAGAAGCATGATGGCGTTGAGCGACTTCAAGAGTGCGCAGACAAAGACTCTGATTTTCGCCGGATTAGGCCAAAATATTATTGAGATGCCATTGTCTGTTCCCGGCTAGTCGATGGACTGAATTTCATTGTTGACAGTCTTCGTACTCGACAGAGTCGGTTTCATTGTTGTAGTAACCCCTTCAAGGTTCAAAGTCGCTGATTGGTTTCTTCTATAGGACAAGTAAGATCTGCGCTGGTAGACATTCTGTCCAATATCTGCAAAGACTAGAAAAGAATTGAAACGATTAGCGGAGAGGTGAGTATAGATCAGCAGCAGTCCATGTCTACATCTACTGCATCTAAAATAAATCCGTCATTGCTCCCTGGCTAGCGTCGCCCACCAGCCTCGCATACTTGGCCAACACACCTCTCGTGACCGGCATCTTCGGCGGTGTCCAATTCTCCAACCGCTTTTGGATTTCCTCATCGCTAACATCAAAATCAATTCGATTCGTTTCCGCATCAATCGTAATCACGTCTCCGTCCTCCACAACAGCGATCGGACCGCCGACGGCAGCTTCGGGAGAGATGTGTCCGACGATGAACCCGTGCGAGGCACCAGAGTATCGGCCATCGGTGATGAGAGACACGTTCTTGAGTCCAGCGCCCATGATGGCGGCGGATGCTTTGAGCTGTTCAGGCATACCAGGGCCACCCTTCGGCCCCTCGTAGCGAACGACGAGCACGAGGTTTTCTCCTCTGGGGATCAGACCTTGGTTCAAGGCGTCGTTTAATTCAATCTCCTTGTTGAACACTCTTGCTTTACCAGTAAACTTCATACCCTCTTTCCCCGTGATCTTCGCCACGGCACCATTTGGTGCGAGGTTGCCTCTCAAAATCTCCAAGTGTCCTGTAGCTTTGATCGGTTTGTCAATGGGTCTAATGAGATCTTGGCCTTGCTTCAGACTCGGCCAGCTCTCCACATTCTCGGCCAACGTTTTACCTGTCACGGTGATGGTGGTGCCATCTAACAAGCCCGCAGCGATGAGAAGTTTCTGCACAGAAGGTATACCACCGATTTCATACAAGTCTACCATGAGGTACTTCCCTGAGGGCGCGATGTCGGCGATGAAGGGGACCTTGTCGGATATACGTTGGAAGTCGTCGAGAGTCAGATTGACTTCGGCTGTACCCGCCATGGCGAGAAGGTGGAGGACACCGTTCGTACTGCCTCCCAGAGCCATCATCATGACCATGGCGTTCTCAAAGGCCTTCTTGGTGAGGCAGTCGCGGGGCTTGATGTCTTTCTCGAGGCAAATCTTGATGGCGTCAGCGACTTTGGCGCATTCTCGCATCTTGGCGGGCGATGTGGCGGGTGTCGATGATGAGCCTGGAAGCGAGAGTCCGATGGTTTCAATTGCCATGGCCATGGTGTTCGCGGTGAACATTCCTCCGCATGCCCCTTGTCCGGGACAAGATGTTCGCTCGAGATCCGTGAGTAAGTCGTCCTTGTTTTGTTCTGGCTTGTTAGCATTCTTGAGACTGTCATAGAGGTAGGCGCCATGTGCCTCGAGGACAGTGGCGATGTTGATCGTCTTTTCTTGGAGCTTGGAGTATCCGGGGTTGATGGTGCCTCCATATATCATGATCGAAGGTCGGTTGTGTCGTGCAAAGCCCATGACCACGCCCTGGGATGAATCGGTCAGCATGCATCTGGTCGTACCTAGTGCACCGAGGCTGCTTCTGCTTCCCTCCTCCTCCTCCTCCTCCTCCTCCTCCTCCTGCTACTCACTGGCATGTTCTTGTCACAACCCGGGATAGCAATACAGGCATCATGATGCTGTGCACATGTGACCGTCTCGACGCTGTCGGCGATGAGCTCTCTCGACTGCAGCGAGAATCGCATGCCCTCACCACCCATGGTGATGCCGTCACTAACGCCGACGGTATTGTATTGCCATGCCAGCATCTCCTGCTTTTCGATTGCCTTTTTCACCTCTTTCCCGATGTCGAGTAGGTGCGTGTTGCATGGATTGCCTTCCCACCATACACTGGCCACTCCCACCTGAGGAAAGGTCTTCAGAGCCTTCTCATTCGGCACACCGGCGGCATACAGCATCGCCTGAGCAGCGGGAAAGTCATGTTCTCTGGTTAAGGTGGAGGAGAACTTGTTAAGACCGGATCCGGGCTGCGAGTGCTTGAAGTTGAGGTAGCGAGGGTCTTCGGGTTCGCGTTGGTGGAGTTGTCGATCACGGTTCGAGGGCTCCATGGTGCTGGTGAGCGAGGGCGTCGGTGATGTGTGTCTGGGCAGTAAGGTAGTGGTGATTGCAACGCCTGGAAGTGCAGGAGACAGAAAGAGGCCAATGGGTGGTGGCAGTGTCGGGCGAATGAGAGGGACGACAGTTCCGATTATGGAGGTACTAGGTAGGTAGGTTAGCTGGTGCACATGGACACGCACCGCATCTTCTTATAGGTCCATGTAGGTGGTAGTTATAGCGGGTGAGTACTAAGGTAGGTAAGGTAGCGGATGACTGGATATAGCTCTCCCCGCACCGAACCCGCCCGCCGCATTGTTGTGCCGAGAGGTGGAGCAGTAAACATTAATTGGTCATGAAGATACTGTCATTTAGTAGTATTAGTAGTAGTGGCAGTGGTAGTATACAGATCGTTGCTAAACCCATAGAAGTCATCTTGTAGCTTTCTGGTCTGTTCGAGTCTTCACTGGTGCGAGAGTGATGTGATAGAAGGCCCCGAGGTGAAAGAAAAAGAGCCACTTGCAAATCAGCGAAGAAAGAATGTTGTACAACAGGACATATATGTATCCTAAAGTACACGCATAAGGTAGTGAGAAGGTCCGACCGTTGGGGGTATCATGAACATACAGCGCTCGCCTACTTGTCCCATTCCGCTGCACTGCTACTCTCCCCGTCAGGCACCGCAGCAGCGGCAGCAGCAGCACTACTCGACCCGGCACTGCTCGCACTCTCGCTTGCCTTTGAATGGGGTGCGGGATCTTTGGCGGGCGGTGGTGGCACATTGTCCACGTCGTCGTCGTCGTCGTCGTCGTCTTCAAAGTGAGATGGGTCCACCATCTGTGCATCGCGGGACGAATGGTCGAGATGCTCTTGCAATGTATCATCAGCAGAGACGCTGATACCTCTGGCGCCCCAGCGATCGCTTGGGCTGCGAGTGGCCCCTGGCCTGATGTTTCCGTTCTCCTGCTCTGCCAGCCGGTCTTCCTCCTCCGTAATGTCGTCGTCTTCATTGCTATTCTGGTTGCCTCGTTTTCCAATGAATCGCTTGACAATGAAGCTCTTGCTGAGATCATCGCTGTCGACCACTCCGCCGTATCGGAGCTTCACGCGCTGCCTGGACCAGTACACCCACGCAAAGTCCACGTATAAAGCGGTCTGAATGAGACCAAAGATGACGCTCGTGGCATCGACGTGTTCGTTGGCACTGAACATCTTCACGATCCAATTGAGGATATAGAAGAAGCGGTAGCTCCCCAGCGTGACGAGGTAGAAGGAATCGAGCACGGTCGGTACGCTGGTCTGTCGAAGGAGGAGCAGCTGCGGCAGGACGCATACCGACTCCAAGATGATACTGAAGGTCCACAGGAGCTATACAGAAGAAGAAAAGACAAGTGAGTATTTCTCATCCCTGCAAGGCAGAAGAATACGAGCGACGACTGAACAGGTGGATAGTACGAGAGAGAGGGAGGTATAATAACAACAGAGCATGCTTGCATACATACCTCGGACAGCGTCGACCTCTTCCAGCCCTCAAACAGCAGACACACCAAGGGCGCGCTGACCGTGCTCCCGGCCAGCGACCAGATGGCCAGCTTCCACCCATACTCCTTTTCCCGCGTGCGCGCAAACACGCGCATCATGATGAAGACGATATAGGCCGATGTGGCCAGGTAGAAGAGCTTCAGCACAAAGTTCCACCAGCTGAACCATGGCGGCACCCAGAAGAGATCGAGATAGCGGGTGGTGAAGACGAGGCAGTAGAGCAGTTGGGTCAGGAGACTGACACCCTCAGCCGACTTGTTGCTGTGAATGGCCCAGATGAGGATGCATTTGGAGGCCGTGTGAGAGACATCGCCGAGGATGCGGAAGACGTTCATGTGGAAGACCGAAGCCATGGTGGAGGAGGAGGAGGGTAGTTCAGTTAATGGTGCATTGCTGAAAGTGGGTTTGGTGGTGGTGGTGGTAGTACGGTATGTATGTAGTAGTAGTAGTAGTAGTGGTAGTATCAGGAGGAGGAGGAGGATGACAACAGATGGTGAGATCACGGTAGTCGGCGGCTTGTCTGCCCTTCCCTAGCCCTTCCAGCCCTTGCCGATCAGATGCGAAGAGACGCGTGGGCGGCTTCGTGTTGGTGCCAAGTGCCTGCTTTGCCGCGTCGGAACCAGGGTCTGAAGATCGCCAGAGTACATACATGTATCCACTACACTACTGCACTTTAGTGATCCTTACGGTACTCCCACTACTACCTTACTACTGTACCACTACATCTTCCTCGTTTTCTTCCCCCACAACATCCACCCAACATCCGACATCCAACATCCAACATCCACATCGGGAAATGCTCTCTGCTCGGCAATGCCTCAAAACGGTTTGTATTCAAGTCTTCCTAGCGAGACTTGGCTACGGCCGTGTGCCATCTATAATACACTGAGACCGACTGTCGTCGTAGACGGTCATAGTCCCACCCCAATGCCACTGCGACATGAAGTGTAGCCTACCTATTGTAAGGTATGTAGGCAGTCCCCTCTGTTTCCCATCATCGCTCAGAAAACCGCCCCCAAACCTTGCAATCTTATCCCTGTGGTCCCACAATGGCATCGAGCGACATGGGATTGACAGCACGCCCTCCACGAGTCCGCTCTTCCTTTTCCGCCTCACTGGCGCCATCACCCTGTGCCGCATCATTCACATCTGATCCCGCTGCTGGGCTACTCGCGTTATCATCCTTCTTCTTGCGTGGACCCTTCTTGATCCCCTTGTCCTTTCTTTCGTGATGGTTCTTGCTACCTGGCGGCCGGCCCTTGCGAACACTGCTGCTGCTGCTGCTGGCCGCACCGGGAGGTTGAGGAGAACCGCTCTCGCTGCGACGTGAAACACTGGCGCCACGAAGCTCCTGGATGCGCTTCGGAATGTGACCGGCCCAGCGACCTCGAGAAGGTGGTACCCATTCGTGGGGATCGCCTTCAAGCACGGGCGTGCGGGTGCGGTCGGGCGTCGTGCTCTCTGTCTTGTTGTTATTGTTGTCGTCCACTTCGGTGCTATCTGCGACTGAAAGACGCGACTTTTGGCGTAGAACAGGAACGACCACGCCATCGAAGCGCGACACGGGCTTGACCGTGCGTCGAGTCGTCATTTCTCCATCGCCGTAGTTGACTTGTGACGTGTGCGGATCGTTACGACCACGGCGTCTGCGAAGCTCGCGGCCCTCAGCGTCCCGTACGATCCGCTGAGCATCGGGATCCTGGAAGCCAATCTTGCGAGCATCAAAGGCGTAATCGTATAGTGCCGCCTCTTTCTTGTCCTCCCAGACATCATGCGACACGGGCTCGCGCCCACCATGCATGGGCTTTCGCTCCTTCTTGCCATGCATCGGGTTTCGTGCTACAATCTGATCGAGCTCGAGGTACTCGTCCTGCAGTTGCTTGAGAGCCGTCTGTGCGTTGGCGGCGAGACCTTTGAGAGATTCCATCGAGCGTGCGGCGGGATCAAACTTGGTCAGTGCCGCTACAAATGGATCGGGCCCCACAATCGGCCGAAAGATTTGGCGGAGGATATGTTCAGCTTCGTCGTCTTGCTCGTCCACGTCGGACCAATCGTCCTTGTAGAGGCTCGGGAGGTCTGCATCCGTCAGGCGATCATCCTCGGGAGCAAGTGGTGGCGGCCGGGGCGTGGGTGCCTTTGGCTCGGCGTTAGAGGAAGCCTTGGAATGCAGACCGGTCTGCTGACTGCGTTTGCGGATCACTTTCGTAGATCGTTGCAGCAATGTGCTGGCCTTGCGCTTAACACCAGACAGAACATTCGAGCTTCCAGCGTCTGCCGCTGAAGCCGAAGCGCGGTGCAGTTGTGCCTCTGGTCCATCTCCACGTGGGCGTGATCCCGCAGACGTGCGTTGCTTTTTGGCGGGACGAAGACTGGCTTCGTAGTTTTCGGCCTCTTCTTTGGTCAATCGGCAATGTTTGCCGCCCCCTCGGTAGTGCCACTGATACTGTGGGTACAGATCCGGACCTTCTTCTCTTCGAAGGAGAGCTGTAATTGGTGGCGGGATTTTGCCATTTTCATCAATCTCCTCGCCCCGCTGCATGGCATCGAACAGTTCTTTCGCATTCGGTCCTCGGACTGCCATCTTATTGGAAGAGCCAGGAGGCGGAAGCCCTCGTGCCCACTTTCCCTGGCCACGATGATGGAAGATCTCGTCGGGGCGGGCATCTACGTAGTCCTTGTCGAGCAGAACGTCTGGGTCACTCTTGGTGCGTGTGGTCTTGAGTTTGTTGTCGCGCATCAACGCATCTTTCGCTTCGACACTGGATTTGATGCTGAGGCGCCGGCCACTGTGGCCACGTGCCACATCGTCAGTGTCAATTTTAGTAGGGTCCGCTTTACTGACGCGGCGGCCAGATGACCAGGCGGCGGGCACCAATGTCTCGGTCGCCATACTGTGTAAGCTGCTCTTCCGCCGACCGTTGTTGTAGTGAGCTGTCTGTAGTGCACCCCGCGGATCATCCAAGCCAAAATTATTCTTCTCGGCTTTTGCCAGCAGATCCTCGGCGTCCTTGGTGCTCAACTCATGTAAGCCTAGAAGCTCGCCGTCGGCGAGAACCAGTTTCGTGCCTTTGATGCCATGAGGACTGGGACCGGGGCGGTAGAACTGGTTACCTCGATGGTGCACGATACGGCCAGTGTGCTTGTGCAGATCCTCCTTTTTCACGGCAGTATCGCCATTCATGTCATGAGAGGCTTCGCTGCTACTGCACTTGTTGGCATGTGAGGTGCTTGAGCCACAACGTGTAGAGCGCGGGTTGTTACTGACATGGCCCTCGTGATTATGTGGCGAAGTTCGAATGTGAGACGTGATTTCTCCTTCATCCTCGACCTCACTTTCCTCTTCGAGGTCTTCTTCTTCGAGCTCTTCATCACTCTCGCCATAGGTGTTGACTGTGGCATCAACCAATCGCGTACTACGTCGACGGTTGCTGCTCGCATTGCCAACAGAAGATCGGGCTTGGCGCGTCGGCCTCGTCCTTCCGACAGAATCCGGCGCAGAAGAGGGAAAGGTGCGGTCCATTGCTGAGATCCAGTTTCTGACGATTTCACGATACTCGGGATGCTCGATACCTTCGATCGCTTGGAGCCAGTCTTGTCGCGGACTCTCCTTGAGCAAGGCGGTAATTCCATTCCATTGGCCTCGCAGCTGCGGACTCCAGCCCGGACGGGCATTGGGATTCAGCTTGATGCGGTGTTCGTTGAAGTCATGCCACAGCTCTTGCAGCATGCCTTCCATGGTCTCGGCAGTGATTGCTGATGAGGTGGTCGTGGCTCGCTCTGGAAGTTTTCTACTATGCGTCAGTGATACGATACCACGGGTCCGCCGCGCGCCTGGTGAAGCAAGCAAGTCTCTGAGGAAGCATACCTTGTCGGTCGGAGCGCCTGCTGCGCTGGTGGCTCGGCTTTGACCTTGGACGCTGGCAAGTAGCGACCCTGGCCACGATGGACCCACTTGGTCTCCGGATGCTTCAGGGTGTACTCTTTCGAATACGTGCCGCGTTCGTTGGGTCCTTCAGCATCGTCGAGGTCGGCGCGGTTTCCAACGTTTGATTCATCTTCGCCGGATGAATGGCCGCTCTCCGACTCGCCGTCGTCGTCGTCGTTGTAAGGTGCAGGTCTCGGCTGTTGCTGGAGGATGGCACGACACTTCTGCTTCGAGTCCGGTGTGCCAAAGAAGATGGACAAATTGCCAAACGATTCGTAAGCCTTTGTCATTTCCGTATTCGAGCGCGAATTCCTCGCCCTCGCCGCGTCTTGTTTGATTCGAAGGCGAGACAGAGTCGCTGTTGTTGCGCCGGTTGGGAGGCGCGCCGGACCTGGCATTAGTTCTTCAACTGGAGCGCTGCGCGCGGGCGATGGGGCAGCCATGATTGATTCCGACGATGCGGCAGTGGATTGATGCGATGCGGAGCGTTGCATCAATAAAGAATCGTCGTGTGCGAATCTCCTGCGTCGTGATGATTGCGGCGATGGTGAGCCTTGGACAGCTGATGGCGAGAGTGACGAGGCCAATTGCGGTGGATGCGAGTCGACGGAGCGGTCGCTGTGGTCCATCGTTGCGACGTGTCCCGTCGATAATGACGAGGGAATTGGCACGGCAACAATAGCAACAACAACGACAACGCCGGTATTGTTGAGTGTTGTGGAATTCGAAAGAGGCAAATAGACTAAACTGTGTGAAGAGCAGCCCCCGGTCGAGGTCGATGCACCAGACAAGGCTCCAAGGTTTACACGCCAAGGCTTACTAAGGCAACACATCCGTCCATACGGGAGAGAGCAACGGCACGACTCGGCGCCTGTTTCGGAATAGCGTGGACATGTCGTTCCCGTCTCCAACCTCATCCATCCCATCCCTTTCCCACACCCCTTTCCCATCCCTTTTTCCTTTCCATTAACAGTATAGTGAGACTGCGACTATACCGCCCGGCTTCATTCTTTGCTGCCTCCATCACCATCAGCTACGTAAGGTACGTGGACATTGCTGCCAGCGCATGGCTGGCTTACAGCCGTGTTCTGGGCACGGAACTCTCGGGCGGGACAGCCGCTACTATGGCCTCTCGATCCCTCACACTCCGCCCAATCCTCTCGGCAAACATCATCGTCGTCCACATGGTGTTCGCTGCCGGTATCGTGGGAATCACGCTGGCATCCGCCACTCGAAGCCCGCTCACTCCATACACTCGTCCACTCTGGTCGACAACTCCCCCCTGTTGGTGAGCGGCCATGCGACAGGAGCCCGAGAAGTGATAAGTGCTGGAATACTGGGCTTGGATCCAGTCGTCGAGCAACGTGTCTGAAGCAATGATATCGGTGGTCAGCCCCAGAGGTGGCGACAACTGCTGTTGCATCGAGTCGGACGTGATGATGCGGTGTGCTAGGCGCACACACTGACGTGCGCAGGCGCGGTCTAGGGCAGTGGTCAAGTAGTTGGGCGAGACGACAGGTTGCATGTGCGGGTCACGGCTTTGAATATGCACTGTGCCGCGGGAGGTGGGCTTATTGACGTTGCAACCGATGCCTGCGACGTGGCCTGCTGCCGATCCACCGAGACTCCGCTGACTCGCGGATGATGAGCTGGATGGCGGAGCAGCGTACAGGTAGCTGAAGCAGACCAGCTGCAGATCCAGCGCTCTCGCAGCCGCCGAGGAAGACCAACGAGCCTGCATTTGTAGAGAGAAGTCCGTCTCAATATACGATCCTGCTCTCGGCCTTGCTACCACCGGCACGCAGGGGTGGTCTGCCAGATGTTGTCCGACGGGGAGGTCTTGCACCAGAGGTATCGCAAGGGATGAAAGTAGAGCAGAGGGTCCGATGCCCGAGCGCTGGAGCAGGGCCGGGGAAAAGACAGCACCGGCAGCGAGAATGACTTCCACACTGGCAGATATGTGGCGATGATCATCGAGCACGACACCCACTGCGCTGCCATGCGAGAAAGCAATGCGATCGACATAAGTGTTGGGCCACATCTGGAAATTGTGCTGGTGACGAATGGGATGAATGAAAGTGTCTGCGGCACTGATGCGCTGACTGCCCTGGCGGCAGACGGGCGACGATCCAACGCCTTCCACGCCGGTGGCATTGAGGTCGTCGACCCACGGTAAACCACAGGCCATGGCATCAGCCACAAATGCCCTCTGGATGGCTCCGGCGTGCTCGGGCTGCGTGCGTGTCAAGAGCGGGTGGACTCTCTTCGCGCCACTCGCCTCGTCTCGCTCCAGTGCGATGTACACGGGCTCGACGCTGTCCCACGACCACGCATCGTTGCCCAGCTGCACCCACTCCGCACAGTCGCGTACGCTGTTCCTCAACGCAGTCCCGCCATTGATGCTGCTGCCTCCGCCGACCACCTTGGCTTGCGCCACATGCATAGAATCACTGCCATCCGGAAGTTCCACGCGAATGTTCCAATCGATGCGATCATTGAAGATTTCCGACTGTCCTTTCATAGGCACCCGCCGCGCATTCTTCGCGCCCAATGCGACCTCTGGCTCGAGGCAATCAGGGCCGGATTCGAGGAGAAGCACATTGAATGCGGCATTCTCAGCAATTCGAGCTGCGATGATGCAGCCTGCGGAGCCAGCGCCGACGACAATGTGTGTGAATGGAGCCATTTTTGATAGTAGAACTAGCTCGCTTCTACCACAACCAGCGGTATGCCTGGTCAGAGTGACAATATGCAAGTGTAACGTATGAATCCCCAGTAGTTCAACTCGGTCAGCATTTCACCAAGAATCGGCAAAGTGGTGCTGCCAGGAAGGATTTGGACAGACGATGTTGATGGCAGAACGGCTAAACGGCGAATTGTCATGAAGTAGTATAGACGCTGGAAACTTACCACTGCTCGATATTCTCACGAGTAAAGCTTTCAAACAGAACATACACTGTGCTCCAGCTCACATCAGACTGATTGGAGCAACAATGGATCTAGTGGGTAATTCTACCTCGATTAGCACAACCAAGCTAACAAGCAGGACAGTTCGATCTCCAAGGCCAGACAGCCGTCGTCACTGGAGCAGCCCGCGGACTCGGCCTCTCCTTCGCCCAAGTACTCGCGCGAGCAAATTGCAACATTGCCATTCTCGACATCGGCTCTAGCCCCTCCGAAGCAGTGCAGAATCTCCAAACACAACATCATCACCACGTGAAAATCGAATACTACTCCTGCGACATCAGCTCCAAGGCCACCGTGGCAGCGACCATTGCACTGATTGAGCGCGATTTTGGCCGAATCGATATCAACGTGAATGCTGCAGGTGTAGTCTCCGACGAACCTTTTCTCACCACCAGCGAGGAAAATGTAGATCGGACGTTTAATATCAATTTCAAGGGATCCTATTTCGTCGCCCAAGCCTGCGCTGCGAGTATGGTTGCACGAGTGAAGAAAAGTAACAACAACGATGATCCAGCTCCTACTGCTTCTACTGCTACCGTCGACAGCGATAATGATAGTGGTGGAAGCATCCTCTTCATCGCCTCCATAGCAACCCACATCCCGTCCTCGGCCCAACACATCAGCGCATACATCGCCTCCAAGGAAGCCGTACGAGGTCTGATTCGACCCCTCGCCATCGAACTCGCGCCGTTTGGAATCCGTGTCAATAGCCTCAGTCCGGGATACATGATGACGGACATGATGCGAGGCTTGCAGCGCGAGCAGCCGGATCTGGTCCGGCAGTTTCAGCGGGAGACGCTCCTGGGAGGGGGGAGGAGGATTGGTATGCCCGAGGATTTGCAAGGGCCGTTGTTGTTGCTGTGCTCACGTCGTGCTGGGGGGTGGGTGACGGGTCAGGATGTATTGGTTGATGGGGGAGCGGCAAGTTGGAAACATCCTGCTGTTCTGGGTGAATGAATACTGTTTTATAGCTTGTTTTATATATCAAAAAGTCCACTCACACCTTCTCCGTAGCCACCACATCAACTACATCTTTCCCCACTCCCACCGAACTCCCCGCCTCCGAAATCTCCTGACGACCAAGACGACCATCCACCGCATTTGCCTCCTCCAAAAGCCTCTTGACCGCCAACGCCACACTGCCCCCAGCCTCCTCCACCCTCACGCGATACGCCTTCAAATTCTCACTCACCAACAAACTCTCACTCGTAAACAACAAATTCACCTCCTCGAGCGACTTATTCGCGGCCTCGGGATAAAAGAAATAAATCACAGGCGCCGAAACCACATTCATGGCACCAAAAAACACAAACGTCCCCCAGCCTAATCGATCCAACATGATGGGAATCACAAACCCCGTCACTCCACACCCAACGGCCCATCCGAGCACCGTCATACTATACCCCTTGGCCCGAACATCCTGCGGCCAAATCTCACTCCCATAAATCCAACACGGCACAATATTAAACATGGTAAAGCACCACAAAAACACAAACGCAAACGCCGCCGCAGCAGTTCCCAGGGCCGTGGACATTTCGGGTTGGCGCATTTTTTGGCCGTCTTGCGAGGTTTTGATCAAGGCTGCCACGAGGAAGAGCGAGAGTCCTTGGGTCGCGAAGGAAATTAAGAGAGATTTTCGGCGTCCGAGTCGGTCGATGACGAGCGAGGCGGAGGCTGTGCCGAAGATTCCGAAGGTGTTGATGAGGCCTGCTAGCCAGCCGGCTTTGTAGGGGGTGAATCCGGCGAGGGTGAAGAGTTGGGTGGCCCAGGTGGCCTGGTTTTGGGTCATGTTAGGGGCCTATACATACACAAAAGGGGGGAAGGGAATGGGAAGAAGGAAGAGAAAAGAAAAGAAAACTCACAATAGCGAGAATGCCTGTCCATTGCTGAATCGTTTGTAAAGCGGCACCCATCAACGCTCGTCGACCCAGATGCAAAGGACCCGAGTATCGTCCACCGAGGAGAATGTTGATGTATTTATTCCGCTTGTGTCCAAAATCCGCGACAATGGCATCGAGCTGTTCAATCTCTGCCACGAGTTCAGGATCGTCTGCTGGTCGATCACCGCGAAGTTTTGTGAGAATATCAATGGCCTCGGAGCGGCGACCATTGGCAATCAACCATCTGCCATTTCATTCATTCAGACATCATTATGGCAAAAGAAGTAAAAAGAAAAAGAGAAAAAAGAAAAGCAGTCATCGAGTACAACACAAAACAAAATTCAAGACTCACCTCGGAGATTCCGGTAACAGCGGCGTCGTAGCAAGCACCATCAACATCGGAACACTCATAAACGCAAAAGGAAACCTCCAACGAAATTCCGGATCCGAGTTTCGAATGCCAAAATTGAGCCAATACGCAATCACAATTCCCAAATAATTGGCCACAAACACCAACGAGAAATTCGAACCTCGGTCGTGCGCAGAGGCGAGCTCGGATACCCAAGAGGGAATAATGGAGTTGACGAACCCGACGCCTAGGCCAGCGATGATTCGGGCGCAAATCATCTAGATAGAAAGAAAAAAAAAAGAGGAAGATTTGGTTAATATGAGAGAGATCTTTGTAAAAGGAAAATCTCAATCAACTCACCATATCAGAATTCACACTCCCACTCATCAGTGCAGAGCCGAGTAATGCAAAAACTGAACCGAGAGCAACTCCTTTTCGTCTACCGAATCGATCTGCTATCCAGCCTGCACAAAAAGAAAGGATCGGTCAGCTCAACTCAAACAAGAACAATCTCTCTCCTATAGCCCAGCCAGCCATCCGTGCAAAAAAAAAAAAGAAAAAAAAAAGACACATACCTCCCAACAAACATCCAACAATAGCACCAAGATAATAACTCGCAGCCAACCCTCCTTGCTTAGTAGAATTTGTGACGGTATTGCCATATCCGATGCCCGCCATGGCGATGAAACCGGGCGTGCCTGAGACGGTTCCAAAGACTCCTTGGTTGTAGCCTTCGAAGACGAGGGCGGTGGCGCTGAAGAGGTTGAGGAGGAAGAATAACGTCTTTCCGGGGACGCGACGCCAGAGTTGGATTGTCATTTTTGTTGTTATTGTTGTTGTGTTCTGGAGGGATGGAGTGATGTTTGTTGGTGATTGTTGTTTTAGTCTGTGAGTGAAAAAGGGGGGGATGTTTGAGATGAAGACCCTCTCTCTCTACTCTCTCTATACAGATCAATCACAAAGTGAATGAAGATCGTAGTCAGAATAGGGTTAGCAACGAATATGCCAGAGAGCACACCAACACACACGTGGGAAATAAACTCGAAAACAAAAAAAGCAGAAAATCTGGGGAATAGTCCATTCTTCTTGAATGTCTCCAGAGGAGAAACCCCGCAATTCCGAGGAAGAAGAAGAAAGACCAAAAAAAAAGTGGGAGAGAATTGTCCCCCAGAGACTACGATGACCCTTACTGGTTGGTGGTAGGAGACGAGATGTGAAGTTAAGTTTTCTTGGCGGAGGAGATGTGTAACAAGACGAGGTTTCTTTTCCGTGCTTGAGCGGTTAAATTCGAGAAATAAAAGAAAAGGAAAAAATAAGGCGTTTAGGCGCTCTGGTCAATGTTGTTTCGGACGTATGTGAGGAGATGGAATTTTACCTTACTTCCTTTTGCGCGGGACCGACGTTTGTGCATTGTGCATGTGATAGTCCATCCAGTATTGAACTGGGTTTGCAGGATCTTCAGAGTTCGATTGTAATCATCATGTTGGATCGTTCAGGCTCCTTTTACTTGTGTCCCCCGTGACAGATCCCGACAAACGACTGTTCTGCGTGTGGTGAAACGGCCGAAGAAAAAAGAAAAGGAAAAAAATGGATTCCAAATCATTCACTTGCCGCTGGGCAGCCCTTTCACTCTCGTCCATTGCAGGTGTTTTCTTCCCCGACATTCTCCTACCACGAGAGCCAGCGACAGATAGTTCCACCATCAAGCACGAGCTCGTAGCTCTGAGCACAACAGGATCCCGCGAACGAGCACAAACCTGGCTGCAAGAAAAGGAGATTCCCAGTTCCCAAAAAGTCCAAATCTATCATGATTGGAAGGAAATGTTGTCTGCAGGCGACTTTGATGTCGTGTACATTTCCACACCACATCCTCTACATTACGAGCACGTCAGATATGCGCTGAGCAAGAAACGACATGTGTTGGTGGAGAAGCCTGCGATGATGAATGCGAAGCAGTTTGAGAAATGTGCGGAATTGGCGCGGGAGTATGGCGTGGTTTTGATGGAGGCTATGTGGACCCGATACCTTCCTGCCACGCGCTATCTCCAAGATCAGCTTCTTCCTCGCATCGGGCAAGTGAAGCGGGTGTTTGCGGATTTCTCGTTTCCCATTGTGTCGGAGGATTTGTCGCATTCCTCGCGTTTTCTGGATAAAATGGCCGGCGCGGGCAGCCTGCTCGACCAAGGAGTGTATGCTCTGACATGGGCTGATTTGAGTCTCAATGGAGGGACTACTACTACTACTGCAAGAACCAGTCGAGTGGACTATGCCAATACGATGAGTGTGCCCGGTGTCGCTGGCGAAGTAGACGATATCACCACAGTTATGTTGACCAAACGGGATTCCACAACAGACGCCCAAGAGGCCGTGGCCATAGTGACAACGAGTATGACCTTGCCAGGCTCGAGCAAGCCTGCCTTCTATCAACGCCTACAGGCGAAAAAGGCGGCCCCCTCGATCCGAATCGAAGCGACGAAAGCATCGGTCGCGATACCATTTCCCCCGATCAGACCACAACAGCTGCAAGTGCAGTGGTATGATTCCGAGCATCTGGATGGACAAGGCATCGAGCAGGAAGAGGTCATCGACAAGCCAGTAGAGCGCGGGTGGGGAATGTGGTATCAAGCAGACGTGATCGCCCAGACGATCATGTCGAGAGAGCGTGGAGCGGCGGGGGAGGTCATTGGCCTCCAGGAGACATTGCGTGTTCTCGGGTGGATGGACGATGCTCGTCGACATGCTGGCATTGTGTACGATGCTGAACTGGACAGAGTATGATGTCGTTCATGCTCCAGGTCAGACAGGCAAACACTTTCATGTAGCCACGGTATACAATTTCCAGTACTCAATCGCAGTCGTGACTTGGTAGTACCGCGACTCGGCCAGTTAGTGGGAGCAGAGGACATGACCTGATCGTTGGTGGTATCTCCGTCGCCAGGAAAATTTCCAGCACCCTCACGTGCACTCCCAGAATACTCCCACTTCCACTTCCACGTGGCAGAGCTGGGCTGGCTTGATGCACCAGTTGATCGACATCGGCACGACTACCGACAGATCATCCCTCCTTTGCCACCCTTCTCCGGACAATTGGACGTTTACCCGCTTAGCCGCCGACCGTCCCTCATGCTCGGAGCGGGTAACAGCTGAGGAGTAGCAATGCTGATGGAATACCACAGCATCAGTAAGGAAGGACTCTCGGCACCATCTCTGCAGACGAGCCTCAGCATTTGAAGAATCAAGCAGTGCTGTCTTTTTTCATTTTGCATCTGACGACCATCAACAGCTCACAGGCATCATGGCGAGGACGACGAACAACGGTGACCACGTAACAACAACACCAGGAAATGGCCACCCTACGACGAATGGCGTCCACGGCGATGGAAGTTCCCTGGATATGACAGTGCTCGGCCTCAACTCAGGCACATCCATGGATGGCATCGATTGTGCGCTATGCCGATTCCGACAGTCTTCTCCAGAGGCGCCCATGCAGTTTGAACTGCTCCAATATGACGAGATTCCTCTAGAACAGAAGATCAAGAAGCGCGTCATGAACATGATCCTCAAGAATACCACGACGCCCGAAGAACTTTCCGAAGTGAACGTACTTCTGGGAGAAACGTTTGCCAGAGCGGTGCAGGAATTCACGTCCAAACACGACATTCCGACCTCCACCATCGATGCCATCGGTTCCCATGGTCAGACCATCTGGCTCCTCAGCATGCCAGAGCAAGGCCAAACACAATCAGCCTTGACCATGGCGGAGGGTACCTTCATTGCCAGCCGAACGGGAATCACCACCGTTACCGACTTTCGAGTCTCTGATCAAGCAGCCGGACGTCAAGGAGCACCCTTAATTGGCTTCTTCGACTCTCTCGTCCTTCATCACCCCAGAAAACTCAGAGCATGCCAGAACATTGGGGGTATTGCGAATGTATGCTTCATTCCACCCGATCACGATGGAAAGCTGAATCAAGAGTATTTTGATTTCGACACCGGGCCAGGCAACGTCTTCATCGATGCAGTTGTGCGGCATTTCACCAACGGCGAGCGCGAGTACGACAAGGATGGTGCCATGGGTCGTGCTGGAACAGTAGACCAAGAAATGGTCGACGAATTCCTCACTCAACATCCATACTTTTCCAAGGCGCCTCCCAAGACCACAGGGCGCGAAGTGTTCCGAGACACGATTGCCCACGACCTGATCGATCGAGGCCTGAAAAAAGGTCTCTCGCAAAACGACATTGTTGCAACAGTAACGAGAATCACAGCACAGGCGATCGTAGACCACTACCATCGCTACATGCCCCAGCAGTATGGTCCTCTTGCGGAAATCTTCATGTGTGGCGGAGGAGCGAAGAACCCCAATATCGTGGACTACATGTCACGAGCATTTCCCGAAACGAGAATCGTCATGCTCGATGAAGCTGGTGTACCAGCAGATGCGAAAGAAGCCATCACGTTCGCATGGCAAGGGATGGAGGCCATCGTAGGCAGAAGTATCCCTGTGCCAGACCAAGTGGAGTCTCGACAGCCGTACGTGCTGGGCAAAATCAGCCCAGGGAAGAATTATCGTGCGGTCATGCGTCAAGGTGTCCAGTTCGGTGCAGGACAAGACGTCCTGGAGCCAGTCTCGGAGCTGGTGAATATTGTGAATGGCAAGGTATTTAACAACAAAATTTGAAGCGTGGTCCAAGATGTCCCACACACGAAAAGAAACTCGTCATTCAGGTCATGTTCCACGGTACCTGCGAGAAATCGAAAATTTGATCCAAATCGCCCAAAATCTCAGAGGGGAGTTGAAATGGAGATAGATCCATGTTTTCGTCCATCGCTCGAGAGCTATAAGGAGATAACGTGGTAGCGTAGACCGTCTCCGGTTCTGGCCGAGGCATCGAGTTTGTAGCTTCTGAGCGAATATGTTGCACTTTGCTGGTCCTGTGCCTTTGCAGCGTCATGTACTCATCAATGCGTGTGATTTGGTCTCTGAGCCGCTGACTGGCGCCTTTGCTGGCGTGCAAACCTTCCAAGCTGGAAAGCAGTTGAATCATAGCCATCATGACGCCGCGGATGTTGTTGTAATCAATCTCACTCAGCGTTTGTCCCAGAGTGGTGGCGAGTATCTGTCCGATCACGCCGAGATGGAACAGTAATGGAACGCTGATGGCGTGGTGGTAAGCGGTCGGTATGGCGATGAAGGCACTCACCACCTCGTTCGCGATTTGGCACTTTTCGGCAATGCTCGCACCCGTGGCAGACAGTAGAACCATTCGCAGCAACTGCACCGTGGCGATGATGTCTGCCGCTTGGAATCCGAATCTGTCCAGTCGGGGTTTGGAGGTGATGGGATTAGTCGTCTTGAAACACTGTGGCAGGTTGGCATGCATCTGCATCACGCTTGCAAGAACCGCTTCTTGTGACAGAGAGTCCGACGCATGCAAGACTTCGTCGATGAGTGTTTGTCTCTGAGCACGGCTGTTGCGAGCACAAAGCCGCATCATGATATGTTCCAGCACTCGATAGAGATCAATGACGATATTGCGTCCTGCAATCCAGCTGATAGCACCAGAGTCCGAATGAAGAGCGCCAGGCGATGTATCCGGCTGACCATTCGGTACTGTGATGCTTGCGAACCCAGCATCGTCGAACATGTCATCATCGGCTTCAGTTGGGTAGGACACGCTGGACTGATACTCTCGCGATCGGATGACACCTCCCCAAACGATGGATGTGAAGATATCCAGAGTGTAGACCGACCAGAACAGTCTCCGACGTTCTTCTTTTTCCACTATACCAATATTCTTAGGCCAATTGACTTCGTCGTGGAGTCCTCCGGCGGCAACGATGGTGTGGTATCGACCAAGATGTTCGTGCATATCACGAACCTTGCCATCTTGAATCGCTGCGAGTGCCAGAATTGCATGAGTACGTAGGTTATTGATATCGCCCACTGCAGTCTCACTCCCGAGCTGCCAAATAGCTTCCTTGTAGTAGATATCTGGTGGCGGCTCTCGCAAGCTTGAGACATCCCAGCGCGGACTGAAGACTGCCCCGTCTCGGACACGTGCCGACACGAGAGCGCATACTGCCATCGTCACTGCGAAGAGAGAGGGATCCGTGAGGTACTCGTTTCGTGATATTCGACGGATGAAAGAAGGCTGGTGGAACAGGGGGAATATGGGATACACGATCTCGAAAAAGAGTTCTACGAGATCCATGATGGTGGCATGCCTGTAGTGAACTGGAGCTTGCCAGAGACCAGGAATTGCCGTGTCGCCATGAGTGGGAGAAGTAAGTGCAGCAGTCTGCTCTGGGATAAGTGGTGGACGGTTGGACGCCTTGTTCACGGATCTCGTGGCGGTTCTCGTAATGTTGGAGTGAGGAACACTGTCTTCACGATCCGGCTGCCACAAGGGCTCCTGATGCCCATTGGCATGGGGGTGACGACGAGGCGCTCCACGACGCTTTTGAGGTCTGTCGAAAGTGCATGGCTGGTCGAAGGCAATGCAATTCTGGCAACGTGACTGAGCTGGCACTACGCGACACCGCTTGCTCACCTGATGGCAGTAGTCACATGCTCTTGATATTCGTCTTTTCTTGGAACTCGGTTGTGGTTCGTCGGACATGGTCAGTTGGTGAGAAGAGGAGGATGGAGGAGAGGAGGATGGAGGAGGTATACGGGAAAGTTGTGCTGGCCCGCGGTATCAGTAGCCGAGACTTGGCATACAATGTGGCAATTTTACCCGATGAAGTCTTATGCTGGGAGTGGGAGAGCAGAGAGAAGCAAGACAGCGTGTTGTAGTGTTGTAGACTGTATATAATATAATATAATATAATATAATATACCTAGGTATGTCCTGATTCCATCCATCTAATCTAATCATACCTAGCCTCAATAGTGGACAGCACGCTCTTCCACCTTTCCACTCATATTGTCCTCTGACGCTGCGGTGCCAGCATCTTCGTACTGTCTGTAATGGCGTTCCATATCCCGAACAAACGGACTCTTGATCTCGAACAGTCTGTTGACAGCTTCGAGGCTTCTGCGACTCGTCTCTGGCAAGAAGAGGTAGATCAAAACAAACCACAAGAGATTCAGACCCCCATAGACGAAAAATCCGTATCCGCCAATCGAGTTGAACATGACGGGATTGTACAGTGTGCCAGCACCCAGACCGATGGCCCAGCCGGAGATACCAAACGCCATGCCTCGAGATCGAACTTCGGTGGGAAATATCTCCGCAGGATCTATGTTCAGTCAGTCAGTCAGTCAGTCCGGCTGCAGATACAATCAGCATAAGGTGATATTGCGGATGACGTACAGTTGAAGTTAATGATCAGAAAGGTGGACGAGTAGATCAAAGTGAAGACAAAGATAAAGGCCACAGTGGCAGACCCATATTGAGTGGCTTGCGACGGTCGAGAGGCGGTTAGGACTGACATGGCTCCGATGATCCACATACAGGCGCTTTGCGCGAGGGAACCCCAGAGCAGCGTGGGACGTCGACCCACGGGATCGATGGTATACATGGCAATGACCGTTCCGAGAACTCCTACCGTATTGTTCAATGCCGACAGCCACAGAGCCTTCTCTGCCCCCCATCCTGCTTGGCGAATCAGAGTGGGTGTGTAGATTGTGGTTGCAGCAATACCCGTGCCCACTTGCGTGAATAGGGGTAGCCATAGGGCCAGCTGTGTGCGTCTCGGGAAGTGTAGTTTCCCGCTCGTGCTGCCCCAAATCAAAGCCATGAAGCTGCTCGTAGATGCCTGGGTCTTGGCTTGTTGCACGCTCTGTTCGATCTCATGATATTCCTCCAAAACTGCTGAGTTGCTCGAGTCGCCTTCTGCTCGGACATGAGCAAGGACCTCGAGAGATTCCTCTGGTCGGCCTGCACTCATCAGATATCGCGGACTTTCTGGCAGGAAAGGAAGCAGGCAGAATAGCATCAAAGGAGGGAGCGCATTCAGTGCGAAAGGCAGGCGCCATCTGATAGCCGATTGACCTTGGTCCACGTAGCTCAGGCCAAATCCGATCCAGTATGCCAGCTTTCAGACAATCAGTGGCTATTTCACGGGGTCAACGAATGGCAACTCACTGCTATACCGATATAGTTCGACAAGTACACCAATGCAAACAGCTTGCCACGATGTGCAGCCTCAGATATTTCCTATCACTCTCATCAGTACGTGTCAAGTTCCAATGCCAACACACATACACACATACCCCGACCCATGTCGGCGCAACACAGTTCATATGTGCCACTCCCACGCCAGCGATTAATCTGGCACAGATGATCCAGGGCTGGTTGTATGCAGAGGCCTCGAGAGCGATGCCTAGCATGCACCACAACGCGCCGAATTGCAGAGCAATCACTCTGCCAAATTTGTCTGACAGCCATCCCGCCAACACACAGCCAGCGATTGTACCCAGGTAGTAGATGCTGGTAATGCCGCCTTGCGTTATCACCCGATCTGCTTGACCGCTGCCATTGACGGCGATACCAACTAAGTTGAGATAATCTGGAGCGGAGTTGGCGATGCCTATCACGCCTTGTGCGTAGCCTTCGTACGCGACAGCACAGGTGTTGGCAATCAGGATGCTACGTATATGCCAACTGGTCAGCTTCTTCCATGCAGGTTGAAAGCCCTAGTGGTCCATGAAGTTATATTGCAAGGTGAGATCTTACAGTGCAAGAATATTTTTGCTACTCATCCGCTTCCACGCGGATATCTGAAAGATTGCCATTGTGAGCCCTTGTCCACTCCTCTCTAACGCTCGTCAGTGTCAGTGAATGCTGGGTTCCATCATCGACATTTGAGTGAAGGCCAAAGAGGTTGGTTTTGTTCAGCTTTTGCCCCCAACGCCCATCTTCCACTGCCTATCCCCGGGTCATCCAGATCGACCGAAGACATCCTGATCGTCATTTCCGTGTGCGCGTGGTATCACGGCAATGATCTGCCCTTCTGATCCGCCCGAGATGTGGTTTGGAAGCGTGTAGCAGCAGAGGGATTGTGGCGGTAAAGCATGTCAAGCATGGATGGAGGCTTCACTTGTCGGTAGATTATTAATGCTCACCCCGCTACCATACAGCCTTTTAGCCGATACCACTCTTTTCTTCTTGGCGCGCTGAATGGACAACGGACATCATTCGGCATTCAGCCTCGAACCATCCCTCAAGTCATGTCCCCTGGAATACTGTCCCGTATCTGGGCAGTACCTCCTACCTGGCCTGGCAAGGGCAATGGCAATGGAGACTGTAATCCTCTCCCACGCACTTGAAGGCATTCATGATGGATGACTTCCTCTCACTCCCAAATCGCCCTCATCAACATCTCCTCCTCCTTTCCAGTCCTCCTTTCCAGTCCTACTCACCCTACCTCTACCTTAGGCCAGCACCATCATGACCTCCCACAATGCTCACCAACCACTCTCTCTCAAAGTCCTCGGCACCAACCAAGGCACCAGTATGGATGGCCTCGACATTGTGCACGTCCACTTCACCCAAAAAACACCAGCAGATGCCCTCCATATGAAGCTTCTCCACTACGGCGAAATCGAATTCCCCACACAATTGAAACAAAAAACCATGCGCGTCATCAAAGACAACCAAACCTCTCCCGAAGAAATTTCCGTCCTCAACATTCGTCTGGGCGAATTTGTCGCATCCGCATTACAGCAATTCGCCACCGAAAAGGGCTTCGACTTGCAAACTGATGTCGATCTCATCGGTGGCCAAGGCCAAACTCTCTGGCACTTGCCTCTTCCCGATTTATTCCCCGGCCGCGACGTCTCGCGAGCACATTTGGACATTTCTGAGATTTCCATCATCGCCGCGAACACGGGGATCACCACCATGGGAAATTTTCGCGTGTCGGATCTGGCGCTGGGAAGGCAGGGGTGTCCCATTTTCTCCGCTCTGGATAGTTTGCTCGTGAACCATGCGACGAAGAACCGAGCGGTGCAGAATATTGGCGGGATAGCGAATTTTTCTATTAGTCCCGCGGGAGATGTTCGAGGGCATTATGATTTGGATACGGGGCCGGGAAATGTTTTTATTGATGCTGCTGTGCGCTACTTTACGCAGGGACAGCAAGAATATGATCACAATGGGCGAATGGGCGCACAAGGTCGTATCGATCAGAAGATGGTCGATGAAGTTCTTTCCGGGCCGTATTTCCAACATGACATTCCCAAAACTACAGGCAGAGAGACATTCGGCGACAGTTTTGCCGAAGACATTTGCAAGAAAATGTTGACGCAGAATGGAGCAGCGACTCCGGAAGATTGCATTGCCACCATCACCCGCATCACTGCGCAATCACTACTCGACCACTATCGCCGCTACGCTCCCGTACCACTCGACGAGGTGTTTCTTGGCGGGGGCGGATCCTATAATCCCAACATTATCAACTATCTCCGAGAGAACATGCCCCACACTCGCTTTGCCATGATTGACGAACTCGGCATCCCCGTGGGCGCCAAAGAGGCCTTGGGGTTTGCTCTGTATACGTGCGAAGGCTTCGTGGGCAGACCGCTGATGGTGCCGCGACGCACGGAGAGCGAGCGTGCGGGAGTGATTGGCCATGTGCAGGCGGGAGACAATCATTTTGACTTGAGGAGACGTGTTGTGAATTTCTGGGGAGATTGGGCGGCGGATCAGGTGCTGCCTACGACGAAAATGGTCTTTGAAGGCATGGAATCCACCTAAGGTATACTCAGGTAGGACTCAATGACAACGACACCCTTGACGAAAAGTGTGTATATTCTACCGAGCTTCTGTGAATAGGTAATACAGGACATTCGTTTGCTTCACGTCTGCCGACGACCTAGGTGGTTTGACCAACCCTCTTATACAACCAAAGGCTTTTTGAGTCAGCTGAAGAGAGGGAAAAAAACACAGGTTTCATACCTCAGGGAGAAGAATATCAATCCAGAGCACCCGAATCTAAGCATGTGAATCAGGCTACATCGACATCTACAACGTTTGTCAAATCAGGTACGAAGATGGATTGCCACGGGGCTTTAATACTTCGAAACACCGCACTAGCAAGTTCGATAACATACACATCTTCCAACAAACGGACATATTTCATCAACTCCGAACAAGAAAGCACAAACATGGCGGCAAATGGCGAAGAAGGGTGGTGGCCGTCTGATGCTCACTCTCCGACATCATTGATGCCGCCCTGCGTAATCACGTAGGTTGCCTCCGCCTCCGGACAGTCTGCAGAAGAGAAAATCAGCATAGCAAACGATTAGGAGATGAATCTCAACGACGTACCAGGAGAGTCCATTAATTTGGCGACCCGCTCCTCGCCACGGCCCTTGCGGAGTAGGAGACGAGTAGCAGAAGCGTGAGCAAGGACATGACCTCCGACAGGCTTGCGGCCATCGGCACTGGCGAAGAGAGCGCTTGCCCCAGGATCGGATTGGACCTGATTCGTCATGAAAACAGCAATGTTGAACTCGGTGGCGAACTCAGAAAGCTTGCGAAGGAATTGACCAAGCTTCTGTTGTCGTTCACTGAGCTCACCTCGACCAGTGTAGTCGCTGCGGAACAGGTTAAGGATGGAGTCGATGATGAGGAGACGAAACTCGCCAGTGGTAAAGTTCTCCGCCAGCTTCAACAAGTCTTCGTGTTGCTGCTCACTGTTTGGCACGCGCTTGTAGATGATGTTGTCGTTGATTGTCTCACCATCGACTGTGACAAAAGGTCAGTTGGTGGAGTCAGGATAGCCTTGAAAAGGAGCCACGACGAAGCAGAATGGTAAGTAGTGTACCAACTCACCCCCGAAGCGCTCAGCAATCTGGTTGATCCTCTCTGGTCGAAATGTGCCTTCAGTATCGAGCACAGCTACTTTCCCTTCAGCGCCTCTAGCACTCTTGGGAAGCTGTGCAATGACACACATGGTGTGTGAAATCTGCGTTTTGCCGCATCGATACTCGCCATACACCTCACTGACACTGCCTGATTCGAAGCCACCACCAAGGATCTTGTCAAGTGCCTTGCTGCCAGTGCCAATCTTGAAGCATGCCTTACGCTTCTGTGCGAGCTCGCCAGCAGTCATGAATCCAGAGGCGGAGTCCTGCAAGCGGGTCAGCTAGCAGATGATAACGTGACGTGATCTATGAACTCACAGAACACTTGCGGCAGGCCTCCTTCACCTTTTCGACCTTGACGTCAGAGAAGCCTTTGATGTTCTTGAGTTGCTTCGACATGGCACCCACGACTTGCTGGGGTATTCATCAGCCGGAGTTCATGTCACGCTTGGAAAAGAGCATACTCCGACGGTGTGAAAGCCGTTCGCCTTGAGCCGGTCAATGTCTGATTTGTTGATGCCATGGGAAAGAAGGATATCGATCTCATGGATTTCATGCCGGACCTCGTCGTCCTCGGTCTCGCTTGCAGCGACAGAGGCAGGCATACTGAATGCTTTGCAGAGTAAACCGGCGAGACGTAGCGATGGCTAAGGTGGTGAAGTGAAGAATGCGGTGATGTGTAGACTGTACTGGAAGTGAAAGTATGAGGTGTATGAGGTGATTGGGAAAGCAGGCGGGGAATGAAGTGTGTGTCGGTGGTGGTCGTGGTGAGGTTCAGATTGAAGTCGACGACGAGAGACGGGAACGGGCTCGGTTTAGGTATTGTGCGAGGTGGAGATGCCGATTATCATAATGGTGCGGTGAGGAAGCTGCGATCGGGTCGCGCTGTAAGGAAGTTGCAGGAAACCGAGGAAGTCGCGTCCCATACCATATTAGTCTCGGCACACGGCAAGGACAGCATCATCTGCTACCTGACCTTACAAATGCGCTGAAATGGTGCCAAGTGCGGTATCGTAGACACATCTTAATGCAGACCAATCCATCGACCACATGCAAGCAGTCTACAGCTCCTCTTCTTTGGTACCGTGACCATCAACGCTGACGAGGGACCACTCTCCGCCGCCATTTCCAAGGGCTGCATTGTACGCCATTCTCTGCACTGCCTCTCTCATCTGGTCGCTTGTGAGTTCCTCCAACCCAGTCTTGGCTGCAGAGCTAGAAGAGAAGTGCTCCAGTGATCGTTTCCAGCGCTTGGCTGGAGCTGGCTCATCTTGATCGTTGCTCCGATGCTTCCTCATCTGCTGTTCAGCGGGAGGCGATGATCTGGGAGCAGACGCTTGCGTGTCGTGGGCTCGAGTGTGATTCTCCTCGGCAGACGCCGAGCGCTGTGTCTCCATCTCCTGATACTGAGTCTGCTCACCCAAAGAGTCCGCATTGTCCATGTCCACGGTGTACTGTCTCAGCATCATAGTGTCGTGTCCAAACGCTTGTGACGTGGGGTACAAATGGCCGAACAAGTACGACATAGTATGTTCAGGACCCCAGTTGCTCTTGTCCACGGTGCAGGGATAGATGTTCCGCGGCATCAGAGCCTTCACGAGTATGCACAACTCGCCATAGGACGCGTGGCGCGAGTATGGGAAAGTGATTTGCTTCGGCAGTCCACTATGTGGCGGTAGAGCAACGTCAGTGCGAGCAGCGACTGAGCGTGCCTTGATCTTTGTGGCGCGCTTTGCCAGCAAGAAGACAAGTCTCTCAAGAGGCAAGTTTCTCTCCACTTCGTCGAGTGCGTCTTCGTCCGCCCCACGCGCTACAGAATGAGTGCTGGCTTCACTTGAGAAATCTGACAGTGAGAGTGAGATGGCTGCGCCGCCGTTCGAAGTCGCGTCCTTGAGCATTTGGATCACACTGGAAGATATATTAGGCTGGTCGTGCAACTTCTCCATGCAGAGTGACATGAGTTCCTGATACACAACACCGTCGTCAATCTTGAGCTCGTGTTGTTGATTCAGGTCTCCGTGACCACCACCGGCACCAGCTTCCACCATTTCCATTCTGTTATGTCGAGAGATGATCGGAGTGATTCGTACAAAGTCTGTTCGTATTAGCTAGATTCCTGTCGCAAGCTACATAGACCGACCGTTGTTGAAAATACTGCAACCTGTTCCTCTTTCGCAGCTATGAATACGCCGATAGCGAGTCGAAAGGCAGCCTTCGCGATCTTCGTTGCCTATCCTTGCTCCAATGAGCTTGTATGCCTCGGGGGCCTTCGGCTCCGGCCCATTACACAATGACTTGTAAAGCCCGTAACGGTAATCGTCGACGTGTATCTGGCTGCGGAGAAAGACCGAAACAGCTTGCCAGACATCTTCGTAGCCAAACGTCCAGGCATCAATGTAGAACTCCGTCTCGCGTGGATATTGCGCCACTTTCTGCAACAGCTCGTCGATACCTTCTGCTTTGGTCGGAAAATGTCGGTAGCGATCACCTTTATTTGCAAATGTGGTATCTAGATCTAGCTTTTGATCAGTAGTGGTCAAGATTGGGGCTGCGGTAACGTTACAAATCGTGTCTAGCTGCTTTTGTGGGAGTGCCTTGCCATTGCAAGCATATGGCAGCATGACAGGATTACGTATCAGTGCATTCACCCACCAGGGCTCAGCTCTGATGTCTCCGGTGTAAAGAATTGCCTTGCCATCTCCCTCGATGAGAAACATGCAAGCACCAACACAATGATTTGCGTCGAGCAGTGTCACTCGAATAGACCGACCGGGCACAAGCTCAATGTCCGTTGGCGTCTCCAGTGGAATTGGCTTGAGTAACTTGCGAAGATGCTTGTACGTTTGTTGACGGCTTTCCAGAATGCCTGTCGCGAAGTTCATGCGATGCGGATACTTCTCCAGCCTGGCAATGCTCGAACATGATCAGCGAGTGGTCTTGACACGCCCGCGCTTGGGTCTGTTGGAGCCTCACCGAAGCAAGATCTCGCGCGTCGCTGTGGTGCACCATATGAAGGGGCCCCGGCAGGACTCAAGGCCTTGGAGGTGATCTGAATGGACATGGCTCAGGAAATTGGCGAGAGCCGGACGAGCATTCTGAGAGGAGCTTTGGCGGAAGTAGTCGATACGGATATCAGGGAACTCGGCGACAACGCCATCGAATGTAGACATGACGACAGTCTCTCATAGTGGATGTTGTGCTGACTACATGTACCTACAGGTAGGAGGTACATTACAGGTATCTGTCGACAATGAAGTGGTGGTATTGGCGGCAAGACGCGTAGTGTTAGGAGGTGCTCGTGTTGTAAAGACTACCGCCAAGTACGTGTCTGATGGAAGTGAACAATGGCTGCTTATGTAATCAACATCGATCGTGTGCACACGGGAAAGGTTCGTCGGTCCATTCGCGCTTCCACACCATCAAACATCAGGTACATGCCCAACACAGTATGATCCATCGACACGGCAGAAATTGTGCAATGGCGCACTCTGACCACCATCGACGCCTCCGCTTCTCTTCCGCAATAGGATGATCACGCCTCGTAGCTGTTGCTGTAGCCGCAGTGGACCGCTCGCTTCCCACGCACACCTCACTATGACGTGTACTTTCTTTGAGATGCCAGCAGAGGGCAGCGGGTTCAAGAGCATGTGTCCATATATACCTATATTTCTACCAGGTAGGCAACTGTGTACCAGAAAGGTAGGCAAGTAACAACATATCTGCCCGATACCAGACTTCACGACATCCCCCCAATCAAAGCACAATCACGACAGTCATGGCTCTCTCACAGGCAGCTTTCAAGGCTGAGCAGGCACTCGGCCACGGCGACAATGCAACGACAGCACAAGATGTAACAAACCCAGCGCTGGATCGCGAAAAGTATGGAGATCCATCAGGCGAGAAGATGCAAGCGCTCATCTGGAATGGCAAGAACAAGGTCGAAATGAGTATGATAAGCTGGAACAGGCAATGTGGACGACTGCTAACGCGTGCGCAGTGGAATGTCCCAAACCCAAAGTGCTCGAATCGAGGGATGTGATCCTCAAGATTACGGGCTCTACTGTGTGCGGCTCCGATCTTCACCTATTACACGGCACCGTTGTAGAGTTGCAGAAGGGTGACATCCTGGGTCACGAATTCTGCGGGATTGTAGACGACATGGGAAAAGATGTGAAAGGACTGAACAAGGGCGACAGAGTGGTGGCCAGCTTCCAGATTGCGTGTGGTGATTGCTACTTTTGCAAGCAAAAGCTATCTTCCCAATGTGAGAAGACCAACAGCAACACCATCGAGAATGCAATGTACGGAGGTCGTACAGCAGGTATGTTCGGCTACAGTCATTTTACAGGGGGCTTTGCGGGCGGTCAGGCCGAATATACACGTGTTCCTTATGGCGATGTGAACCTGCTGAAGATCCCGGACGATGTGCCCGACGAGAAAGCTCTCTATCTGTCTGATGTCCTCGCAACATCATGGAACTGCGTGGTCGATACAAAGGTGTACGATGGGGATATTGTGGCCGTGTGGGGAGCTGGACCGATTGGACAAATGGCAGCCGACTTCGCGTTTATGAACGGAGCTCGAAGGGTGATTGTGATTGACTGCAACTGGAGACTGGACTACATCAAGGAAAAGTACCCCAAAGTGGAGACTATCGATTTCACGCAACTCAAGGGGGTGAAGGGCGGTGTGGTGGGCAAGCTCAAGGAAATGTGCGATGGTCGTGGTCCCGATGTGGCATTGGAGTGTGTGGCTGGGGAATACCCCAAGGGCTGGCTCCACGCTGCCGAGATGGCCTTGGGTCTTGAGACTGACACGAGCGAGATCATCAACGAGATGATTGAGAGCGTCCGCAATTTCGGACGAGTCGGAGTCACGGGTGTCTATGTCGGTACGTCTCTGAAGTATACCCCAATATCGTTGTGCGTAGGCGCAGACCTTTTGCTAACGCGTTCCACGCGACCAGGCTACACGAACCATTTCAACATTGGCAGTCTGATGGAGAGAGGTATCCGCCTCATTGGCAACGGTCAGGCGCCAGTCCATCTCTACTGGGATGATCTGCTCAAGAAGATCCAGACGGGTGAGATCGAGCCACTGAAAATGGTCACCCATCGGGTCCGGGTCGAAGATTTGGACGAGGTGTACTACAAGTTTGAGAAGAAAGAGGATCACATGCAGAAGGTGTACGTCGAGACTCGATTCTCGGCGCCAGCGTGTGCAGGCTCACCGGCCCTGACGAGATATACGGACAGGCCACTGAATACCTAAGCACATGTAGGTTGTTATATGTAAGGTACCTAAGTTGAGTGATGAGTCCCGACAAATTCCAGCTTATGTAATATGAGGAGCTGCATAGAATATCGTTTCGGGCCGGCTACATTACCTCGTAGGTTAGAAGTTACCCTTCGCAGAGTCGGGTGGGAAGTGGAAACTTGCTCAAAAACCGACAAAAAGACAAAGCGCACTCTGCAACCTTCTTATAGGCTGTTCATTCCGAAGGCAAGTCACAAGTGATGGTTGCGAGGTATATTCTCTTCACATCTCCCCCGCAGTTCTTCCATCCGCGATTCATATTCACACGCGAGAACAGACAAAGCACCACTTTCACATGTTGTGAGGCTGACGGCTGACTCTATACCATAACCGTGACTCCAGCTGTCTGCATTCCAGTGCCACTTTTGGCAAAACACGAAAGACACCTCGCCACAGAAGACCACCCGCCACAGAAGTCATGGCGTGGCGTTCCGCCTTGACGCAACGCCACGAGGGCCACACGACTGGGGGCACTGAAACGGAAATGAACATGGACATGGACATGGACATGGGCATGAGTGGGATGGACTCCAGCACATCCCCGGAACCACTTTCTGCCGCCGGAGTCGACTTCTCCAACCAGACTCAGGCGAGTGACTTCCTCGACGACTTACTGGACGATACCTACCTCAAGCAAGATGGCGCGAAGTACGCCAAGTTCTTCTGGTATGGCGTCGTGGCACTGGTCGGCGTCGCGATGCTGTTGCGCCTGGTACGCTGGTTGACACTACAACACCGCCTGCGAGAGGCAGCGCGACGGAAAGCAGATCCAGCGAGACCGAAGCACTTTCCCTTGACATGGCTTGCCACGGCCACGGCAATGGGTCGAGAGATGACATATTTGCAATTCACACCGACACGATATGCTGGCTTCAAGGCTCCGCCACTCGGGACCATCATCTTGGTCCTCGTCTATCTCGCCTTTGTGCTGGCGCTCGAGTTTGCGGACAATAGCATCGAGGGCGCACAATACTGGCAGGGACTGGGTGTGCGCGCGGGCTGGCTTGCTGTCGCGCAAATGCCGCTGTTGATTCTGCTCACTAACAAGAATAGCGTCATCGGAGCCTTGACTGGGACTTCCTGGGAACGTCTCAATGTCATACATCGATGGTCTGCTAGAATCTTGCTACTTCTGGCCATCTTCCATTTCGCTTTTCAGAGCCATGGTTGGCAAAAGTATGGCCTCATGCAACTCGAATGGCAGACGGATGACTGTCCGACCACGGGAATCGCAGCGTTTGCGCTGCTGCTGTGGATGAACATCAGCACAGTGGCTCCTTTGCGACACCTCAGCTACGAGTTCTTCGTTGCGCAGCACATTGTGACATTCTTCGGCTTCATCGTTGCCATCATGCTCCATCTGCCCAGCACAGCCCTGTCAAGTCGGGTGTACATTTACATCCCTATTGGTATTTACCTGGCAGATCGTCTCCTCCGATTTGCGCTTCTTGCTTGGAACAACTTTCGAGTCAGCCGAGCATCAATGATACAGCTAGAGGGCGGGGTGACTAAGATACGAATCTCGAACCGTGCAATCAAACGATGGCAGCCGGGATCACACGTCCTGCTCTCTATTCCAAAGTTTGGCCCTTTGCAGAGCCATCCGGCCACGATTCTGTCAACGCCAGACTCGCACAATGGAGACCTCGTCTTCCTTTTGAAGGGTCATCGAGGCTTTACCAAGAAGATTCTCGACGGTGCAAACACATCGTCCGAGGCACTCATCGCCGAGACCAAAGAGACATCTGATATCGAGCGAAATGCTACCATCAGTAACGCGTCCCACGTGGCGATTATAGAGGGTCCATACGGCGGCTCGCAATCTGACTTCGCCGCTTTTGACTCGGTGCTGCTCCTGGCGGGATCGACAGGAATCACTTTCAATCTTGCCCTCCTTCAGGATCTCGCCGAGCGCTCGGTCCAGCAAGGCAAGAAGCTTCCCGTCCGATGCGTGCATTTGGTGTGGTGTGTGAAAAGTAGCAGCTGCGCCCGTTGGGTGAGCGATGAACTCGCAGCAGCGCATGAGAAGCTGCGCCGTGGTGGAATCGAGGCGCAGATCAGCGTATATGTCACCTGTGCAGATGAGTTCGCCGAGCAAGGCAGCAGTGCTGCCAAAGAGTGCGGCTGCGAGTGCGACAAATCGCAAGGCCCGTGCTGTTGCGTCGCGGTAGTAGAGGAGGAAGAGGACGAAATCAGCGAAGAAAAAGAAGAAGCAGCAGACGCAGTCTCTAGGAACGTAAAGTCCACATCCGACAAAGCGGGCACCACGACACAACTCCTCTCGCAGCAAGAATCTGCAGCAGGCACGCGACTATCGTTCCTCTCGTGCGCGACCTTCTTCTCGGGCCGACCCAATGTCGAACGACTGATGCTCCATCTGCTCGAAGGTGCAAGTGGAGAGTCTGCAGTGGCGGTGTGCGGACCTCTGGGACTGACATCGACCGTCCGAAATACATTGGTGCGCTTGAGTGATTCGCGAGCGATACACAAGGGAACAGGAGCGCAAGGATGCTATTTGCACGTCGAAAGCTTTTCATAGATGATACCTACCTACCTGACCTTACACTAGATAGCCTTGCTTTATGAGACATATATGTGACTTTTCAATTCTTCTGGGCCTTGTATGAGCGAGTACAATGTACTGACTGACTGACTGACTGACTGACTGGCTGGCTGGCTGATGACTACTGTAGGGTACCTAACGACTGTGTGTGTACGCCAGTTCTGTTCGAAGAAAAAGAAAACTCCCCCAAAAAATGCCATGCTGTTGTTCTCTGGCGTTTCCCCATATGCAAAAACAACCATCACTCTCAATCATATACACGCTCACCACACACCACCACATTCACATGTTTTTCTTTTCTTCATGCCCAGCGCTGAAGAACAAAAAATGAGATCCAGAAAAGTGCTCAAGTCACTCTGTCGACGAGCCTCGTCATCGTCATCATCATCAACAAAACACACCAGACGTCTCTCGTGTGGGGGGAAAACAAATCCCCACAAACAACACCCATCGCATGCAATATATGCTCGTTTGTTTGTTTCCCTGTTCCCTTTTCCCTTTGTTCCCTTTTCCCCTGGTTCGGTTCGATTCGATTCGTTCCTCATGCAAGTCGCGATGATTGTGAAGCTTTGGAATTTCCAGAAAAAAAAATAGAGGGAAAAGAAAACAACAAGAAACAAAAAAAAAAGAATAAGATGGAAGAAAAATAAGGAAAAAAGATCAAGTCGTGGCCAGAGGTCGGTCGGTTCATGGATATCATCATCATCCGTGTGCCAAAAAAAATCAAGAATCTTTTGCCATCGAATATCGCCACTTGGCCGAACGAGTCTTCATAATCCGCTTGCTCGAATTACTACTGTCGCACAACGAAAATCCACCAAGACTGGCAGTCGGGTAATACACCCTCGGTTGACCGGCACTCATGGGGACATCCAGGATTCCATCGCTCGAAGCCGTGAGCGTCCCGCAGGTCAAGAGCTCGGTGACCTGTGTCCCACTGTCGTAGCCCGATGTGAGACTGAGCGTGTAGCTGGAACCGCTGCTGCCGAGGTTGGAGAGGATGGTGACCATTTTGCCTTTGCGCATGGCAATGGTGGTGTCGTCGGTGTAGAAGGGGTAGTTTTGATAGGTGAGGTAGGTCGAGTCGTCGTTTGCGGCGTTCTTGCGTGCCGAGTTGAAGGTCTTGGTTGCAATGTAAAGTTCGCCGTCGGTGGGGTAGCCTGAGAGCCAGATTGCTTCGCGGTCCCAAGGGTACGGGTTACCTGAACCGCCCCAACCGACGTTTTGGTAGAAGAGCTCTTGTCCTTGGTAGATGACAGGGATGCCATCGGTCAACATTGTCCCCGCAATTACGTTCTTGGCGAGCGTAAGGTCGGATGTGAGGGCTCCGATTCGTGGCTGATCGTGATTTTCAGAGAACGTGCCCAAGAGTGATGTGTCTGTGTATGCGCCTCCCTTGATCGTGTTGATCATGTCGGCCAGGTCAGCGATGGTGCCGGAATCTGTGAATGCATTGACGAGTGAAAAATAGCTAAGAGGCACATTAGTCGATCGTTTGGGAGATGCGTCGCTCAGCTGGAAACTCACTAGGCATAGTTGAAGACGCCAGGTAAGTAGTCCTGGTATCCAGCAACAATGTCGCTATCAGACAGATAAACTTCTCCGAGTGAGTAGATCCCTCCAGCAGCTGCTTGAAACGAGGCCCAGAATCCTGTGTTGACTTCCATGACCGAGTCAATACGAAGGCCATCGATCGAATAGTCGGAAATCAGCTTGGTGATCCAAGAGTTCCAAATGTCTTGAACCGCTGAGTCTTCAGTGCGAAGGTCAGGTAAAGGCACGTTCGTGCTCCCCATCCAGCACTGTTCGAGATTCGTCTGGAACGAGAGTCAGTACGAGCATGATTCAAGACAGCTGTTTACACAGGCGGACACACCAAGTTGTCCGGCAGGTAGTTGTTGGAGCAATAAGGATGGAAGTATTCGGAGGAGGGAAATTGGGGAAATGTGCTGTAGTCGATCGTGTCGGGAGATCCAATGTAGGCGAGGTGGTTGACCACGATGTCGACCATGAGATACTTGAATAATGTCAGTGAGCAGGCTCCTTGGCAAGCTGGGCTATGTGACTTTGGTAACATTGATGACACTCACCATGCCTCTGGAATGGAGCTCGGCCGCCAGCGCTCTCAAGTCATCAGCGGTACCAAATTTCTCATTCACAGAGTTGATGTCATCCTGCCAGTAGCCGTGGTACGACGCGCCGTCAATCGAGAGACCTTCGACTTGATGAGTGATGGGCGAAATCCATATCGCGTCGAAGCCGAGACCTTGAATGTAGTCCAGTCTATTGATGAGACCGTTCCAGGTGCCGCCACAGTAGTCGGCTATGCTTGTATCACATGATGCAGTTGTGGAGCCGTCAGTGCGCGCAAAGCGATCAGTGAAGACCTGATATATCGTTCTACCTCTCCATGCATTGCCGTCTGCCCCCAGCACGGTTGGAGTCCATGCCAACGACAGTAGTGCGAGCGCACCGGTGAGATGCATGATGCCGAGAGGTGTTGTCTTTCAGGATGTGTTTGTGTTGTGATTCGTGTTCCTGTCTGCAGTTCCCTCTTTGTTTGTAGCAATGCGGATTGATAAGTGCCAGGTGAAGGTGTAGTCAGTGTAGTGTGTATTGCAGTAGGGTATGCCGTGAGCGGATCATGTGCCACTGGTCACGATGGTCACAGTAGCTCTCAGGCGCGAAAGTGAGGGGAGTGAATAGAGAGGACAATAAGGGTACTTAGCTCGATGAGGGATGACTGCGCGTGCAAACAACCTACTTTATGCTTCCACAAGCCAGCACTTACCGGCCTCACTGCTGCATCGTTCAGTACTGCTACGACTTGTTCCCGAATGGTCTCACACCTCCTGGGCGCATGGCATCGTCACAAGGCGTGCATACAGCGCCATCGGCTCAGCGCTAATTTTCGGAGCAGCAGTGAGTCTGAGGTGAAGGAACGGCCATGATGCCACGAGGACGGGAACGTGTGTACCAGGATTGCTGTCAGCAAACAGGAGACGACGAGATACTGGCACCAACGGTGCGGCGATCGTTTGACGAAGGACACGATGTGGTGGAGGTGTGTAGCTTAGGGACGATCCTATGGATTCGGGCTCGACTGGGGTCTGCCTTGGGTCCAGCACGCATGCAAGACGCGGGCATGTCGATCCGCGAGCGGGTGAATAAGAGTGAGTGAGTAAGGTGAGTACATGGACACGCCTCTACCGGTGTTGCGCAATGCTCCAGCGCGGTGCGGCCGCTGCGGGCGGCAGCAATAGAATGGTTGGACGAGTACATCGGATGGAGGGCGCAACCGGCTGAAGCGGACGACGGGAGAGGTGTCGCTCTCTCTCCTCTCGCGCTCTCCTCTCGCTCTCTTTCTCTCTCGTCCTGGAGGAGACACCGGAGGCTCTCGCAGAGGCGCGTCAGACGGACCAACAGCTGGATCCAGAGGTTACAGGAGAGGAGCTTCTGCCGCGCCACACCCCAGGCTTTGTCCGAGTTGGCAATGGACGTTTCGCGTAGCAGCACCCAGATTCGCAGGCGCTCGCGCAGTGGGTTCTCTGCAGCTGCCGACATGCCACATGCGACCAGCGAGCAGCGAGCAGCGAGATCGTGGCGAGGGCGGCTATCACGATCTGGCGGGCGCGCGTGATGGATTTGCTCGGGCTCGCGTCGTCTCGGTTGCGTAAGGTAGGTTGTGGTATGTGTTGGTTGTCGCCTGTAGGGCCCTTTGGACAGCGTGAAGTAGAACTAGTCACTAGTAAGAGCATGTGCGGGCTGGGATGGAGTGGAGTGGAGCCGAAGAAACGGCGGCGAGCCGCACCAGGTCGATCCTCCTTCTAGTAGGTACTGTAGTTCTTCCATCGGCTTCTATTGGAGGACTTCACCACCACCTTCCATTATTATTGCTGATGGCTATTACACAACATCGCCTCCCGTCCGTCAGCCTCAGGAACAACCCCTCTACCTACCACCTCGTAGATACATCCTGTACCGACAGAGAAACTGAGCTTCTCAGGCACATTCCACAGCCACGAGCGGGCGCCCTGTGACGGCCCGCCATACTGGCCCACGGGAGGCTTCGAAAAAAAAACACACTTCCGGCATGTTTGACAACAGCGTGCGTCGACACATTTACTGCAGTCATCAACAACGTCGCGGCCGCCGGAAGAGGAGCGCGAGCTCCGCCGCCAATCTCGTCAGATGTTGACCACGAGCTGCCAGCGTGTCCTCGGCTGTGGCAGCCCTACTCGCCTTCTGAAAGGTTGACCGGAACAAGAGCCTCCTCCCTCGAGTAGTAACGACTCAATGCTACATGCACCATCGAGCGACACTGCGCGCTCCCATGACCTGCTTCAGTGGCCTATGACTGCAGTGATGGCTACTTGGCACTGCGAGATGCATGGTCTGCTGAGCACTCCGGCGGAAAAAGGCAAGTCCTTTGTCGCAGGCATTTCGTAACCTCCTATGGTCACGCAGCAGATCAACAACGCTTAGCGAGACGGAGCCAAGCATACCAGCCAAGAGCACGAAGCTTAATAGAGTGTTTGGAGCAGATGGCGGGGCAAGGCTCGCCGAGCTGTGTGAAGCTTCATGTCTTCTCGAATCCGACTGCGACGCTCTGCCGTATATTGAACGTACGTAAGCACGGTAGATCTAACTTGCAGTCGCACATGCACTGTTATATGTCCCTATTCCGCCACGCAACTGAAAACCCGTTTGCAACCACGTCTACCAACATTGGAAATCTACTGCACAAGTCGAGATTCTTCGCAGCATGTCAGGCACAGAGAGACAGACTACTGGCTGTCACCACACCAACCACTCACTGTCCTATCAACTGCTCCCTCCCGACGGTCAGCAGCCAAGCAGTGCTCCCATGTGCCTTGCGTGCCCGTCCTCCACCACTTTCTCCTCCCCGTTCACGGCTACCACCAACCCTACGGCAAGTCAGATGTGCCCTCCGAGACTCGTCAGCACTTAGAACTGAAAGTCCGCCAACGAGAAGCTATAGGTGCCTTGTACACCGGTAGAACGACCACGCGCCTCAATACCACGACAGAGGAGGTATCGAAGTATACCTCCGAACAGGCTCGAATTTTGCCAACGACGGCTCACGCGTGCCTTTTGTACACCCCTATAACTTGATGTATAGCAGAAGCAGCAGCAGCAGCAGCCGCCGCCACGAGATTTACTTATGCAATGCGGATGTTAGCAACCACAAGATACTCCATGCATGCACAAAAACTGGACAAGGTTACAGAACCAATTATTCGTCCAATCCGTCGATCCGCTCCCACACAAATATGTAACCTCCAGCCTATAGCACGACCCTCCCACTCACTCGCATATGCCCATTGCCCCGCAACCAATCCTGAGATGCAGACAGAGCCTTTCTTGCCATTCTACCATCTTCATATGCCAATCTCACAACAATTTTCCCTGGTTTGCTGCCATACTCCGCAATCTGTACAACCCATGCTGCAGCAATTACACGTCAGGATGGCTAAATGCCATTAGGGTAGTGCCACGCCTCTCATACGCATGCGTAGAAGCGCAAAGCAAAGCAAAGCAAAATTGAGAATGTTGTGTCAGACTGGGTGCTGCCATATTTGTTTGTCCCTTGGATACACAGAGCGCTGAGATGACAGCGGAAGATAACAGAAATTCGAAGTAGCCTCGTTTTGGCAAATTTCTGCCATGCCAAACACCTTGCCAAGTCTACACGTGGACAATCGGTCGGCACTGCAGGGGAGCGGTGGCGAGAGAGTGGTGCACGATATCCCGTGCGAAAACCCCGTAGGCAAATGTTCCTAGCCACATTCGCTGCTCGATACCCGGTGTGAGGCATGGCTCAGTGATAGAGCATGACGTCTCGAAGCACTACCAGAGACCTCGGGTGTTTCAAGAGCATCGCCAACATGTAATTGCATCAGATTGCATATGGACTGCACGAAGGCTTGGTGCAAGCTCGGTTCGGACATCTGGGGAGGCGGAAAGAGGTTGTCCGAGTCGGCGCTGCAATCTTGACATCTCTCGCAGTCATGGTGTATTGTCTCGGAGAAAGCGTCGTACACTGCGCATCGCATAGAAGTACAGTAAGGCTGCAGGGCTGAGTCGTAGCAATATATCGATGTAGTGTAGCGCGTGCTCCCGAACGCACAAAGCCACATGTAAGCAGCGGCACTCGATATGTCTTGGTTCGGGTGGGACTCTGGCATCACACGCATCAATGAGCGGCGTATCCAGGTGCAATCCTCCTATAGGCATCGCTTCGATCGCTGCCAGCTGTCTCAGGTCTGCTGGTCCCTGGCGCCTGTCGAATGGGCAAGTTCATTTGTGAATGGGCAAGATTGGCACTACTGGTTCTCGTAGGGAAAGGTCGAGCTGTCCCATTCGACGGAGGCGTAGCCACAATCGGGATCTCGCCAGTTATGGGTGTGTGGTCATTTATACTCGATTGCGAGCTCTGGCTCGGTGTGTCCTCGCCTCGCAACAGTGCTCTGCTCGACGGCGACAGCTGGGGAGCCAGATGGCTTTTGCGGTTATGTCTCTCCATCATACTGACGGCCCACGCCTCCAGGTCGACTGGAGTGCGCTTCGCCGCTTGCAAGAAGGGATCCGTGTCATATAGTTCCTGCGGAGTGGGTCGTTCTTCTGGTACCTTCAGAAGACATTTCGCAATGACATCTTCGAGAATCTGCGGAAAAGCCTCGCTCTTGGGCAGCTTTGGCGCAGGCTCTAGAACAATTTGCTGCAGCAGATCTAGGATGCCTTGTGGCCCGCTTGCCTCCTCTTCGCCATCATCAGCTGACGAAGTGAAAGGGAACTTGCCGATCGCCAGCTCCATGAGGGTCAGACCAACACTCCAGACATCACTCTTGACAGAGTAAGGGCTACCTTGGATACGTTCGGGCGCCATGTAAGTCCCAGTACCGACGAAAGTGTCAGCCACACTATTCTCCAATTCAGATGACACGCCGAAGTCGCAGAGTTTGATCTGTCCCTTGCTATTCACCAAGACATTCGAAGGCTTGATATCTCGATGCATGATTCTGTGGGCCAAGTACAGGTACTTGAGCCCGCCTAAGATAGCTTCTGCAATCTTTCCCAGCACGTCGACGCGAACGGGGCCAAAGTTCTTGGATATGCTGTCGAGAGAGCTAAAAGGACTTGTCAGTTGAGGTTCATATTGGGTCCACGTCGGAATTCGTGTGCATCGACCTACCCAACGTCCATATACTCCATGCACACGGCCACGTCATTCGACTCGTTCATGAAGGCTCCGTAGAAGGAGACGATATATGGCGAGTTGCATTCGTGCATGATCTGCAGTTCCCTCACGATACGCTTCCTGATCTCCTTCTTGGCCTCAACGTGAATGATCTTTCTCGCCATGACAATGTTCCAGCCTTTGTGCCGCACCTTGCTGACAGTACCTCCATTACCAGAACCGAGCTCTTTCACGACTTCCAGATCCTCGCTCCGCCAGTCTGGTCTAAACTCGACGCCTATCTCTAGGGTATCTGCTCGATGTCCATCGTTTCCCAGAGCGCCAGGCAGCTGAGAGTCCTCGTCTGAAGGCACGGCTGGCTTTGGCGGTGCACTCAGAGCGAGACCTTTGACATTCTTCCGTTTCATCGTCCTCGCCTGCCCAATGGTGTTGCTCATGATGGCGGTATGACGTTCGCCTCGGCTGGCGGAGGGAGATGTTTGGCTGTAACTATGCTGTACAGGAGGTGATACCAACAGTAGATAAAGATCGCTCTCGATCACAGCTGAGTAGGTATCGTGTCGTAAAGAAGTGTCTGAGAGAAGTGCTGGCCCAACGAGACACTTTGGACGCAGGTGCTGAACTGTTTGCAACAGGAGAAGGCGAAGGTGATGAGCTATCGTCCAGCACTTGCAGCAGGGAACTGCCAGGGGGGTCCGAGCGGAACAGAAACCTTTTGAATTATAGGCAGATATGTTAATGCAGACTGCAGTACCCGACGCGGCTTTGGCAACGATGTGTAAACTGTACAGTATGGATGTGGGTACTGAGCAAGGCGAAAGAAGCAGACAAGCAATCAAGGCTCGGGCTGATCCAATAGTACAGGGGGGTCTCGGTAAGACGCTCCTTTTCCCAATAATAGTGCACAAACACTTATCGATTTTCTCCCGAACGGGAAAGACAGACTGCCTACTCCCGGTCAGTGCTGAGTCTACACGTGCGTCCGCATACCTTACTGGTATTGGAGTCAACGGTGGCGACCCGACACCACAATACCCACAATCCGGACAGTGAAAGATGAAAGACAAGGTCAATAACTGCATCACACGAGTGCTGCAGGGGGTATATAGCAAAGAGAGTCAGAAGTAGACTTGCCCTGTATACGGAGCCGCCTGATAACCTTTGCTGTGGCGGATATGAGCATCGATGGTAAGGAGTGGTCTGAGTAGCCACCACCATCCAGTCATTGTTCGACAGCTGCGCATCCTCCATGTCGTTGTCAGATGTCAAGGTAGATAGTGATATCGTCCTACTTCATGCTTGTATTTTATACACCTCTGCAGACGATGGGAAATCTCATTTGGGAGCATACCTTATGTGCGTTGCGCAGTATGTGCGCCGATTACCTCATTAGGACTAGTGTGTTCTGGCGGATGGCCCCTTCGACTTTGGAGCTCCTTCCACCGTCTGTGTCCGAGGGTAGCAAATACAATATTAATCCATTTTCCATCGGCGCGCGCGCGACCATCATCCCCAGCTGCCTTCACACCCCGTCTCTCATACTTGCACTGCGCGCAACTTCGCGTTATTAATACGAGCACTTCGTTGCGTTCGTCAAAGCATCTGCCGTCAAGACTTTCGGCGCGAAGCACAAGAATTTCACGTCAACCACTTCTTCACACCCGTATACGTCCGGCAGCATGGCAGAATTCCTTGAGACGACCGCCGCCGTTGGATCCGACGAGGAAGAAGAGGAGTTCGACGAAGAGACGGGCGAAGTCATCTCATCTGGCAAGCAGAAGGGAACCAATGCTGTGGATCTGGACGACTCCAGTGAGGAAGATGACGATGATGATGACGAGGAAGCGCAGCGCATTCGCGAAGGCTTCATCGTGGACGAGGATGAGGATGAGGACGTTGAGACTCAGCAGGAGCGTAAGAGGCAGCGTAAGAAGAGGAGACGCGAGCAGCGCGAAGAGGAAGAAGAGCTGGACGAGGAGGATCTGGATTTGATAGGAGAGACCATGCCCGGAGAGCGACGTCAGCCAGAGCAGCAGAGCAAGTTCAAGCGCCTGAAGCGTGGCCATCGGGACGCCCGAGAAGCCAGCGTCTCTCGAGGCGTGGAAGACATCTTCTCCGATGAAGAAGATGGCGATGCTGACATGGGCGCTCCGCGTCGCGCCTTTGGCGGCTACGACGACGAGATGGATGGCTTCATCGAGCAAGATGAGTTTCCGGATGAAGACGGGGGGCAGATGGACGAGGACATGGGAGTTCGCGCACCACGCAAGGCAGGCATGCCCGACTTCAACAATCTCAAGAACTCTGGGCTTGGCGAAGCAGAGCTTGAGGATATGCTGAATGCCTTTGGCAACGGCGAGGAGTTTATCTGGGCACTTGAGGCTGAAAAGGCAATCAACGAAGAGTCGGCGGATCCGGACAAACCCTTGGAATTGAAGGATGTCTTCGAGCCTAGTCAGCTCGAAGAACGTATGCTTACTGACAGGGACAACGAGATCCGCCTTAATGATGTACCGGAGCGATTTCAGCTGGCACGTGCTCCTTACAAGGATACCAATGAGTTGTCTGATGAGCAGCTTGCTGTTCGCAATGACGAGGAAGCCAGCTGGATCTCAAGCATCCTTTTCCCGAGAAAGCGCATGGACCCCGGTCTACGAGGACCGTTTGAGACCGCCGTCAAGCAAGTCTTGCAGTTCATGAATGTAGAAGACCTCGAGCCAGCCTTCATCGTTCAGAATCGCAAAGATTACCTCATTCACTCTGAACAGGTGCCTAATGACGACCCGAACGGCCCTCCCTTCGTCATCAAGGCAGAGAAGTTACTCAATCAAACCGATCTGTGGGACGTGCTTGAGCAGGATCTCAAATATCGTGCCTTTGCAGAGAGGCGAGACGCCATTCAAAAGAATGTCGAGCTGCTCAAGGAGATCGAGACTGATTTCAATGATGAGATTTTCAACGATCTGATTCCTCTCGCCGCACAACTTGATGATCTCCAGGATTTGCAAGATTACCTCAACTTCCAATATTCCATTCAACTCAAGGACTTGAGCATTGCTGAGGCAGAAACCAATGGAACACAAAAGAGGGCACGCGGCACTCGTAGTCTCTGGGACAAGGTTCGCTCAGGACCAGCATACCATCTTGTGCGAGCATTCGGAATTACAGCAGACGCCATCGCGCAGAACGCTGAAAACCAGGCTGTTGGCCGGCGGAGATATACCGAGGATCCGGATCAATCTCCGGAGGACATCGCGGACACGTTGATTCGGGATCCAGATTACAAGACCGGCGAAGACGTGCTCGCCGCCGCAAAGGCCATGTTTGTCGAGGAAATCGTTATGAGTCCACGGATGAGAAGACATATGCGTAAGATCTACTACGAGAACTTAGTCTTCGACTGCTTCCGGACGGAGAAAGGCCTCAAGCAGATAAACGAGGAGCACCCATACTATGAGTTCAAATATCTTCGCAATCAGGAGGTCCGGTACTTCTTGGTCGAGAAGCCTGAGTTGTTTTTGCGTATGCTAAAGGCCGAAGCAGATGGCCTTGTGGAAGTACGCGTCAAACTTCGTGGCGAGAAGCGCATCAAGCTAGACCTGCAGAAGACTATTGAATCTGACAATTTCTCTGCGGTGGCTGATGCCTGGAATGCATTGCGCAGAGAGGTCTTGGACACGGCTGTGTCTAAGATGCACCGCATAATCTCCAAAGGTGTGAAGGATAACTTGAAGAACGAATGCGAGAACAAGATCGGCAGCTACTGCCGAGACAGCTTCACGCAAAAGCTCGATCAGGCACCTTATAAGCCTAAAGGAATGGAACTCGGCACTCACGCTCGCGTGCTAGCGCTGTCGAACGGAGCTGGAAATCGTGGCGACGCGATCTGCTGGGCATATGTCGACGAGAACGGCGCGGTGAAGGAGAACGGCAAGTTTGCGGATCTTCGACCTGGTAATGAAGAGAAGTACATTCCCGATGGCAAGGATATTGCGAGCTTCAAGGAGGTCGTTCAACGCAGAAGGCCAGATGTAATTGCGGTCTCTGGATGGTCTGTGGAGACCTACAAGCTCTATCAGGACTTGAAGGACATTGTCAGGAAACACGAGCTCCACGGCGCGGCTTACGAAGATCCGGACGAGGACAGAGAAGTGACTGATCCTTTGGAGGTCATCATTCCACAAGACGAGGTTGCTCGTCTATATTGGACATCAGATCGCTCGGCCGTGGAACATCCAGGAGTTCCACCACTTACCCGGTACTGTATCGCTCTCGCACTCTACATGCAGAATCCTATGAAGCAGTACGCGGCGCTCAAAAAGGACATTACATCGATCACTTTTGATCCAAACCAAAACCTCCTACCCGAGGACAAGCTGCGACGGTATCTTGAGACTGCAATGGTGGATATTGTCAATCTCGTTGGCGTGGACGTCAACGAAGCAGTTCACGATAGTTACACAGCCAACTTGCTTCCCTATGTGTGTGGTCTTGGTCCCCGAAAGGCCGACAACCTCATCAAGGCTGTTACTGTTAACGGAGGCGAAGTTGCTAACCGAGCAGATCTCGTTGGCGATCTGGACCGGCAGTTGCGCCCAGCGGTGGGACCCAAAATTTGGACCAACTGTGGAAGTTTCTTGTACATAACATGGGAGGACGACCCAGAGTCCGACTATCTTGACAACACCAGAATACATCCAGAGGACTACGAAATAGCTCGAAAGATGGCGGCTGATGCGCTGGAGCTCGACGAAGAAGATATTAAGGCCGAGCAGGATGACAACGGAATGGGTGCCGTTGTCCGGCGACTCATCAAAGAGGAGCAGCAAGACAAGGTCAACGACCTCGTGCTGGAGCAATATGCAAAGCAGCTCGAGGAAAAGTTCCATCACAAAAAGCGAGCCACTCTGGAGACGATCCGCGCCGAGCTCCAGAATCCCTACGAAGAACTCAGGCGCAATTTCAACTCACTCACTACTGATGAGCTCTTCACACAGCTTACGGGAGAAACGAGGGAGTCTCTCACAGACGGTATGATGGTTTCTGTGTCGGTCAAACGTACATTTCCCGATCATATCGAAGTCAAGCTCGAATGCGGCATTGACGGCGGCATCTCCGAGACTGAGTACCCAGAGGAGATGGTTCGTCAGGCGATCGAGCCTCGTCGCATGTGGTCCATGCATCAAGTCATTCAAGCCAAGCTCAGTTTCGTCGATCGCAAGAAGTTCACGGCCCAGCTCACGTTGCGTGAGTCGGAGATGCGCAAGCCATTTCGCCGCAATTTCGATCACGGACTCGAGGAGTGGGATGACATGCAAGAGGAGCAAGATCAAAAGGTGGCGAAGAAGGCGATTGAGAGCAAAACCGGACGGCAGCAGAGAGTCATCAAGCACCCTCTGTTCCGACCCTTCAACTCCACCCAAGCCATTGAGGCTTTGCAGACGCAGAACCGCGGAGACTGCATCATTCGCCCCTCGTCTAAGGGACCGGACCATCTTGCGGTGACGTGGAAGATCGCCGATGGGGTCTATCAGCACATTGATGTGCTGGAACTGGACAAGGAGAACGAGTTCAGTGTTGGCAGAACCCTCAAGGTCGGCAAGTACAGTTATTCCGATCTTGATGAGTTGATTGTCTTGCATGTTCAGGCGATGGCGAAGAAAGTGGACGAGATGACTAATGACGAGCGTTTCCAGAACGGGACCAAAGAGCAGACAGGTAAGCTCGCTGAGGCTCCCTAGTTGACCACAGACCTGTGCTAACGTGAAGCAATAGAACAATGGTTGACCACATATACCGAAGCGAACCCCAAGCGCTCGATGTATGCGTTTTGCTTGAATCGGTCATATCCTGGCTACTTCTATCTGTGCTTCAAGGCGGGTTACGCTGCTCCTCCGGCCCATTGGGCGGTGAAGGTCATTCCGCAGGGCTTCGAGCTCCGGAACAATAAGTATCCTGACGTGAGAGCATTGAAGAACGGCTTCAAGTTGATCATGTCGAACATGGCCACGCAGAATGGCGGTCGGCGATAGCAAGGACGGAGGAAGGAGGCCGAGTAAGAAACGAAACGACATTGGGGGGGAACGTTGAGCTGGGGGCAGGAGGACCGCAGGCAATATCACCAGAATAAAACAGCATGGCGCACAGGATGAGCGCGAGCCTGGTTGTCTCACTACATGTACCTTAGCTAGTACCTACATGTACTCTCGTCGGCAGAAAGTACCGAACAAAAGCTGAAATTCGCTGATGACTGATCGATCAGATATCCTCGCTGACGCTGCCACTGTCGCGGGTTTGTCATCATTATGCATTTGCATTGTATCCAATGCGTTGACATAGATATACCTCGGGCTGGTGATGAGATTACTACTAAGGTATGCTCTACCATGGGCCGGTCACCTTCCTAGCTCCCTCCGTGAGGTATGTGTCTCGTCATGTCCGAGAAAAGGCCGATGCAAGCAATTGAAATGAACCTATGGAATGACGTGCCTCCCTCCAACCACAAAAAGGCCTTTTCAGTTGCCTCTGATGTCTTCAATTCCAAACAGGAATAGGGGGTCATCCCGCCGCCATTGGGAAGTTGTACTAAAACTACTACTTACCTATGATGTGTGTACTAGGAGGTAGGTAAGGTAGGTCAGGTCGGTAATGTAGTGAAGGGACCTAGGAGGTAGGAGGTAAGGTAAGGGACATGTAATCATGTATGTACCTAGTGCTTCCGACCACATCCCCCCTTGTACGCGAGTGCCCGTGGCCTTCCGTGCCAAAAGTAGACGGCGTTTCTTTCAATGAATGTCATTGAATGATAGGCTCATTTATCATGAAATTCATAGTGGAGGCCCGCTCTGTTTTGCCGCTGTTTCTTCCCCCGGCAGATGAAAGAAAGATCCTGGCTTGTGCAACGTCATTTCTGCTGACCTTTACCTTCTCCCTACATTATTAATCGTACCTTACTACATGTACTCTGTGTTGCTGATGCAAATGCTTCAATAATCTTGTTGTTGTTGTTCTACTACTACTACTACTACTCCTCCTCCTCTTCATCTTCTTCTTCCGAGTACTCCTGGATCCCTCCTCCCTATCTGACCAGCACCACCACCACCATCCACAATGGTCTCTTTCACCGTGTTCAAGGGCAACGAAGATGGCAAAGTCCGCAAAGCGACTACCACGAAAGGCGACCTCGTAGAAGACCAAGTCCTCGTCAAGGTCACCGCCTCCGGTCTCTGCGGCACAGATCTCCACTACCGCAAAACAGACATGGGGCTTGGGCATGAAGGTAAGCAGTCGTGGTGGTAGTAACAATAGTAGTACCAGTCCCCCGCCGTTTGTGATAGCAGTCTGTTCTAACAGGTTTCTTTGTGAATCCATGTGATAGGTGTCGGAGTGGTAGAGCAATTGGGTCCACTCGCCACATACTTGAAGAAAGGCGATCGCGTCGGATGGGGATATCAACACGACAGCTGTGGTCATTGCCAGGAATGTCTGAAGGGCACCGAGACGTACTGCAAAGAACGAGCTATGTATGCGTATGCGAACACGGACCAGGGATCATTTGCGAGCCATGCGGTGTGGAAGGAGGCTTTCTTGTTCAAGATTCCGGATGAGATTAGTGATGAGGCTGCTGCTCCTCTCATGGTGAGTTGGCACGGAGATTCTGATTTGTTTTCACTGGTAGAGGAGATATTTGCTAACATCCTTTCTTTTCCCTTCGCAGTGCGGTGGTGCTACCGTCTTCAATGCTCTCCATGCATACAATGTCCAGCCTACCGAGACAGTTGGTATCTTGGGTGTGGGAGGTCTCGGCCATCTTGCCATTCAGTTCGCTGCTGCGATGGGAACCAGAGTCGTTGTCCTCTCGGGAACGGACAAGAAGAAGGATGAAGCCATGAAGCTCGGAGCCCACGAGTTCATCGCAACCAAAGACGTCAAGGAGATTAAGCCATCCAAGCCAATTGACCGCCTGCTTGTCACAAGTTCAGCGCCACCAGATTGGTCCATGATTGTGCCCGCACTCGCGCCTGGTGCTACCATTCACCCTCTCTCGGTTGTGGATGATGGCGACTTCAACATTCCATACATGGCTCTGCTGGTATCAGGCCTGACTGTGCAGGGGTCAATCGTGTCTTCTCGCTACATCCACCAGAGAATGCTCACGTTTGCGGCTTTGCACAAGATTGAGCCGATTGTGGAGAAGTACCCCATGAACGAACAGACCATAAATGATGTCATGGATCGGTTGGACCAGGGCAAGGTGCGCTACCGTGGTGTGTTTGTGCCAGAGCAGTAGACTGTTTCTGGTAGTGGCTGTGTATTCAGAAGCAAGAGCTGCTTGGGTCCCACGGAATTTGTGTACTCTTAGAAAATATTGAGCGTTCGCCAATCAAAATCGTGACGAGTTGATGAATTGGACTTTGATCTTGTCTCCCGTCTTCTAGCTCAAGGTCCCTTCCCGGGAGGCACGTTGATAACACCCTGAAGGCGATGAGAGGTGGCTGAAGGGTACATGCAGCTCACTCGAGCAGTTCTGCAGGGTACTCGAACGTCTTCTGCAGGTGGCCTTTGAAGGTCTCACTATCAGGCGTAGCAAAACCAGACGGGTTCTTCATCTCGGGGGGATTCGTCTCGATCTCTATGGTGACCTACAACCTTCATTAGTAAAAGCGCTCTGAATCGCAACGACAATTGCCGTTCTGAGCTGCCTGTACCTCTTCGTCCAGGGAGGAAAAGTCCAATCCAATGCATGGCGTCGTAGGCATCTCTTGGGGCGGTTCGTCACTCACCGGTCCATCATTGACCAGACCCACGTCCATCATGGCTTGGAACACACCATCCTTAACACGGTCCTCGCGATACAGCTTCCGTACTTGGTTGAAGAAGAGATCGTAGAGCTCTTTGCCTTTGGTAGGATCTGCAGAAGCATGGAAGCTGGGCTTGTTGCCTTTCTTTGTAGACGCCAGAAGGGTGAATTGAGAGACTGAGATCTAATGTCAGGAACTGGAAGGGGGATTCCCCGGGGAAGCCATGTGATGTGATGCTTACCACACAGCACTTCGCCATTGATCTCCTGCACATTCTTCTTCCACTTGCCACCACCCTGCTCGTCATCCCACAATTTCACCTTGAGCACTTTGGCAGCCATGGACTCGACTTCTTTGGCAGTATCCTCTTTGGCAATGGCTGCTAGCACCAGCAGGCCTTTCCCAATCGTCGATATGAGCTGACCATCGACGGTCACAGAAGCAGACTTGACGCGCTGAATCACGGCTTCATTGCTGGTCAGCTCCCATTTTGCTTTGATTGTCGCCGCAGATGGTCCTGCTTGCGAGTCGATGGGCAGGTCTCACTCTTCATGGCGGCGGTAGGTGGTAGCCGTCGGCCGTGTGCACCTGGACAGGACCAGTATGCGCTGCAGATGGATATGACCAGGTCGAGTGTAATGCAGATGCAAGTGAATAACAATAATGCTGGTGGCGGCAGAGCCCGAAAGACTGTTGACAAGAGTGAGGCGGAGCAGACCAACAAGTGAACAATGCCTAGGGGGTACGACGAAGATACCTTTACTGCTATACTGCTATTACTGCAGAAGCGTGTCGCCGTGCGGGCCCAGCCGGAGACGGTGGTGGTGATGGTGATGATGGAGTGAATACTTTCCAGGTTGTACTAGTGCCAGCCACGCCTTCGCGTCGCCCTTCTCCGTGACACGTGTGGCACCCGGACAGGCGAAGCCGCGATTCATCTCCCGCTATTCTGCTTCGAGCTCTAGCGCGCCGAGCCGCAGGCATCTCAGGTAGAGAGACAGGCAGACCGTCTGGCAGTCTGGCTTCGCGCATCCTGGACACCAGCAAACAGGAGAAGCCAGAACAAACACCTCATCGCCTCGCCTTCCCTTCCACCCTCCCTCACCTGCACACCGCCTGCGCCTCCGCCGACCACCGTGCATTCGTCAATGCTCCCGCGCATGTCGTTCTCCGCGCCCACCATCGATCAATCGACCCTCACTGCATCCAACAAACCTGCGCTAAGCAGAGCCACAACCACCGATTCGAGCTGAGTGAACCAGAACCAGAGCTGGAGCCGGAGCCAGAGCTCTCTCGCGCCGCCTTTCCACCTACACCACTACCACTGTACTCCGTCGCGTGCCCCGCGCGCATTCACACCTACACCCACCTCTACGCAGCCTCCTCTCGAACGCCCTCGCCATGGCCCAACGGAAGCTGCAGCAGGAGATCGACAAGGCACGCATGCCCCCGGTATCCGCGAGCCTGAAATGTCCGCTAACGACAGCTGTAGGAGTTCAAGAAAGTCGCCGAAGGAGTGCAGCTGTTTGAGAGCATCTACGAAAAGCTCACTCAGTCGACAAATTCGTCGCAGAAGGAGAAGCTGGAGGACTCGCTCAAAAAGGAGATCAAGAAGCTGCAGCGGAGTCGAGACAAAATCAAGGGCTGGGCGAGTCAAAATGATATCAAGGACAAGAAGCCGCTGCAAGATCAGCGGAAGCTCATCGAGACGGTATATTGAACCCGCGTGGCCTCCCCCGGACGCGTGCATCTACGTGCCATGGCGACTAACACGTGCCTCTAGCAAATGGAAAAGTTCAAAGCCGTCGAGAAGGAGATGAAGACGAAGGCTTTCTCGAAGGAGGGCCTTAATGCGGCCGCCAAGCTGGATCCCAAGGAAAAAGAGAAGAACGACGTGTGCAATTTCTTGCAGGAAATGCTGGACGAGTTGGAACGCCAAATAGAAGCGCTGGAAGCCGAAGCCGAATCGCTGCAGGCGGGCCTGAAGAAGGGCAAGAAAGACTCGGGCAAATCTGATCGCACGGCCGCGCTCGAGTCGAGAGTGGAAACGCACAAGTGGCATATCAGCAAATTGGAGCTGTTACTGCGGTCTGTGGAGAATGATGGCATTGGACCAGAGGAGGTCAAGGAGCTGGAGACGGACATCAAGTACTACGTGGAAACGAATCAGGAAATGGACTTTATGGAAGACGAAGGCCTGTACGACGCGCTCAATCTCGAAGAGGAAGAAGGCTTGTATGGCATGCCCACAGAAAACGACAAAGTGTCCAGTCAGGATACTCAGAGCATACAAGACGAGCCTCCCGATGCAGAAGATGGATCACAACCCAAGAAGCCCGCCACGAAATCCAAATCCACATCGGAAACCACGACAAGACGCCCCAGTGTGCAGCTGAAGTCGACATCACAACCTCTACCTCCGCTGGCGACATTACAAAGTACACCGAGCAACTCGAGTAGCAAGGCGGCAGAATCCATGAAGCCAGCACCCTTGCCGACGATACCTACAGGCCAACCTTTGAAATACGCTTCCGCCGCCGCCGCTGCAGCAGCGAGCGATAGGAACGGTGTCGGGATAGCACCGCTGCCTCCGCCACCCGGAGGAATGAGGACCAGCGCAGCATCATCACCAGCCGTAACGGTAGCACAACCAGTAGCGCCTTCGCCTGCCAAGCCTGCAGAACCGGTGCCCGTCAAAGTGCCCGAACAGCCCGCGAGGCAGCTTGCACTTGAGCCAAAGTCGAGCGAAGCAGAACCGGTCGCATCATCTCAGGCATCGAAGGTGCCGTCTATCAAACCCTCCCCGCAAGTGTCAAAGGCGCAACCTACACCAGAGCCGCCTTTGTCGAAGCTTCCACAGCCGCCGAGCCCAGATTCTGGCATATCTGGTCTTGCTTCAACGCGAGGTGAAGTGGAAGACGACGAGGAAGAGTCGGTATACCACTTGCCGTCGTCGCTCGCTGATCTTCTGGAGTCGTTTGAAGAGACCAAGCAGCGAGCCAAGTCCGATCAAGCGTTTGACCAGGATATGCTCAATGCTTCTCGATTGAGTTGTCCCACGCCAATGGATGCCGAGAGTCCAAACCACTACCGGCCCCAAAATCCATACGCCTACACACCACCGCATTATCCGCAAGAGCCTCTTGGGATATTTGACGATCACAGACTGTACAGCCGTATAGACCAGGATTCGCTTTTCTACGCGTTCTACTATCGCCAAGGCACATACCAACAATACCTTGCAGCTAAGGCGCTGAAAGGCCAAAGCTGGCGGTTCCACAAGCAATACCAAACATGGTTCCAGCGTCACGAAGAACCGAAGAACATCACCGAGGAATTTGAGCAAGGCACGTATCGGTTCTTCGACTACGAGTCCACTTGGTAAGAGGCCTAACACGATGGACGATGCAGGAGTTGTTACTGACGCACATTTATAGGATGAATAGGAGAAAAGCGGATTTCAAGTTTGCTTATAAGTTCTTAGAGGACGATATCTGAACAACGCACCCGCTGCCATTGATCAGCATTTCAGTTCTCTTTCGGAAGTATCACAGTAGCTCCACACTCCTCGCTCTTCTTGGAGCACTACAGAAGGAATCAAATACCGTCACCGTCTGGTGACCATTTTGGGCACTTGTCTTGAGAGATCTTTCCGTCGTCGGTAGTTCTGCTGCTACTGTTCAGTTTCCCGCTTTTCATATTGCTGAGCACCAGAGACACTACAACTGATGAAGCACAGGTCTAGAAGGCCGTCAATGGAAGGGTCCCAGGCGATACAAGGCAAGTGACAATTTGATGCTGTGCACTCGCTGCCACGAACGCGGCATCGTGACCAGGTGTCCGTGCCAGGTTTTGCAAGCGCTTGCGGCTCCGCCAAGGGTGCTGACGGCCTCATTTCGTCTCGGTGGAGGACTTCACGTTCAATATCTTAGTGTCCCATCGTGGCGCCTGCACGGCTAGCTCGTATACCAGGGCAGGCAACCAGGCATCTGGTATACAGAGGATGCCGCATGCTACTCATCTCAACTTGGCGTCTTGATACCCAGCGCCTACACGTGGCGGTTCTGCACTTCTCCTTCAATACAGCCTTGCTGCAGCACTGTCTCAGGCAAGGCAAGTTGCTCTGCGCTTGATGGCGAACACAGCTGAGCTGTGCAAGGCTCATCCTGTCCAAACACAGCCCTCTTTGAACTCTCTACATTTCCGCATTCGTGAGTCCGATTGCTTCTTTGGTCCTCCGTGGCCGATGCGGGCAGTTTGTGCAATTGCGACGCATCAGTAGGTACTCGGGTGTCGTGATTGATGAAATTGCCCGGCGAAGTCTCATAAGCTCAACTTAGCGCGCAAGTCATAGTGAGATACTGATGAGGACCTCTGAATAGCCGGGCGAGACCCTGCTTAATGATTGATCATGTAGTTCAGATGATAAGCGGCATTGTTTTCCACGCCCATCGATGATCGAGATGTGTTCTAGAGAACCTGCAGGTGGGGTCCAGATTCGTACCGACGTCCTCAAGGAGGTACTGCAACACCATCATCATGTCAATAGCCCCTTGTCGCTGTTCCATGATACTTTCTCCTTTCTATGGCTTCCCCCAAATCCCCAAGTTCCGTGAACTCATACATACCTCACAGCTTTCACAGCCCCGACGACGACGCTCCTTGAATCTTTTCTAGGATCGAATCCTGCTTGTCTGCAGGCATGCCCCCTGAATGTACTCGTTACGCTGCGAGACGAACAGCAGATTGGGAGAACGTTAGTCATTGCGCTGCCAAGCACACGTCTGGTGTTTCGTGCATAGGTATCCACATGAATGACTGATTGTGGCTGGTCGGCATGTCATTGGAAAAGGCGACTATGGATTTCCAAGAAGGGATAGGGATCAGATGGTTGGTTAATATGCGCGAAGGGTATACGGCTCCTTTCCCGAATAGAGCTTCGGTTCATGAGCCGAGTTCGTTCTTCTTCGTCGAGACGACCTGATTCTTTTCTACTGCTGGTCGTTAGCGGCAGAGGGGAGGAAGGGAGAAGGTAATAATCACCGCATCCGAGTGCGGATTGATATGAGTCTTGAGCAATTGTACCTTACCTGAAGTTTTGCAATTCTCGCACTTATTCCCCATCTACGAACAAACCACTCGCACTTTCCTTCCTTCTCATACACTCGCACCTCCCCACTCCTGCCGCACTACCTAGCACATAAGGTACACATACGACTGCACCTCATCCTTCCTCCATCATCAATCTCGCTCCAATGTGGTGTAGTGGCTAGCATATCCGATTCTCATCCAGATACTCGGTTGACCAGGGTTCGGTACGTCGACCGTCCGTCCTCAAGAACAAAGAGGAAGGAGGAGATTGTTATCGATTCCAACCAATTGACTGACTATCATCATTCCAGATTCCCTGTATTGGAAAACGTTTCAGCATTTTCTCTTTTGACCTTTCTTTTCTTTTCTTTTCTTTTTCTGTCGTTCTTCTCAAATCACCTTTTTACTAGGTAAGCCCATACAGGAGCAACAACACAGTTCGAATACGTCTGTCTGTGCCTTCTTCTTTTTTTCCCCTCTCCCTTCCTTCGAAACACAAAGTCCGCATCGTCATCATCGTCATCATCATCACCTCCCACCGGACCTTCTCAAAAGATTTGATGCTACCTCCATACTGTACCTTCGGACTTGCGTCTTGGCGAGTTCTTCGTCTCCTTCTTTGGTTGTTATAGTCACTGTACTCGGAATATTACATGGAAAGCCTTCTTGAAGAAATTGGTAGCATTCTACTACACAGTGTCGTAGGCCTTGGAAACCTTCTCCATGACAGTCCTCTGCCGAAGGGCTGATTCGTATGGAAGACCTATAATGTTGCAACTTGCGGAAATCTGTCATGAGCTCTGTAACTCGCATTGCTCGAGCCATATTGACTGTTGCATTACTTCCTATACATGTCAGTGTAGGCGGCACTATCGACATGATCCTGTAAGAGACGACGTTGGCGCTCAGAACTCACGTCCATCTGCCATTGCGTGGAAGTGCAAGAGGACTGTAAAGTGCAAGTGATCGTCATCGAGAAATGTCGACGCTAAGGTATGCAGCGATGTGGGAAGAGCCCTACCGTAGAACGGCGGTAGGATCTTATATGAAGGCAATGCGACATCTATACTCAGCGCGCACATATGGTTTGGGTTGTCCTGCCGGACTTTTAATTTCGAGAGAGTCAATCTCATGGTGGCTTGCCGGTTTGTATGGTTTCATGAGGTTCATTGCATGTGAAGTCGATATAGTACAGCGCCTCAAGTGCAATTGCTTCTGCCTAAGCAATGAACCTTGCAAAGCTGTACCGAAGCTCGTGTGCGCATGCCACAGCCACGCAGCGTGCCGACTTTGGCAAGACGTGAGGTCTGGCGAATGATATTCGAACTGTCGAATCCTTAGCGCCAAACGGCTTTCGGGCGTAGGCGAAGCAATGTCATATTGCGTCGACGACTTCTAATAGCATACCTTTACAACCGCCTCCGGTGATATCTTGATCGTAGCACTGTATAGTGTCAGGAATAGAGCTGAGATGCCCCATAGCCTAGTCCTTCTCCGCTATGGCCTGCAGGCGTTCATCAATCTCTTCCTCTGTGAGTGGACGGAATGCCTTCTCGGTGCCCTCCTTGCCGTCTTTTCTTGGACCTCCAACAATACCAATTTCCAGCTCGCCCTTCTTGAAGTCAACACTGAGCACAGTGCTTAGCGTGGATATGGCAAGCTCTACGACTTCATCCCAGCTGCCCTCGGCATGTTCCTTGTTCTTCAGCTTCTTCTCGAGGAAATTTAGCGCTTCTTGAGCTTTGGGCCCGGAGGCAGTCGCCTTGTACCCAACATAGTATCCAGCAGGATCGCACTTGTACAGCTGGGGACCGAACTCCTCGTCGACGGAGATGAGTGTCATTGCGACACCCAGCGGTCTCATGTATGCCTGTGGCAGTTGTCAGAACTGGTCCAGGCGGGATTGTATTGTGTCAACTCACGCGCTGTGTGTAGACTTGCGATATATTGGCGATGCGCTTCGCCAGCACGTCACAGGGCATCTCGTAGCCATTCTTGTATCGAAACTCTGCCGCCTCGCCTCTTGCACGGTTCACCGAAGCGCGCGCATCTGCTATTGAGCCAGTCATGACACATCCGACTGACGGCGACAGCTTGTAGACATGTGACACGGATGCGGGATCGATGAGCTTGTCCTGTGCGTATCCAATACATCAGTCACCACCTTCTCACTTTTTCCAACCTGACCTCTCCTGTTGTCGTGGAGCGCGCAACATACCGGCACCTTCTTCTGCGAGATGACGACGGCACAGTCCTTTCCTCGTACGCCGACGGATGTGATGTTGGCTGCGGTGATGGCCTTGAATGCGTATTCTGTATTCGCCGCCCATCAGCAACTGTGCTTTAACCGTCTGACCAGTACAGGGAGAGGTATATCGAACGCACCGACTTGGTAGAGACGGCCCTGGTCACTGAAAATGGTAATGTGTCGGTCGTATCCCGCGCTTCCTGCAATGAAAAAACCCAGAGTCAGTACAGCTTCATACGATTGGCCATAACGGAAGACAAACCAGACATGACGGCGGTAGATTGGGGAGTTCTTCGTTAAAGATTGGAGGATGCGCTGGTCGAAGGGTATGCTCGGCTGTATCGAATCGGGTCGAGATATGTGGCGACAGCGGTGGTAGTGGCGGTTGGTGGCAGTGGTGGTGGTGTTGTGGTATGGCGATGGCGATGAGTATCCCGGAGCTGTTGGACAAGAGACAGCTCCAGGTGGAAGTAGTCGTGACGCGTCTGCGTGCCTGAGGCAGAAACGACAACACAAAACTCCGTACTCCAGAGTATCACAAATTCCATCTCTCATATTTCCACTTCACTCTTCCCATTCACTACATATGATCCCACCATGGCAGCTCCGCCAATTTCCACTGCCCCTGCGCCTCGCGTACCAGCCTGGAAAAGACTGGGTCTGAAACTCAAGAATGCTCAAGACAACCCTCCGGAGGAGAAGACCCATACTCCAGCAAATATTCCATCAATTCATGCCGAGCGGGAAGCATTTTTCAAGCCGCAGAAGCGCAACTTAGAAAGCCAACAAGCGGAAATTCCAGTTAAGCGTGCTAAAGTGGAACTTGCGAAGCCAGTGAGCCAGTCGAAATCCAAACCTTTCCCAGGAAGTGCCCCGAAAACCCGTACTGCTGGCCAGCAGGTCTGGAATGACGAAGAACGCTCGAGTCTACCAGCACCGACTGGTGTCTTCAAAGCTCCTGGACAGGTAGCGAAGCGCATAGTATTTGGCGACGACGAGGAGGAGGAGTAAGTTGCCATTCATCTTACGGCTATTGCTTGTGCATCAGGAGCATGTGTTCTTCGTGCTGTGGAGCAGTTATCGGACGTGACTCGAACCCTGTATATGTCCAGAGCTGACACAACATCAGCATTTCTCACCCTCTTCCAAGTGTACCGTCACCTCCGAAGCAAACCCGGCCAGGATCGATCCGAAAATCGGTCTCGTTCACTCCTGAAACAAAGCAGGAGGACACGTTCTCGGCGCAATCTCTGATTCAAGCCTGGGAAGCTGAAGAAGACCGCGCCGAGGCTGTCACAAGAGTCTCTACAGAGCCGCCAGCATCAGTATCGGAAGTGTCCAAGGAGCCCAAAGCGAAGAAGGAAAAGAAGAAGAAGCGGGTCAAAGCATCCCCCGCTGCTCGTGTCGAAGAGTTCAAATCCGATGAAGATATCAAACCTAGTAGCGAAGAAGTACCCAGCTACGTCAAGTACCTTGAACAATTCTCCCAGGACAAAACCAACTGGAAGTTCAACAAGAATCGTCAGGCCGATCTGTTCCGGAATCTTTTCGACATCGACCGCATACCCTCGAGATACAACCCCGCCCTCGTCCAGTACGTCTCCAGTACGCAAGGCCAGGCGCGGCGACGCATAGCTGAGCAGGCGGAAGACGTTCTGAAGGCAATCTGGGTCCGTGAGAACGACAACAGCGATCTGATGTCGCTGGACACACCCGAAGCTCGGCGTGCGGCGTATTACGAGGCGCTTCAAGCCTCCATCGATCGATATGAGCAGTCTGGAGCCGGCAGAACCGAGTACGGCGACCAACAACTCAAAGAGATCTTGCGTGAGCACGAGAAAGGCAAGCGAGCAGAAGAGATGCTCTCAAAGGCACTACAAGGTGAACTTTGGCCAGAAGAGGCAAGCACGTCAGCAGCCGCAACCACAGGCTCGACGACAAATGTCTCCGCCACGACACCCTCCACCTCAACATCATCAACAACAATTCCGCGGGCCACAAGAGTCATCGAGACTCAAAGAATCGAAGGAGGACAGGTCACCACCCGAGAAATCCACCTCACCAACAACAACGACAACAACAACAACAAGCCAGAACCAAAGCGCAAACGCAACCGGAAATCGCGAACAGATGTCTCCTCATCCTCAGATTCTTCGTCCTCCTCAGATTCCTCAGATTCCGCTTCCGACGACAGCTCCGACGACGGCACCAACGACAATTCCGAAGATGATAGCAGGAGCAGTAGTGATGCCTCCGCCTCCTCGCCAGCATCGAAGAAGAAACGCCGCACAACTCCATCAAAGACGAAAGCTGTTACGCCCACGCTGCCTCCCCTTTTCGACTCGGATGTCTTGGACAAGAAATTTGGCAAAGCGGAAAGACATTCATGACCCGACAGTGAGTGAGTGAGGTGTCGCACCCAAATTGAAAGAAAAAGGAAAGGAAAGAAAAGCAAGAAAAAAAGGACGGGAAAAACAAGGCAAAAGGGACACGCGAGGAGGGGTTTCGACTATATTCGCATGCATGGTAGGTAGCGAAGCGGACGAGAGCGACAGCGACAGCGAGTAGGACGAACACAGGAGATCATGGAATTGCTGTACTGTACTGTACTTCACCGTCCACCGATTGGTCTCCCGTAACCTTTGCAGCACTGATCTCGATTCTCCAGCCAAAAACATCATGTTGCGACATGTTCGTTCGTGGTATAGGAGGAGATGCATCTTTTAACTTGTCGTGACTCTCACAAATAGATTTACACATTTTTTTTTCTTCGTCCAACTAGAGCTTATGGAATTTCCTCGCACGATTGTACTTTTTGCCTCGTGAAGCAAAGAGCACGACATTACAAACGCCAACCAGTCAATCCTCTTGCAATTCCATGCCGTACTGGTGTAAAAGAGTGCCACAGAACCCTGCCCATTCCAAGGTTCGTTTTGCAGATCCCCAAGGACAACGCCGCCGTAATGGTCAAAAAGGAGTAGAAAATCCTCATTCGACTTTTCCCCAACGGTTCCGAATGCTGATCGTTTGTCGCATCTATCGACCTCCTAGTGCAGTACAGTATGACTCCGCTGTGCCTTCCAACTATGTACAAAATTGACAACCAATGAGATATTCGTCATTACCTGATCTCGCCTTGACGCAGTCGTAGAAATCCAGCATGCCTCTTCATCCGTGGGAAGAATCATGTTCTGTAATACAAATCCATGACTTTATCCACGGTATCGATCGAGGCTCTCTGCTCCTGTGACCAGTGATGCAAATAGGTTGGGGGCTGGTCTTTCGCAAAATCAGGTATCGTTAAAATCGCCGTCTCTACGGTCTCCGCCGAAGTGGGTGCCCGGAACAGAGGCGGTCGAAATGGCAGTCTATCAATCGTATCCGGCGCCGCGATGCCACGGACTGGGACTGGCGCTGCCTTGGGAGCGATTAATCTGCTGCCCACTGTATGGGCTGGCAGTTGCACTGCGATCGTAGGGTGGCAAATGCCTCGCACTGTTGTTGTTACTGGTAGTGTAGGTCGGGGCAATTGGGCTGCGAGGAGGCTGTGCGTAGCCGTAGCCACCGGCCTCGCCTTCTTTCCGGCTAGCGCTACCGCCAGACGAGCTGTCGTCGTCGTCCTCGATGCGGACTCCGCTCTTGCTGGTGTAGCCGTGCTTGTCCTCTCCCCGAGCAGTAGCGCCGAGTGCATCGAGCTCGGTGTTGATCGCGGTCTGCGACTTGATGAAGCTGCCACGATCGTCACGCATTGGCTGATAGCGTGTGTCTGGGTTCTTGGCAGTGATTGCGATAATCGAAGCAACTAGTACAATAACCAACAGGATCAGGGAGAAGGCGGCATTGTAGACAAAGAAGATGACACCCATGACACCGGTAACGATACCCTGCGAGTGATGTTAGCAAAGCCATGGGCAATGGGCTGTATGAATAACGTACTGGCTGTCCGAATACGTCAGAGAAGACGAGCAGGAAGATAGCGCTCAAGAAGTTGATGACACAGATTGCGATGTTGAAAGCATTGGTCTTCTTGTCCATGTATGGACGAAGAACACAGACGATAATGAGCCAGAAGGCCTCGATGATGACAAGAGCAACTGCCTGGACGGCACCATTGCTTTGCACGAGAGCAATGAAGAGACCCTTGATCAGGATGTACGCCAGGAATGGCACAATGAAGAAGTATGCGGTGGCCTTGAACTGAACGTATAGGAAGCCCCATTTGTTCAGCGAGACTGGATCCGAGTAGAGGATGTAGGCAGGGTTTTTGTGCATCGCAATGCTACGGCGAGCCAGACGGATAACCTTGCTAGATGCCCAGCCGAGAATGGCAAGCATGCTGAAAATTGTGAAGACGGCCAGGACAACAATGGCTGCCGAGTCCTTTTGGGTGAATTCCCAGAAGCAGAGCACGACCATCTGTGGGTATCCGATGAGCACGATACGGAACAAGATACCCTTCAGAACAGTGGTCCAGCCATTTCGGAAATCCTGGAACTTCTCACCCTTCATGCGGCCTCCTCGGACCAGCAACTCGCAGACTCCTTTGAAAATGCAGACTCCAAGAACCACGAAGATGACGAAGGCGAGGAAGAAGACATAGCCTGTCATGAAAATGTTGGTAGACTCGATACCCGCACGAAAGCCAACACGCTGAATGCCCCTAACAGTGACAGTAGTGGACGTGTCCGTGAAGGCAGAATCAGCGTTGGAGCGCTTGAGGATTGAGTTGTGCAATTGCGTGGCGGCGCGCGAGGCAAGCTGAGCATACTCCTGTAAGCTACGCTTCTCAACGCGCACAGAGACAGAGCTCAGATTCGACAAGACCGTGGAGGCAGTGCCGCCGGTCGCACGCTGGTACCAGGTGGCCAAAGTTTGCACAAAGCCGACCGAGATGATACCCATGCTCCACTGAAAGTTTTGGGTCCATGAAGCGACAATGGGCGGCAGAGAGACGGCGGACATGCCGATAAAGGCCTGGGCTTGAAAATATCCAAATAGTGCCATGGCGTTCGCGGCGACGTGCGCAGCGGTGTTGGAGTGGCCTAGTCCGGAAGTAATGGCAGAGGCAACAAGCGCCAAACCAGCCAGGACCGCCACTGTCCATGCTACGCCTTTCTGATCCACCGTCTTTCCGTTTGAGAGTTCTGCCTCGACGCAAGCTGCAGACGAGGCTGTGTCTGTCTGGTTGAAGTACACCTGCACTCGAGCATCCAGATCAGGCACGGTATATGTGATGCCAGGAACTTGTTTCAATGCGCTCGCAGGAATCTCCGCGTTACTATTCAGTGTGATCTGTCCAGCGTTCATGGGACATAGACCTTGCAGGTCGGAGTCGCAAGGATTAATTGTCGTCTTGTACACCTGCAGACCATATGCCAGAACCAGCAGTTCGATCGTGACGTTACCAACGATACTGCTGACACCGACAACGTCAAAGGCCAGACTGCGGTTCTGAGGGGTGAAGATGACATCGAAGAGTGTGGCGCTAAACTTGCTGTCGGCCTGGCAAGGGTTCAGGGAAGTACTCGTCAGCATACGCTCGTTGGTGGCATATGCGGCGGGCGTGAGGGCCAGCAGGCCGGTGAATAACGATGCTAATGACGGCCTCATGCTGGCGGTGGTGCTGTGAGGGGTCGGTGGGTGTATGGGACTGTGGAGTGTCGCAGTCTCGATATCTGCGCGGGAATGCCCCGGGGGGGATGAGCGAGTGTGGGCGCCGTCAGGCGACCGACGTCGAGGAGATCGGTGGTGATGGCGACGATGATGATCAACCGTGCGCTCCTGCGAGGTGGAGGCCGGGGCGGAGTGGTGAGTGCTGCAAGAGAGGCAATCGAAGCGAGAGACGTGAGGAAGCCGACGATGACAGCGAGTGGTAGGTGGTGGTAGGTGGTGGTAGATGGTAGATGGTAGGTGGTAGCGGTGGGTGGGTGGGTGTGGCAAGTCGAGGCAGGAGAAGCGTGGATCTGGTTGGCCCAGTGGTGAGTGACTTCCCGGGCGCTAGCCGGATGACGAGTACGACAGCAAATGGCGCCGCCGCAAGTACCTGTTCGAAGAAACGAGTGTAATGGACACAACGAGCGGTATAGGTCGGTCGGTCGGTCGGTAGGTAGGTAGGTGGAGTGTTGTTGACAAAGAGTGTGAAGCTGATGTACTACACTATCCTATACACTACCTCCTACTGCTTACTGCCGTTCACAGCGTGCTGCTGATGTGATCCCTCCGAGGCGGCGGTCGTATCACACCGTGTCAATAATGAGAATGAGGCTGAGCACCGGGCCAGATTCGCGAGGTTTGCCCTGCGTCCTCGTGATTCGCTCACTCGCCCAGCCCCTGGCAAAACATGGTGCGGCCAAGGAAAAGAAGAATGCAAGGCAAGGCACAGAACTATTTCTGTGGGAGAGATGAAGATGCGCGCTGGAGTCAGTGGATACGGTATAGCTTGGGGAAGTGAGATTCCTCCGTGAGCTACATGTACCTTATTCTTATTATTATTACCGTATTATTAGGTAGACAACCGCCGAGCACCGCAGGGCCCAAAGTAGGTACACATATAGATAATCCCGACTACATACCTGTACCAGAGAGAGCAAGTTGCTGCCTACCTACCTTATATGCTGTTCCACTCAGGTACATCTTCATCGCCGCATCGCCAGCAGAGAGCAAGCACTGCACTTACCAAGCAATTTCCATCAGGAGGTACTGAAACAAACACGAAGCCGTGTGGACTGTGGACCTCGAGAATGCTTGGCATGGGAAGACGACGCGTAGGTACCCTACGCAACATCCTGATGCACTAGGAGGTAAGGTACCGTACATGTACCTACAGTACCCCGTTACAAGAGGAACACTGACTCGCCCGACGATATGTACGTCACCGGGCAACTACAAGCCCAATACTGTACCTCCTAGGACGAGAGCCACGACTCCAAAATGTCAAAAGCCGGCAGAGGTATATAGGATAGGGCTGTTAGCCATTCCTTTTTTACCCCGGGCTCCTGCACTCACGCATCTAATGAATAAACCAACTGGTGATATCTACCTGAGGCAAGGAAGGGCTTTCTTCTTCTCAGTGTTGCCCTATGCGAGCGGGGGGAGAGAGAGAGAGAGAGAGCGAGAGCGCGCGCAATCGCATCTTTCTCTAGTCTCCTTCGCTATACTATATGGAATTGGTAACTCGCCTTTCTCTTAGGCCATATACATAGATACCTAGGTAGTCGTTACATAGCGGTCTGGATAGCTGCGATACCACATGATTTATTCTGTCACCCAGGAGATTCCCAAGTCCTTTCTAGACGAAGGTCTACTAGGAGGTACATTCAGTAGTTACAGGTACCTGAGGTACCTATGTAGTAGACTAAACTGCCGACACAGCTGAGGCCGAGGGTCGTGGCCGAAGAGCTCGATGACGATATTGGTTCGGCCGGGCATTCTACCTGGCAGTCTTCGATCTGAACCCGACTGGTTTGCCCATTAAATGGTGTGAAAAAGGTATAGAACTAGGTGATGACCCTCCACGCACATTGCGCACCTGCGTTGTGCTGCTCTCCCACTCTCTCTCTCCCACACACACACACACACTCTCTCTCTCTGTGTCTCTCTCTATCTCTCTCTTCTCTCTTCTCTCTTTCTGTCTCTCATATGCTTTCATCAAGTCGTCTCGTTATATCGTCCTGGAGAAAACGCTACGCTGAACGCTGCACGACAAATATGCCCACTTCAATACCACTCGTCGGATCCTGTCCTGACGGGTATTGGTTCTTGAGCACGCCTTCCACAAGGTGGCCTACGAGCTCTGTTGCCGTGGACGCCCTCTCGATGTATTGGTTACTGCTCTTCCTCAGCGCCTCCTGCGTGGCACGAGTAACTGTCTCCTTGATTCGAGGATATTCTTGCCTCGGCCACCAGTCCTTCGCCCACGCTGCTCGTCCGATTCGCACGCAGGCTTTTGATGCATGCACCGTCGCATAGCTGCCTTGCTTTCGTTGTGCTAGACGCGCGCAGAGCCTCTGCATGGACCGCTGCATTTGATCAAACTCATCCATATCTTTCGTCGCTGCCATGGTCCCAAGGTCCTGGCTGAGGCTCCAAGACAAGCCGTGTACCACCTGGGTCGTTCGAAGCAGAGGATCAAGGATCGGGCTCAGATACTCCCTCATGAACGTCTCGGCGCCAGTGCGGGTCGGATAGATGAAGACGAGAGTGCCTCCAGTAGGCGACAGTTCCACAAGCCTATCGACAAGAAGCTAATGCACCTCTGTCAGTCTATGCTTTTGGTGTATCACGATGGGCTGTAGCTCACCGAAGGTCCGCTCGGACTGAACAAATTTTTAAACTCGTTTGACGAAGACGGTGGAATGTACCGCTCCACGACGGCCAGGTTCACTGTCGAAGGGGGTACGACCGGTCGCGGCGAACGTGGCAAGGCGGATGGATCATCTTGGTAGTCCGAAATGGGCACCGCGCTAGAAAATATCTTTTGCGTGAAGTAGTCGTCTCCAGACTGCATTCCAGGAGTGCTCGGAGGCGAGGTGGGTATGTCTGGCAGGTTGAACTTGCCAGGTATCGCGTGAAAGACATTGATCCATGTGGGCGGATTACAGGGCGTATTTGCGCCTATTCGCTCGAGTATCGTGTTGTAAATATGCCCGCTATCAGAAGGCACAGGAAGTGCATGTGAGAGCACCCGGAGAGGGTTGTTAGGGATAGCAGCGCTGCGTATGTTGTCCACTGACATGGTCAGTACAATGACTACCTATCGCCATCATCTGTTATCTGCTTACCTAGTACCTCAAGTGCGCCATCTATCCAGGCCGTTGACTCTAGGGCCTATTAGTCTGAGCTCTGATGAACAAGCTGCAATATACGTGCCGTCATCCGAATTTGACCTCACGTTCGCTTCTGAGGCCACGGTCACGGTACGTTCGCCAGCATTTCGAACCGCAGCGATGGAACTGGCCTGAGCGGGAAGATCAGGAAGATCCGGGGAGCGCGAGTCCCCAGGAGCATCTGACAAGTGCTTCAAAGTGGTTGCGCGCCATGACGGCTCGGCATCAGCTGGCGGGGTGAGAGTAGCAACATCATGGCGATACGGCGTTTGGATCAGGCCCGGATGAAGTCTTGGTTTCGTCGGCATTGATGATACGAGATCCAAAGTTTGCATGGCGTTGGGGACATTTGAGTCAAGGAGCGTCGCGTCTTCGTCCGCTGTTGTGAGGTCAAGAGCACCGTTGTCGGGCGTGGTGTCATGGAAACTAAGGCTGCCAAAGCGGTCGGGGTGAGGAGGGCCGATGCCCAACAGGTCAAAGGAGAGACGAAGACCGCTGGCAGGTCTGGCACGCTGCGGACGGCGGGGCGGATGGACAGTGGCTAGCGCTCCACCCAGGAGACTGAACATGTCCGGCGGGTGGACATGGGCATCAGCAGCAGGAGAAGGAGAAGAAGGAGGAGTGGTAGTGGTGGTGGTGGTGGTGGTGGTGGTGGTAGCGGTAGTAGTGGTAGTGGTAGCGGAGGAGGTAGCCGCAGAAAGTGGTCTCGCTGATCGAGGTGCTACGGCCGGCGACGGCTCAGCCGGCAGCATGTGACTGTCCAGTGTTTGCTCTGCTGGAGGAGTGGGCGCGGCAGGTGACGGGCTCACGGCAGGTGTGGCCATGGACCTGCTCTGCTGCTGCTGCGCGATTGCAGTGCTGCCTGCCTGGGTGGGGTGAGCGACACTCCGAGTCACCACCACTTGACGGCTTGTACGGTTAGGTATGGTTAGTAGGTAGGTAGTGGTAGGTAGACCGTAGACTCTGGGAGTAGTAAGTAGTAGGTACAGGTAGTAGCAGTACCTCCGGAGGTAGCAGCAGCAGCAGCAGCAGGTGGTAGTAGTAGAGGTCGGCAGTACCAGTACCAGTACCTTATGAACAGAGTGCCACGGGCCAATCAAGTCGGTACGAAACACTGGAGAGAGAGACAGAACCCGCGGGCAACAGGCGTGCGGTGTTTTTACAAAGTCCAGACCGGCCCATCTTCTCGTGGACGCTCGCCGCCCTGACCTCTACTTTATCTCCTTCCCGGCACCACAGAGCGGAGGGCGGGCTATGGGCAATGGGCATGGCATGGTTGGACAAGTTGCATTGTGTCGTGTCCCGTCGTAGAACCCGTGAAGGTAGCGTAGCCCTTGAGCAGCCGAGCACTGTCCTCTCCGCCCAGCACTACCTCTTACAGTACACTAAAGGTATGTACCTCCTCCTCCCTCCTCCTTCGCTCCAAAAAGTACATGTACACGGATCCTCCTCGCAGCCGACGGGCGCCACATCCAGACTTTGCCATAGGAGCTACCTTATTCGAGGATTCCAGCGGAGTCAGCTCCTGCCGACCGTGCTAGTCTCTGCGATCGTTGATGAGATACTACGAGGTAGGAGGTACTACTACACAGGCTTGCGCCGATATCACGCGCACGTAAGCATGTTTCGACTTGAGCACATGGATGCCTCCAGGACGAACGACCGCAGTCTCGCCAGCCATTACCCCGGCTCTGCTATGCGTATGCACACCATTCCTGCAGGTGCTCCAGAGCGTGTCAGACCATTTCGTGCAAGTCGGCTGCACCACCTCTGTCCGCGGCGCGCAACACGGGCACCTAATGCCACCTATGTGTCCATCTCTCCAATCCTGCATTGTCCGCGTGTGGGCCCCACAGTATCGTCGTGTCGACTCTGCCAGGAGGGGCGACCAGCGTGAATAACACGTAAGTCACGCGACACGAAGCTAATACAGCCAGAAGACTCCGAGAGGCATCCAGGAAGACGTCGGGTTTCGTGAAACGGGTATGAGATACATCCTACCTCCTATGGGCATGCTGCACACTCCCCTATGCGGCTATGCTATGCCTGAAGAAGACGACATCGCGAGGGTTCGGTAGCTGGAACTTCAGCTCCTGTTGATTATACCGGCCGGGACTATCTTAGCCCGTCGCACTCGAAGTTCTAGATCACAGCAGCATTATTGCCATACAAGCGCCCAAGCGACTCCAAGCGTTTCCTTGCTGCTAGCAATTATTAGGTACTGCTAGAAAGCCGGCCTCCACTCCTTCACTCCGTCTGTCAAGCTGGTTCTCATCCAGTTCCGTGGACTCTACTAGCAACGATGCGGGCCAACGAGGAACGCCACGTCCCCGTTGAAATTGGCTGGCCTTATCGACACTGTTCGCGGCCTCGTGATTGCACCTCAGTCTCGTTCTTTGTGTTGAAGTTACTGCTCGATGATTCCTCCGTGGTCTCACCTTGTCTCAAACTTCGAGGCAGAGAAAGGACAGAGACGACAATTGTCTAAGATAGCAATAGCTCTGTACTTACTAAAGCTTAGCACACCGAATGCTCAGCCAGCATGTACCTACCTAGGTTGAGCACACCTTATTGACCATGTGCCAGTACTACCGCTGGCAGTGTCATCACTGCTCCACTGACAACGACGTTGTAGTACGCTGCAAGACCAACCACCAGCGCCAGCGCAGAGATCCATGCATGAGGGTGACAACTCTGCCGTTGCCTGCCGATGCACCAAAATTAGAGTGCCAGCATTGCTTGCAACACCGGCCATCAGGAGGTCAAGCATCAGACGAGCGGATGCCTGAGCAGCAGACTCTCGACACAAGCTTTCGAAGGCTTTCACTGCAGCATCTCCTAGCATCACCACCGCCACCGCCGCCACAAACAGCTCATTCTTTGGGGATTCAGTATCCTTTGGACAACGACATGTTCTGGCTGAATCCTGCCTTGCGATTACCCAATTCTGCGAAGAAGCTCGATGAGTACAACGCGAGTCGTAGCAAGGTACTTGCCAACGCCAACCGGGGAAGAGGAGAGCAGATGTCAAACTCAGGGCACGACAAGGAGGGTGCGGAGAGGCGTGCCAGCTGGGTAGACTCGTGGTCGCAGCTTCGGGAGACGGTGGAAAGGGTGGTGTAAATGGAGTTCTTGCTTGGCATCTCTCAGGTACACATGACAAGCAAGATGCGGCTTGTGAAGCTGTTGCCGTCCGGCGTCCGCAGAGAGCTTAGTGCATTGTGCTAAGGAAGGTAGTGGCTTCTTGTCACGCTTCTCCCCTCATGTGCCAATCAAGCATTTTAGCAAATCTGAGAAGAGTACCTCCTACCTAGGTACCTTAGTCGTGCAAATGGCTTCTGGTTTCCTTGTTAATGCCCTGGTATGGCTGCAAGAAGAACGGTGAGCGTTAAGTTTGATTAAGATTTGAACAGAAGCCATCGAATCTAGAATTACCGTACCTCTACCTACCAGGTAGGTTCCCACTTTGATTTCTCACCTGCCCACATTGCCGTCCCCACTTTCTCCTTCTGCCGTTACATGTATCTTGCAACGGAACCTCCCCAGACAATGCTCGCACGCTACGTTTCACCCTCCGCTGGGCGCTGCCAGGGCGTAAAGACTATCTAGCATAGGAGAGTCTGGGGCTGTTTGGACAGAAGGACATAGGTGCCCTGGCATTATGTGATATAAGTTATATAGATAACAGGGGCCACTGATTCCTTGGTATTTGTATATAGAGTTAGGGATACCTACCCCCCTCTTTTCTTTCCTAGATAGGTCAGACCTCTAATATTAATTAAACCTACTTTTCGGTTAGTACGGCTTTATCTCTATCTCAATTAGGCTAGTATAGTATATAGTTCTAATAGTTATAAGCCCGGCTAGCTCTACTTAATTAATTAAAGGAATTAATTAATTGCTAGAACCTAGAATTACCTAAGATTAGTCAAATTCTACTATATTAAGACAACAACTAAGAACTGTATACTATTACTATATACCGGCCTAAACCCGTTTATCTAGAAGAAGAGAAGAAAGCCCGAGCCTATTAGATTAGCTTATAATCGATCGATCCCTAAGTCCTAAGTTTTAAGAAGTTAAAGAAATACCTAGTAGCTCGTATCCTAGGCATTAAGCTATTCTAGAGTAGTTTGACGAATTCAACGAAGACACTATAGCTAATTCTCCTAAACCCTTATTATTAACGACGACGTCGATTACTAAGCTACGTACCTAGTAAGACTAGAATATATAGATTACCTATATTAAGAGGGAGGTAGTAAAGCTCTAGATATAGGCTAATATTAACCTAGAGACAGTTAAGCTAGATCTAACTAACCTAATATAGCTTAAAGGACAACCTATCTTTGACTTTGCGTCTCTACCTACTAATATTACCCTAATAGCTCTTAGTCTAGCTTAATTCAAGTATAGGTATAATAAGGATATATAGGAACTTAAGCAAAGGGAGTATTAGAAGATTGAATTAATTATTAACTAGTCTCTCTCTATAGACCTTTAATATAGGATAATCAATTATAAGATAATTAGGCAGACACTTAAGACTCTCTTAGAATATACTAAGCCTAATACCCTTACTACTACCTAGTTACTAAAGAAAGAGATAGAAGTCCTGTCTTACCTACTATATAGAAAGTCTATTTAGGACTATATATACCTTTAGTTCGTTTAGTATAGAAAGAGAGATACTATTAGTAAGCAAGCAGACAATAAGTTAACCTAGGTATAGTTGTCCTCTATAGCTCTAATATATAGAGACTATATAGCTACAAAGATAGGGAGGCTGCTTAATAAGCAGAATAATAGGGAGGTAACAACTCTTTATTTAGAATTAAGAGCCTAGTATTCCTACTTTTAATATAATAGCGATACTAAGTTTAAGAGTAAGTACCGAACTACTGTTACTATCTCCTCTATAGCTATAGCCGAGTCTTCGTCCTTAACCCGATTATCCTCCTCTTTAAGAAAGCCCTGCCTCTATAGTAGGAACTATATATAGAAGGAGTACTACTATCTTAATACCGAGTACCCGAGGCCTAATGCCTAGAAGCTAAGAGAGGATACTAAAAAGAAGATTAAGAAGAGGTTTAAAGAAGACAAGAGTTTAAAGAAGAGAGTAGACAAAGCAATTCAAGCCTATAATACTGCTTAAGGGTTAAAGGACAAAGGAAAGGACAAGTTAGGCTTAGCCGCAGAGATCGAGGATACTACTACGGCTACTACCCTAGAATTAAGTTCCTCCCTAGAATCGACCCCTAATCCTGCTTCTATTAGTTTAATTAGCTATACCCGCCTTTACAACACTATAATTCTTAATAGAGGGGCTAATATTTATATTATTAACGAGGCTATAAGGGCAAGGATCGTTAAGTCCGAGTTACTAACCTCCTCTAATATAGTAATTTCTAGGGACAAGAGGTACAAACCTAAGGCAATTGTTAATACTACTATTAACCTAGACATAGGTAATAGAGTTACTAGGAAGCTTACTCTTCTTAAGGCAAGGCTTATTCCGGGATTCTTTATAAGTTTGGTCTTACTACAGATCCTTAATAAAAAGGGTATTTACTATAATACTAGAAACTGGCTAGACAAGTTGATTACTAGCTAATTATATAAGGAGCCTAGGCTCTAGGTATACCTTACCCCTAAACATAGTAATAGACATAGTTACTAGATTATTAAACGGTTGCCTATACTAAGAAGTATTGCTAGAACTACTAGTTTACCTAGAATTAGTACTAGAATTAAGGAGGTAAAGTCTATATATACCCTATACTCTAAGAATACGGGGAAGCTAACCTTACCTACCTTAACGTTACCTACTAGAATAGAAAAGGTAATTACTGCTGCTACTATACAGTCTAGTTACAAACTACTCCTACCTTTGATAGCAACGGCTAATTAATAGTATTAGTTACTAGGCTATCTATCTATAAGGGCTATTAAGCACTTAGAACCTACAACTAAGGGTTACTAGGTAATTAAATTAGGACTAGATAAGGAGGTTCTAAATAGTATTACTTATAATATATATATACTAGCTAAGGCTAAAGCAGTAATTTTAAGGAGAAAAGACAAGTATAGAGAAGTACTACCTAAGGTAGAGAATGCTAAGATAGCTATCTGTTTATAGGATCTTATTAATATACCCCCTTCTCTCCCTAGACTAAATAGTTTAGTCTTCAAGTTTTATAGCTACTAGTTCTATAACTAGGAGTACTATTATATTAGCGAGCCTATAGTAACCAAACTATAAGCAGTTGCTAAGTTCCTAGGATACTTTAAGAGGATAGAAGTAACCTTTAATACTAAGACTATCCTAGTTCGCTATAATATAGAAGCAACTATTAGAAAGGATACTAGTAAAGCTATTACTAGGTAGGGGATCAATACTTTGCCTACTACTACTAGTACCCCTACTTAGAATAGAGTAAGTAAGGTAGCTAGAAGAGAGATTGTTACTAAATCTAGGACTCTTAGAATTAATAGTAGGTTGCTAAAGAACCTATAGCTATAGCTCCTAGATTTAGTAGTATATCTACTTAACAGAACCCCTACTACTAAGCTTAATTAGATAACTCTATTTAAGAAAGCTACTACTAAGAAGCCCTTCCTTAGCTATCTCTACCCTATTAGATACAAGGCCTTCGCTCTCTATAGAGATATTGCTAGGAGAGACAAGATAGAGGACAGAGCTTATATTAGGTACCTAATTAGATATACCTCTACTAATATTTTCTAGATCTAGATTCTATCTCTAAATAAGGTAATTAGGACGAGAGATATAGCCTTCAAAGATAATAAGAGGTATAATCTACTTAATATCAATAGTCAAACCCTTAGAGAATTAGTACCTCCTACTATTTATTAATCTATAATTAAGTCAATCTTAATGCCTAAGGAACCCCTAACTTCTAATAGTTCTATAGATAACCCCTTCCTAGCTAACAATATTCCGATCTTTGCTATCTAACCTTAGAGAGGTAGTAAACAGTAGGGAGGTAAACAGGAATAGGAGTTATTATACCTAACTCCGCTAGAAACACCCGCTAGAGATAAGGACAATATAGCTGCTAACCAAGTTAGTTAGGCCCTAGGGGCCTTACCGGGTATACCTACTTCTTTATTAACCTCCGCTTTTTCGGTCTCTTAATAGTACCCTACCTTAGATAGGGAGGTAGAAGAGAGTACCTATTAGTATAGTATAGACAACTATAGATAATAGATCGACTATAGAACTAGACGGTTGGAAGATTACCTAGATAAGTTAAGTTATATAGCTACTACTTCCCTCTAGGCTTATAATCTACCTACTCTTAAGGATCCTTACTAAGTAATAAGTATACTATTACCCCCTACTAACTAGAAAGAGATAGAAAGACATATCTATTATTAACAATTTAGGCAAGTAGTATTTAATAAAGCTAGAAAGCTTATAGGCAAGAGAACATTTAGGGTATTCTTTAGTTATAAGGGCTATAAGGTACCTTTAGTATAGGTATTTGCCTATAAGACAGACCTAACTAGTAGTAAGATTCTTAGGTATAAGGCTAGGCTTTATATCTGTAGGGATCTTCAATTGCTATTAACCTATAAAACCTATACTACTATACTTAGTTACAAGGTATTTAGGGCTATTACTGCCCTAACCTTCGTAAGGAATTTGAAGACAAGGTAATAGGATATAGTAAATACCTTCCTAAATGCTACTATCCCTTATACTATCTATTGTTCTATTCTAGAGGGAATAGAGGAATATAGATTTGGTCTAGATACCTACTTTATCCTTAAGAAGGCTCTCTATAGATTAGCTGAATTACCTCGCTTGTAGTATAACCTGTTTGTTATAAGAATAGAAGACTATAGGTTTGAGTTAGTTCCTAGAATTAACTACTTAATAGTAAATATAGATCTCCGCCTACTTATAATATTCTATATAGATAATATTAGGTTGATTTATAAGAGGGATAGGGAGGATCAAGCTATCCTATTTAACTAGTACCTGCTTTCTAACTTTGAGGTTACTTAGAAGGACTCTACCTTCTTCCTAGGTATAGAGGTAGAGGAATTACCTAATATCCTAACTCTAAGCTAGACTACCTACTTAACGAAAATTAGTATTAAATTTGGTATTTATATAACAGCTAGGCCTAGAGGCATAATAGTATATAGCTCTAGGGGGCGGTTAGGTATTTGAGCCTAAGGTACGCTAGCCTAAGGCAGGACGGGCTGTAGAAGCAGTACGTTCCGAGTCGTTAGGCGATCGGCTATCGGGCGACCGCCCGCGCGGCGTAGCGCCTACGTATGCTTGGCGTAGGGGTATATTATACGACGCCGCTCTCTCCTTTCCGAAGGACAAGAATTAGTTTATTCCTTTTCCTACGTAGTAGGAAGGACGCTCTATACATTACTATATACCCCTACTCTTATATTTCTAATTCTTCTATCCTTCTAAAGGGTAGTGATCTATAGAGGTCCTATAGCCCTACGATAGCAACGCGACCGTACCGCAGCTATAGCGTAGGCGGGCTACGTTATCGGCGAAGTAGACGAGGATACCTAACCTTCCGAGGAGACGGTATCGGGCTCTATAAATGCCTAGGCAGACGGGAACCTAGGAGAGACTCCTTTCGAGGAAGCTCCTACCTAGCCGGAGGCCTACGTAGCCGACCCGTATACTAGACGTATATAGCTTAAGGAGGCAAATTAGCGTCTCTGCGTAGAGTTAGAAATTCAGGCCCTCGAGAGGGAAAACTAATGTCTATAGGAGCAAATTTAGGGCCGAGTACTAACCCTAGCCGTTATAGTTACTATAGACGACGACGATACCGAGCCCGATCTTCTCGACGGACTCGAGGAAGACCTTAGGTCGACGGACCTACGTAACGTACGCGGATAGGCTACGAACCCGTTACGTACCTACTCTCTATATAGGGGCTCTAAGATTCGGGAACCTAAGCCGTTCAAAGGAGATACCGATAAGGAATGTCGTAACTTTATTAGGTACCTCGAGGTCGTCTTCCTTAGCGCCCTCCGAGAATATCGAACCGACTAAGACAAGGTCCTATACGGTATTATATAGCTCGTAGGCGAAGCGTAGGAGACGTAGTACGACGAGCATTCCGACGTAATCCCCGAGGACTATACTTAGGAGGAATTTAAGGGATAGCTCCGTAATACCGTCGGTAATTAGTCGAACTGTTAAATCGGCGTAATAATCGAGTATAAAAGGGTACATTAAGGCCCGGACTAGAGTGTCCGTTATTTCGCAGCGTAGCTTAGTTATCTAGAAGCCTAGT